ACGGTGATGTTGGGAGTCAGGGAGAGTTGGCTGTCGAGTGTGACTTCCGAGGTTCTTAGCGGTCAAAGTGGGCGTTAGTACGGATTCCCAAAGTTGACTGTCAGGTCCTGGGTAAGCGAATCTTTTCAGGGAAAGAAGTAGTTCAGTCTTGTCGGGGTTGATTTTCAGATGGTGGGCGGACATCCACTGAGAGATGTCAGTGAGACCGGCAGAGATCCGAGCCGCCACCTGGGTGTCCGAGGGAGGGAAGGAGAGAATTAGTTGGGTGTCATCGGCATAGCTGTGGTAAGAGAAGCCATGCGAGCAAATGACAGCGCCAAGAGAGTTGGTGTAAAGCGAAAACAGGAGGGGACCCAGCACGGAACCCTGAGGAACTCCAGTAGTAAGAGGACAAGGTTCCGACACAGATCCTCGCCAGGTTACCCGGTAGGTGCAACCGTCGAGGTAGGACGAGAGAAGGGAGAGAGCAGAGCCTGTGACACCAAGTTCCTGAAGGGAGGAAATAAGGATCTGGTGGTTGACCGTGTCAAATGCAGCAGAGAGGTCCAGAAGGACGAGGACAGAGGAGAGAGAGGAGCTCTAGCAGTGTGGAGTTGCTCAGAGACAGCAAGGAGAGCAGTCTCTGTAGAGTGGCCTGCCTTGAAACCTGACTGGTGGGGGTCAAGGAGGTTATTACAGTGGAGATAAGAGGAGAGTTGATTAAAGATAGCACGTTCAAGGGTTTTGGACAAAAAGGGAACACATATACATGAAAATACGTATTGACAAAATATAGACATTTAAACATACATGTAAACACAGTACACAATACTGGGCTGGTGTAGAGCACTAAAGCAACGCTTTCGTCCCGCAGGTGTCCGACATCGAGGGAAAGATCGCGGCTCTGAACGCCGGCGGGTCCAAGAAGAAGGTTCGTTATTCCGAGATTTTCATTCTGATGAATCACAATATCGGAAAAGTTTGTCAGGTTTCATTTTATTTAAATGGGACAAAACATGAAACCAAATATCCAACATCTGTTTTATATTCACGAGAGTTGCCATGTGTGTTCATTGTTTTACTGTATATAATATTGATTATTATTTTTTATAATCTAGCAATATACAAGATCAACAGGTTCATTTTGTTTAATTGTTCTATTTTGTTTTCTTTAATTCAAAAGATTTCTGGATCTCATCAGAGGAAAAAAGCCACACAGGATTTTTCCAGTAAGTTTTTTTTTTTTAACAGTTTCATTATTATTATTCCTGAAGTTATAACTGCAGGTCTCACAACGCAAAGCTCTGGTTCAGATTGTTGTTGTTGTTGTTGTTGACAGAGGGAAACAACGGAGCCCAGTGGAAATCCAACATGTTCTGAAGCTGAAACCTTCAACATTCAACAAAAGTTTTTCTGCTGAATCATCAGATTATGTATTTCTTTAAAAACTCAAAAAATTAAAAAGAAAACTGACAAAGTTGAATTCCCATTTTGAACGTTGACTAAAATAACAATGATAAAATGATGTTGGAAAAAGATTTGCTATGTAAGCTCTTTGCAAACTGTAATAATAGTATTTATATTTACATTTAATACTTTCAATATCTAGAAAAACAGAAATCTTTGAACATTGTGAATGATGTTATATTTTAAAAAAATATAAGAAATGAAATCCTTATATCCTAATATAACGATTTCAGTCAAACAAATCGATTAATTTATGAATTGTAGAAGAGTGTATTGGTGATTAAAAGCACTGATCGGTATCTGTCGGTGTTTGGCTTTTAGATCAATAAACTATGATAAGAACTCTGAGGGTGAGTCATTGACTTTCTTAAATATCGTTTACACTCAGGTTTTTATTTTATTTATTAAATATAAAATAACCAATGAATGGATTGATGGAATAATGGTCAGCTTTTACTTTGAAACGTCTTATCCGGTTAGTGTCTAAATGCGTCCAGCTTGACAGTGAACATCCGGTGGTCCCTAATACTTTTTATCCCATTCCGGATGTGACGCCCGGAAGCGGGCTAACGTTAGCTTAGCGCACGCTAACCCGGGATGTACCGCGGACCAGCATCAGAAAAGACACCTCTTTAATCTGAGACTCCTTCTTATGACGTGTTTCCGGTTCCAACCACCCGATGCGGGTGCTTTTGGATTAAATGGGACGTTTGTGGATTATTCGGCGCCGCCAACAGCCGTAAAAACGACGGGGATTTACGGATTTTGGGCCGTGGGCGACGGCCGAACGGCATCAGGAAAACACCGCGTTTAAACCTGCAGCTGCCGTCCTCAGTGTGACTTTAGCTTCTGGACCTGCTGCGTGACATCACACCTCCGCGAACACTTCGCCCCCCCGGGGAGAAGCGCCCGGTGATGGGACTTGAGCTGCGGGACGGAAGAGGACCGCGACCCGAGAGCCGCTGACTCCGCGCCCCGGGAACCGGTTCAGGCCTCGAGTCGGTCTCTGGGTGTCCGGTCCGCGCGGGGCGTCCCGACTAGAGGACCCCTCTGCAGGTAGTCCCCCGGACACCATGGGGACCCAAGGACCGGCCCGGAAGAGGATCCCGAACCCGGAGAAGCGGACCGCGGAGGACGACGTGCTGAACGTGATCGCGCGAGAGGTGAGGCCGCCGATCGATAGTCATCGATCCGATCATCGCGTTAAACTCACGAGTCAATAATAAAACAAACTGCTATAACCTGGATAAATGAAGTAAATATGAATTATATTAATGATAAAGAAGAAAGGGGTAATGAACAACCGTGATTAATAATACCTGATTTATTTGTATTTAATTCTGTTTCATTAGATGTAACCTTCCTGTGTCCCTCCTTATGTTTTTGTATCTTATGTCTTTAGAATATAGATGATTAGTTTAATATTTCAGGTCATTGGTTGTGGCAACAAAAGCTTCTTTGTGTTCAGTGTGTTATTGTTGTGTTGTGTCTTTGTTGTCCTACATTCCGAAGCTAGAATGTGACCTTCTTCTTCTGTGGTGGCTGTTGTGACCCGTTTAGTCATTTCACTGATTCCAATTGGACCAAAAGATTTTTTTAAAGTCCATGCAGGAAGTTAAAGACCAATCGTATTTACACAGAAACCAAAACAAATCGAGCTGAAATGATCAATAATCCATAAACAGACGAAGCATCAGCTGATCTTAAAGCAGTTCACCGGTCATGTGACTGAGCAGGTACACAAACCGGTTGGTACACATTCAGTCAGACAAGACGCACACACACACCCACACACCCTCACCCACACGCACGCGCACACACACACACACACACACCCTCACCCCCACACGCACGCAAACGCGCACACGCACACACCCTCACACCCCCATACCCACACGCACGCACACACACACACACGCACACACACACACACACACACCCTCACCCCCACACGCACGCAAACGCGCACACGCACACACCCTCACACCCCCATACCCACACGCACGCACACACACACACACACACACCCTCACCCCCACACCCACACGCACACACACACACACACACACCCTCACCCCCACACCCACACGCACACGCACACACACACACACCCTCTCTTGTGGAATGTTACTCTTAAAAATGATGATTTTTATTGATGATCCTCCGGGGTGTGTGTGTGTGTGTGTGTGTGTGTGCGACCGCCATTATTAACAATCATTAATCTGCATCTCAACATGAGTCGCCCCCCCACTCCGACGACGCGCCCCAGGTGTGTCGTTGTCATGGTGACGGAGGGCGTGTCTTAGCTGTGAGACCGGTTCCACATTCCTCCCCTGAGACACATCAGCTGACTTTAATGGCTTCTATTAATTCATTTAGCAGAGCCTGTGTGTGTTACTGTTTGTCTGAAACGCACATAGTGTGTAAATAGTGTTGCTAGAAGACCCCTCGGGGCTGAAAGGGGGAGGAAGCGGTCTTCTGACGCCCCCCGCTACGTGGAACCTTCAGTTCTCAGATGGTTCTAGCGCATCTTGAAGCTTGAAGTCTCCGTGATGAACAGCTGTTGACCATCACAGCCATTGCTCACAGGTGACATTCAGGCCCCTGGTTGGAGGAATCGGAGGAACACCAAACCTTTTGTCACTGTGTGACTTTATATATGCCAATATGTCTATTTTATTTGTTCCATTTTTTTAGTTTAGTCTGCAAGGCGTTTGAATCTCTTTCGGACGCCCGATGACGTGATAATCGGCTAATGATGCGTGTGTGACAGGCGGAGGCGCGGCTGGCGACCCGGCGAGCAGAGAGGGCCGAGGCCCGAGAGATCCGGATGAAGGAGCTGGAGAGGCAACAGAAAGAGGTGAGCGGGCTCTTATTCTGAAAGCACCTCGGGACAGGTCGCATCACATCCTGTCACCTGATCGGTGTCGAGGGTTCAGGTTCAAAATCATAAAACCTGTGAAGGTGAGAATGAGGGCGGAGCTTACGATGGTCCTCTGGGGTCGCACTTTATTGATCAGGGTTACATGGTGCTAAGCCCCCCCCCCCAGGGGTCAAAGGTCAAGCGTGAATCCTTTCTCGTTGGGGAGTCGCTTCTCTTAAACTTCACCAATTTATAAGAATTTAAAACGTTTTTCTTGTTTCTGCTACTTTTTATCATTGAAATGACTAATTTAGTGTTATTTCATGTTCGTTTTTGTTGAATGTCACCGTCCAATCAAAAGGGTTAATGCTCAATACGTAACGTGTGAGTTTTACATGACTAGACGTGAAGATTCTTCATTGTCTTCATGTATACAGTCAAAAGCTCCGACTGCCGTACTGTCGCTTTATGAGCCTCTGACTGACCTATGACCTCTAACCTTCCGTCTCTCCTCTTGTCTCCTCCCGCCTCCTGTAGCTGTTTCACAGCCACAAGGTACGGCGCACTAATCCTCACCGCTGTGTGTTTTATGACCTCTCAGAGCCCAGGCGGGTGGTGTTTCTGCCACGGAGCTCCGCCCGCCTGCCACACCGAGATGTGTAAAACCAGCACATCTCAAACTTCCATCTTTTCCCTTAAAATCTGTCTCACGTTTTCTCTTCCTCCCGCCTCCAGAAGTATTATGGGCTGGATAATAAGTGGGGTCGTATTGAACAGTAGATGGTAGGATTCTTCTTCTTCTTCTTCTTATTCCCCGTGCCGCTGGTGCATCATGGTCCGTAAGATCTGTGTATTAACCTTCTGCTGGCTCCACTGGGAAGCGTTCATGTTGTGTGATGGTGTGTGTTTGAGTCCACGTGATGATGATGATTGTTTACTGCCCTTTCTGGTTCATTGTAGTTGTGACATCATCATTTATTTATTCATGTCATTTATATTCTATACACTTTTATTTTAGTACTATTTCAGTACACCTATTTTATTAAAGCCAAAGACTTTATGCATGACTTATTTTACCAGCCCTTTATATATATTTGCATTTGAGTTATTTGTTTTCTACATAGTACTTCTGTGTACATTTATGCTGTCAGGTGTGGGCTACAGAATTCCCCTCAGTACGTCTGACAGGCTCTTATTGGGAGGTGAGCCCTGTGTGATGTCTGACAGGCTCTTATTGGTGCGTGAGCCCTGTGTGATGTCTGACAGGCTCTTATTGGGGCGTGAGCCCTGTGTGATGTCTGACAGGCTCTTATTGGGGCGTGAGCCCTGTGTGATGTCTGACAGGCTCTTATTGGGGCGTGAGCCCTGTGTGATGTCTGACAGGCTCTTATTGGGAGGTGAGCCCTGTGTGCTGTCTGACAGGCTCTTATTGGGAGGTGAGCCCTGTGTGATGCCTGACAGGATCTCATAGTGCGTGAGCCCTGTGTGATGTCTGACAGGCTCTTATTGGGAGGTGAGACCTGTGTGATGTCTGACAGGATCTCATCGTGCGTGAGCCCTGTGTGATGTCTGACAGGCTCTTATTGGGAGGTGAGCCCTGTGTGATGTCTGACAGGATCTCATCGTGCGTGCGCCCTGTGTGCTGTCTGTCAGGCAGCAGGAGAATAGTAGAAGCGTGACCTTTGTTCTTGGTGGCTTTCAGGAGGACAGCGAGCGCTTCTCTCGCCCCTCACGGAGATACGCATCGGTCTGTACCTGCTTTTCTTCTTCTGTGGTCTGTTTGTCCTCCTGTCTCTCAGCTCCTTCTTCTTTGTTGGTTGTTGAACTGTAACTGTTGTTTGCAGATGTCTGACGATGAAGAGAGGATGTCTGTGGGGAGCCGAGGGAGCCTCAGGGTGAGTGTGTGTAACTGTACACCATGGAGGTACTAATACCTCATCAGTACACGTGCATATGTGTGTTCTATGTACACATGTAAAGCTGCTCAGACCGCACATGAGGCAGGAGATACAGCTGGCACGTCCACACAGGTCAAAGGTCACAGATGGTTAATAATCACTAACGCTGCAGGTCACCTCCATTCTTCTGCTCTTCCTCCTTCTTTCCTTCCTCCTCACTCCCTCTGTGCCCCTCTCTCCCCATCTCCTTCCCTCTCCTCTCCTACTTGAATCCCCCCCCTCAGCCCTCTGACTGTGGGGGCTTTCTGGCTTCCGGCTCTCGGGCCTCCTCTCGGGCCAGTTCAGCTCGTGCGAGCCCGGTGGTGAGCTTCTTCCTCTTCTCCTCCTCTCATCCTCCCACTCATCAATAAGCTGTCTCCATGGTAACGCGTGTGCGTGTGCGTGTGTGTGTCCAGGTGGAGGAGAAGCCCGACAGAGACTTCGTGGACAAAGTGAGTCGACGTTCACTCGAGATGGTTTCAAAGTTAGTTTTCAGTGTCTGAGTTGGATGAGCGTGTGACGTCATCGATGACTAGTCTGGCCCCTCCTCCTCAGGGCTCTAGGACCGCCTCCACGCTCTCCGCCGCCACTCTGGCCTCTCTGGGCGGAGCTTCTTCTCGCAGAGGAAGCTGTGACACGTCGTTCTCCGTGGAGACGGAGGCGTCCATCAGAGACATGAAGGTACCACGTCAATTTATTCATATTTAACAATATAATATGGGATAAACTTTTATTATGAATCAGTATTATTAACAATGATGAGTTACAAATGTGCTCCGGACTCTAATAATAACTATTAATTATTATTATATAGATATGAGTGTGTTAGTAACAATAATGTTCATGCTATGAACTCAGGACTCTCTGGCCGAGTCGGAGGACAAGTACCGTAAAGCGATGGTCTCCAACGCGCAGCTCCACAACGACAAGTCCACGCTGATGTATCAGGTGGAGAACCTGAAGGCGGAGCTCAGCGACATGGAGGAGCTGCTGTGGGAATCACGGCGACACTGTGACGACCGGACCAAGGTCTGACATCAGAAGACCTGATCAACAGTCCTCAGTGAGCCGCCGTCTAATGGTCCAACGTGTCGTTTAGGAGTTCGAACGAGAGCTTCAAGCTCACCGAGTTCTTCAGTTCCAGTTTAAAGAGGCAGAAGAAGCTCTGAGACGCACCGAAGAGCTGCTGACGGTCAGTCCACCCATCAATCACTGCTGAGTCCTCTTCAGCCCTCAAACACGTGTCCTCCTCAGACCTGAAGGAGACTTTTCTCTTCTCACACTAACTCTATGTGACTGCTCCTCTTCCTCCTCTTCCTCCTCCTCCAGGAGGTTTCTGCCCTCCGCTTGAGGAGCAGCAGTTATTGTCAGGAGGTGTCTGACCTGCAGGAGGTTCTTCAGTGGAAGGAGAAGAAGATGGCGGTAGAGCACCAGGTCTCACTGGAGGACCGGTCGTGTTATTGATCAGTCCTCCAGTGACCAGCTTCCTCTTTCACTTCCTGTTTGCCTTTCTGACTGAACTAATCCTACTAACTCCTCCTCCTCTTCCTCCTCCTCCTCCTCCGCCTCTCAGGCGTTACAGAGGCACAGAGAAACCTCCGACGTGGTTCGGGTGGAGCGCGACCACCTCAGAGACCTGCTGAAGGTATCTGGAGGCTGTGATGTCACAGCTCCACGTAGTGACGCCGAGGCCATGACTGATTAATGACTGATTAATGACTGATTAATGACTGATTGATTAACGACTGATTAATGACTGATTAATGACTGATTAACGATTGATTAATGACTGATTGATTAACGATTGATTAATGACTGATTGATTAATGACTGATTAACGATTGATTAATGATTGATTAATGACTGATTAATGACTGATTGATTAATGACTGATTGATTAATGACTGATTGATTAATGACTGATTAACGATTGATTAATGACTGATTGATTAATGACTGATTAACGATTGATTAATGATTGATTAACGATTGATTAATGACTGATTGATTAACGATTGATTAATGACTGATTGATTAATGACTGATTAATGACTGATTAATGACTGATTAATGACTGATTAATGACTGATTAACGATTGATTAATGACTGATTAATGACTGATTGATTAACGATTGATTAATGACTGATTGATTAATGACTGATTAACGATTGATTAATGACTGATTGATTAATGACAGATTAACGATTGATTAACGACTCGTTGACAGAAACACGGAGTCGTCGTCCCGCCCGAGAACTCCACCAATGGGGACAGGGGACAGGGTGAGGGTGTCGATGAGGTCACTGCTGACTCCGCCTCCCCTGAGGAGCCGCCACCCGGCGGCAGAGAGAGCGCGCTCGGTAATTCATTACTTTTCAGGATAATTCTTCAATTCCATGATGAGAACATTTGATTTCAACCAACCATCTTGTTCCAGTTGGAAATCTTCTAATTGTCCCGAAGAGTAAAATCTTTAGTCCAATCAGCTTCCCTCCTACACATCCTCACGGCGTTTGATCCGTTGTTTGGTGCTTCAACGACTTCCTCGCGTCTTTCAGGGGGGTTAAAGGTTCACAGTCTGAACCCACATTGTAGTGAAAGTGTTCGATGAACCAGGATAAACGGGACAGTTTAGAAAAGAGGGGATTCCAAATCAATGCATGAAAAATTCGTCTCAAATGTTTGAGCCCAAATCTGCCTCCAAACAAACAAAGCAGGATGTCCTTGTGACACGAATCAAGCGCTCCTCTGACGCCTGCAGAATCGGATTTGTGGATTTGTCAACAACTTTCTGGATGAAGAGACGACGCGTGTGTTTTGATGTCATTAACCTTTGACCTCTGATCTTTTCTCGTGGCAGAACTCCGGCTGAAGAAGCTGTTTGAAGAAAGAGAGAGTTTACGGGATCAGGTGATGTTTCCTTCAGGGTTTATTGCTCAAACCATCATGTCCTTTATTAATCGTGTTGATGTGAAGGTGAGACAGCTGAAGTCTCAGCTGGATCGGAGACAGAAGAACGGGACAGACGAAGTCCAGAATCCCGAAGGGGACCATTTGGAGGACTCTCATCTTCTGGACCTACAGAGTGAGTGTCCTTCCTGTCTCTCCTCAGCCTAGTCTGAAGATGTCTTATAGTGTCTTTGTCTTCATCCTAGTCTCTGTAGATGTCCTCTTTACGTCCTTCTCTCTCGTTATCAGGAGACGCCAACAGACAAATCAGTGATCTGAAGTTCAAGCTGGTCAAATCTGAACAGGAAGTCACCACTCTGGAGCAAAATGTAAGTGGAGCTTCTTAAACAAGCGACAAAACCACACGAGCCTCTAAGAGAAAAAGAAACGTGTCGTCAGCGTCTCGCGACATTTAACATTTACTGCCAATGAAACGCAGGTGATCCGCCTGGAGGGTCAGGTGACCCGATACAAGTCCGCCTCAGAAAACGCAGAGAAGATCGAAGACGAGTTGAAGGTCGATAAGAGAAAGCTTCAGAGAGAGGTACCTTCTCGATATGTCCTTCATCTCCCCGACAATGCGTCGGTCTTTCTTGGTGGACGAGGACAAAGGTTAAAGTGGTGTCCTCCGTCTCGCTGCAGCTCCGCTCGGCTCTGGACCGGATCGATGAGCTGGAGGTGAACAACAACCACCTGAGCAAACGTCTGGAGAAGATGAAGGCCAACCGCAACGCCCTGCTGGCCCAGCAGTGACCAAGCAGCGCTCGCTTTCCTCTGCATGCGGCGCCGGACGGGTGGAGTTAACTCAGTTTAATTTTCTACAAACTATCAAAATCAATCGAGAAAATAAAGATTCATCATCATTGGGCCAGTAGTTGGTCTATAAACCAGCCAGGACACTTTAGCCCCACGTCACACGGAGGCTTTAGGTCGGCTCAAATACACATCACTCAAGATGACGAATGGTGAGAGAACCAAACTATTTAAATAGGATATTAGGTGGAATATTACGTTCTAATTTAAGTAAATCTGACTTGGTAAACTCCGCCCGCCTGGCCCTCCTCCGTTTATGTGAAACGTGGCACTACCTCCTGTGACGGATCCGAGCGATGAACCAGCAGCTGAGTTATTTATTTTTGTACTTCTGTTTATTTCTTTCATTCCTCCGTTTTTAAGGTTTCTTGTTTTCTTGGTGAGTTTTTTATTGTAGGGTTCGGTGGGTAGGGCGGTAAGCCCCGCCCCCCAGGTCTTTACGAGGTGTCTGGGTGATGGAAGGGGGCGTGGCCAGACCTGTTTCTTGTACATATACGCTCTGGGACGCAGCTGACCCGAGTCGGGAATATTCAACGTCATCTCTTTATGCCACTTGGGCTTGTAAACGTTTAAAAGTAATCGCTGAATGAATCAACGTGGGAGGAGTTTGGATCCAAAACAGCCGGTGGTCGGTTTCTAGTTTCCTGATTGGTGGAGTTTTTTTTTAACTCCATCAAAGGAAGTTTCCCTGGTAGCCAATGGATGTGTCTAGTCTCTGGACCCAACCTGGACGGTCACGTGACCGCTCTACTGAACTGGGGTCTGCTCTGAATGTAACGTCGCGTCTTCCATCTCCAGGTACGAGCAGTGTGCTCATCAGCTTCTGTTCCATCGTGTGTCCTATTGATTAGGATGTGGGATCGATCGGTTGATCAAGGTGATGGGGGGGAATTAAAATCATGACACATCTGTTTCGCTCAAGTTTTTGTTTGATAAGAACGTCTAATATGTTGGTTGGTTATTCGGTCACACAAAGTTGTAGCCACAGACGGACAAATGGCTTTAAATAAATACTTGTGTGCAGACGGTTGTGGACTCGCTGAGTAACTGAAGAACAATACTGTTCAGGTCAGACACAGCGAAGGTCTCCAATAAACGTCGCTGGTTGTTAAAGGGGGAAGAGAGAAAATCACTGTACCAAACACATCATAGGGCATAATTAAAAAATGCTTTTTGACCATTATATTTATATATATATATATATATATATATATATATATATATAATATTTTGTCCATGACATACCTGTCCCCGTCACCACCTGGCAGTTCATGTATTCCCCACATTTCTGTACTTGTTTAGATTCTTACTGATATTCTGGCCAAAGTCCTTTTCCCCTTTCTATTATTACGATGACTTGGGTTGGGACGTGGGCGGTCCGGCTCTTCCTAAATCATTTGTTGTTATTGGGCAACATTCATAAGATATCATGAATAAGAAGACGGATTGATGCATCTTGGAGGTTTCATCCTTTCTTCCTGCATTACGCACTCTTCACTCAGAAGGGACGGATCTCTGAGCTTTACAACCAGATCATTGTCACAATAATCACCTTTCGCACCAAATGGGAAAGTGACTTGAGTTTGAACCCAACAGAGAATTGGTCAGTCTCAAACAATGTAAACGTCCCCTCAGAGGAAGTTTCATATTAGCGTTGACCACTGAATGAGACGCATGTGGTCATTTTTACTGATTTATCCGGCCGTCTCCCCTCAGAACAGGTCATAATAAATATATATAATCATAGGGAGAAGTACATAAGATGGAATAGTAACATGAAATAAGTACATAGTATAAAGCGATGGCAAAAGGCTACAATATGGACACTGAAGCTCATTAAAGGAGAAGTTAGTCTCATCATTAAAGGTTTCTGGACAACGCCACCTAAACTCTGGTCACATGTCCTCGTGTTTCTGCATAACCCCCTGGGTCCACTTCTCTGGAACAACCAGTGGGGACAACGCCCCCACTGCTACCTCCACGGCAGCGCTCTCAAGACCTGGCGGCGGTGGGAATTGAACCCGCTAGCAGTTACAGAGGTTTTGGTCCCTGCACTCAGCACTACGCCACCAGTCCTGCTCGCACTTCACAGCCTTTATTTCTCCTATTTAACCTTGAGAATGTGAGTTAAACCTCAAAAGTCTTTTGAATCCAAAGACTCAATAGCTGGGTTTGAACCAACAACCTCCAGGTAAAGGGTCAGCAGCTCTTCTGCTGAGCTACTTCACCACACACACTCGTTATGTGTTCCTTTCTCATATTTAACCTTCAGATGTAAAACCTCCTCAAACCTCAGAACTCTTTCAAAGCTGAGGCTCAAACCGTCAAAGGCTTCATTTCTTGTATTTAACCAAGAGATTACGAGTTAAAACTCAGAACTCTTTCAAAGCACGAGGCGGCTTGAACCCACAACCTCAGACAGCAGTTTGCGGCCCTCCAGTTGTTCAGCCACATGCTTCTTATCGTCTCGGTTTCTCGTTTTAGACCTTGGGATCTCAAACCGTTTCTGACACTTTTGTTTGATGGAACGTGTGGGAGGTTTTGAATAATGAAAAATATTTCTCTTCAACTAATCTTGTGTCATTTTTTGCTGAACATAAATCATTAAGTGCTCTTAAGAATACAATTATTAACAATACAGGTGAGGTTTCAGTTAAGAATTGGTTGAATACCATTGTAATCAAAATGTCAATCAACCTACCTTTGTCAAATCTTAAACACAGGTCCATTAATTGGCTTTATTGTGCTGCATAGACAGTCATTGAGGCGACAATGGTTTTCAAGTCACGATCAGATGAACATAAATCAGAATAAGTTATTATAGGTTTTGCACATCTTCAGAATTCCACCCAGAAATCCACTAGAATGCAGGAAATAACATCTGCTTAAACCCAAGTGTCCTGGAGGTGGACCTTCATGTCTTTGCTTCTCAGGATGTGACCAATAGGCCGCCCCTATCAACGACATTGGGCCCCACAAACACCACATTGCAGGGCACAACACGGGCACAACGCGGGCACAACGCGGGCACAACGGAAAATGTATTCCAAGTCCCTGACTTTTGAGCCACCAACGTGTGTGGTCACAGCCAATAAAACCTCACACCAAGGTTTTCAGGAGAGCGCATGTCACAGTTGATACCAGCTGCACTGTTGCATACCCTACGTTGACATGAGATGGTATAAATCAAAATCGATTGCGCTTGCTGTAGGATATTAGAAATAAACTGACGACCCGGTTCATAAAATTAATAAAATGCATATAGTGTACACCAGAATACAGCCATGACTCTGAAACTGTGTGATCAATAAAGTAATGACAATATTGTAAAACCATTGTAATTCTGCAACTGTACTAGAATAATATCGATGTACAGTTATGATTGTATTTGATGTAATGTGATCAACTGGAATGCATGCATGTGATATTTGTACAACAACTGATATTGACTAAGGATCATTCGTAATCCGAGTTACATTGAAGTCACCAGAAGACTCCCAGAGGTGTGGACACTGACTTTCACACCTTTACGGATCGGTATAAATACCTGTAGGAACCATTGTGGAACGGAGTGGAACAGATGGAGACACACTTATCGTATGATAAGACCTCCTTTGATCAGTTTATCAGGTATTATCATCATCAGTCAGGATCTCGTTCTTGTGGAAGTCCAGAGGAAGTCGACCCTCATCCAGACCGTCAAAGATGAACACGACCTGGAACTTCTCAAACCTGCAGATTCCTGCTGCTCTGGTTTCACTGAAGAAGTGATCAACAAGTCCCACCAAGCTGAACTTCTTCTCTCTCAGCACATTCAGCTCTCTGAAGGTGAATGGAAATGTGAACTGTATGTCCTGGTGGTCTTTGTCTTCAGCCCAGTCCAGAGTGAACTTCTGTGTTAAGACTGTTTTCCCAATGCCAGCCACTCCCTTAGTCATCACGGTTCTAATTGGTTCCTCTCCTCCAGCTGAGGCTTTGAAGAGGTCTTCTCGTCTGATGGTTGTTTCTGGTCTGGCTGGTTTCCAGGATGCAGTTTCAATCTGTCTGACCTCATGTTCTTCATTGACCTCTGCAGTCCCCCCCTCTGTGATGTGGAGCTCTGTGTAGATCTCATTCAGAAGGGTTGGTTTCCTGCTTTAGCGATCCCCTCAAACACACACTGGAACTTCTTCTGCAGGTTGGATTTGAGTTCACGCTGACAACTTTCAGGATGACTTCCTGAAAAAAGAACATTGATGAATAAGTTATAGAGAAAACACTTTGACATATATGAATATATTTGGGGCCATCTCTTGATTTGACAGTATCCCATGAGGAGAAATCCCCTTACTGGTCTGCAAACAGTCAGGCAGCTCCTCCTGCTTCATTCTCCTCAGGAAGTCCAGCGTGATCTTCACGAAAGCTTCCCTGCTGCTCCTCCTCTGGTCTTCGTCCTCACCATGAGCACCTCCTTGTCCTCCCTCTGACTTTTTAAGAATTCTGGGTAATCCGGACTCACAACCCTCTTGACCCTCTTCAGCTCGTTTTTCACAAAAAGTCATGATGTTCTCCTCCAGCAGCTGGAACAGAAAATTCCACCAACGACCCATTTAATCCATGTGGCACTGGTCTACAAAGGTGCATTATGGGACGATCGAGAACAGAGCAGATTTAAAAATAGTTATTCATGTACCTATCGCTTGTCCTGGACACACAGCTGGTTTCAGGTCTCTCAATGGACCTGCTAACAGGAACCAAAAAGGACATTCAGTGGTCCATGAATCTGAGATATGAGTTCAAAGGTGATTCGTGTGGAGACTCCATTGTGCTTCTGAGCCCTCCACCGGTCTCCTGGACTTGCCAGAATGTCTCGTCTTTGAAGAACAGCGGTGGCTCCATGGACCTGTAGCTCTTTACGGAGCCAAAGCTGGGTTCCGGTTCTGTAGAGTGCAGTTTCTCACGGCTCCTCAAATAGGTCATTAAACATGGCTCCTCATACGCATCGCTGTCGTCACTGTCGGGTTCGGACGCCATGGCGTGAAGCTGCTAACGAAGAATTTCACAAAATTGCAATTACATTACATTACACGTCATTACAAACACTCGACTAGGTCTCCACTCTTCGCTGTCCTTGCGCCGAAATGGTGGAACGCGCTCTCTGAAGACATCAGGACCACAGAGAGCCTTCACATCTTCCGCCGCAAACTAAAGACACACCTCTTCAGACTCTACCTCGACTAAAGACTAACAAACTGCAGCACTTACATTGTACTTGTAACGTCACTCATCTATAGCAAATTGTAAATTGGCTTATTTGAGGAAATTGCACTTTCTTGTTTCTTGTTCTTCTGAGTTTGTACCCTATGGTTGAATGCACTTATTGTACGTCGCTTTGGATAAAAGCGTCCGCTAAATGACATGTAATGTAATGTAATGTAATTTTATCCAAAGCGACTTACAATAAAGTTATAAATACAATTAAGAGCTTTATTTTGAGGGGTTGTGAGACACACCGGATGCGTGTGATGTAATACCAGTGTAATAATGTAATGTAATACCAGTGTAACAATGTAATGTAATACCAGTGTAACAATGTAATTAAATACCAGTATAATAATGTAATGTAATGTAATACCAGTGTAATAATGTAATGTAATGTAATACCAGTGTAATAATGTAATGTGATACCAGTGTAACAATGTAATTAAATACCAGTATAATAATGTAATGTAATGTAATACCAGTGTAATAATGTAATGTAATACCAGTGTAACAATGTAATTAAATACCAGTATAATAATGTAATGTAATGTAATACCAGTGTAATAATGTAATGTAATGTAATACCAGTGTAATAATGTAATGTGATACCAGTGTAACAATGTAATTAAATACCAGTATAATAATGTAATGTAATGTAATACCAGTGTAATAATGTAATGTAATACTCGGCAATCCCTTTTATCTGCTGCGTTACAACAATCAATCCGATAGATTCAACATTTAACTATTTTTTACATTTAGAGTTACGTGTCGTCACGTTACCAAGTCATGGTTTCGGTTTCTGTCTTATGTCTTTGTGACTTTAGTATTTATTACTATTATTAATCTATCCTATACATCATTATTTATATTAGTACTTTGTAGACACAGCAGCGTTTTATTCATTATAAACGAGCTAACTGAAATTCAGAGTGACACTTGTCCACGTCAGTGATCACAGAGATCCTGCTTACATTTTAACGTTCACATCGACTTTTGATCCCACAGGTGCCAACATTCCTCTACCGGTAAACCGACATCTATAAATACAAGATTTCTACAAGCGTCCGTAGCAAAGATACACGTTCCACCTTCAGGTGGAGTTAAGTCGAGGTACAGATGACGGACTCGGTGGATGAGGAAGAGGGATCCGCGGTCACGTGGACCGCATTTCAAAATGACTTGCATCTCTATTCGAAGCGTTACGGTAAATGGGCTTGTACAGCCTAAAGACACATTATTGGATCGTATTTGAATTGTCAAGTTCAAGTTGACTTTATGCCCATTTAAATTAAAGGCGGATGTCAATGGTTGTGGCGCAGTAGTGGCCCGACCCTCATTAATGTCTGAACAGTGCGTGGTAGAAAAACCCAGCAGGAACCGATCCCGCATGAAACATCTGTATGTGGCCTGAAAGATTGTTTTTCTTTTTTTTTCAATTTACTTGTTTTAAGTCACTAAACGGTGGAAACAGTTCTGACATGATTTTTTTTACAGGTGTGTAGACTTTAATATTCACTGTAAATGTAAATTTGATTCAATATAAATTGAATATACAGATATAGGTCAGATGTGAATGTTGTTGAGGATCCAGTTCTTCCGTCTAATTAAAGACTGGATCTGGTTCCTGATCCACCTCGAGATCTCAGAGACACGTCGACACTTTTAAGTGAATGTCAAATATCTGAGATGAACTTTGACCGTAGATGATGACTCAGCGCTTGCTCAGGTTTATTTTGAGAATTTATTGTATTATAAATATTAATATTTATGAAATATCAATACAACCGGAGAATACTAACTGATTATTTGTTTTAAGTCAAATATCAATACCGATGTTGCCACTAATGTTGTCATGGTTTCCTATCTGTTATAATTACGGTTTGTCTTTTATTGTGGCGGTATTGTTATGTGATTTATCTGTGGCACTGTTCACACCTCATACAAGGAGCTCTTCGTTCTTCTCACCTCCACAAAAAGACCTGATAACTGTTTCCCAGCATGCCTCAGTACAGTTGGGTCACTCTCAGAAACATACCCCCCATGTACAAAACCCCCTCTGGACTATTCCCGTCCTCTGACCACTCAGAGAAAATAGCCTCCATAAGTAAGGCGAGGCGTTCACTGACCCTGGTAAATATAGGAAAACGTGCGCAGCTAAATAGGGACTCGGAGAAAGGACGCGGACAAAGTCAACGCTGAAATAAAACTTTATTCACACTTTCAGAGAGACACACTGACAATCTGAAACAGAGCTCGGAAGGTTCAAGTTTTCAGTTTTTCAACAAAAAATAATCCAGACGAAATAGAAAAGTATAAAAAGTCGAGTACAAAAACGTTCCTGAACGATTGCACGACTCCTCGAGTACCTGAAGTGACCTGAACTAGTCCTTCTTACTGGTCCAGCTTCATCATAACCCGTCTTCTACTGGCCACCTCCACGCCCCCCTGCCTGAAGTCATGCCGGCGAGCAGGAGCTCGGCTCCCGAGTGTCCACACTCAGGTGCTCATGTCTCGTAGCCGGTCCGGGCCTCCGGCGCCCGCCCCCCCCATGGCTCCCGGGCCTCCTCCCGCAGCGCCGGCGGCAGCAGGAACTCGGCGGCGCTGCTGACCTCAGGTCTCCTCCAGCTCTACGCAGCGCCCGCCTGCAGCTGCGCCCGGTAGCGCTCGGCGAGGCTCTGAGCGAGGTCACCTGCTCTGCTCCGCCTCGCCCACCGCTCCACCAGCTGACCCTGCGCTGCTCCAGAGTGGCGAACAGAAGGTCGAAGCTCTCGCCGAGCCGGCGACGCTGCAGCTCGCCGCTCTCCCGGATGCGCTCGCAGGCCTCGTCCGCCGCCGCTGCCGCCGCCGCCACGCGGGCGTCCGCGCGGCGAGCTGCTCACGGCGCCGCGAAGCTCGCTCTTCTGCGCCTGGTAGACGGCGTGCAGCGGCGACACCTCGCAGTCCTTGTGCTGGCCGAACACCTTGCACATGGAGCAGGTGGGCGTGCTGCAGGTGACGCAGTAGATGTTGATGTGCTCGTCCTCGTGCTCGCCGCACATTGGCTCTTTGGCGTCCCGGTCCTTTGGGGGCGGGTCCTCACCGCCCTCGCCGCCTTGGCTCTCCCGCTGCTGCTTGTACATGTCAATAATGTTCTCCACCAGCAGGTTCCTCTGCAGGCCGTGCACGCCGTGCCGGTCCAGCACCACCTCGAAGCGGCAGGTGGGGCAGCGGAAGGTGCCGCCGGAGTAGCGGTACAGGTTTTTGGACTCGTAGAGGTCGTTGGCGCAGCCGCGGCACAGGTTGTGCTGGCAGGGCAGGATGACCACGGGCTTGGTGAACATCTCCAGGCAGATGGGGCAGCTGAGCTGCGTCTCCAGGCTCTCCATTGCACCAAGGCCACGCACCACCTGACCCGTCTGGATGTCCATGGAGCGTTTTTTTCCCTCCTATGGTCCTGTGGTGTCTCTTCTGGTCTCTCCTGCTTTCTTCTCTAGTTTTTGTTTCAATCTGCCGGCGGGCGAAACTCCGTCGGCCTTTATAGCCTGAAGGGCCTCCTGAAATAGATCTCCCAGCAGCCTCTGCTGCAGCTGCACATGCCTTACTGAGGAATCCCCCCTGTAACAGCGCCTGACCCCCCCAGACGCCAACAACAAGTCCGTTTGGGTCACATGAGTGATACATTCATATTTTTTGATATTTATAAATAAATAAATACTCTATAAATATTCTTTTGAACTCAGACGATCCAGGTGGCCAAAATAAGCAGAAGGTGAGAACCAGACGGTGTGACCTTTGACCCCTAACTGCCCTGCGTTTGTGTGTGTGTTGCACAACAACAGCAGCTGAGTGTCAGTAAACAGGTTGAGCAACGAGTCCACAATGTTCCGAAAACACCTCAGCATCAACAATGGTGACTAGAACTCCCACAATGCACCTGGCTTGTGCGTTTCAGAAGGCTAGTCGGCTCCTTCAACGCGGCCGATTCAGAGGACACGTTTGAGGCTCAGGATGTCCCATCATGCAGGACGGAGGCAGCAAGGGTTCACTTTCAAATGTAACTTAATAGAACTCACTCACGTCTATTCCTAACGTCTAATCCTAACCACTATTCCTAACCACTATTCCTAACCACCTTTCCTCGACCTTTGTGGGAAAAGCCTCGAGGTCGAGGAAACCGGTGAGGAGAGTGGACGAGGAGTTAGGAGAAGACAACGGGGTGTTAGTGGATCCACTCCACTGACCAGCGACGTGGTTGTGATGGACGGAGACGTCACTGTGTTGTTGGTGTGAGTCACACAAACAACCAGGTTCACAGGGAAACTGCACCAACACAACAAGTGATGCTGACGCTTCCTCACATGATCAGCGCGTCTACGTCATGATCCTTCTTCCTTGTGAACGGACCAATGAGAAGTCACGGTTTAAACACTGCAGCCTAAAGGAATCGTCTCTTTATCTCCTTTGGTGCTTCCTACGCTAATGGAGCGAAGTAAGGAAGCATTGAAGCGCCTTTCCTTTGCATTAGAGAATAGAACTGCTCTTAACATGGTGACACTTCTGCACTTCACTTGTGAGGAACCTTCCGACAAACATCTGACAATTCAAACCCAGCCCAGATCTTCAGCCCCCCAGCTGCTAAAACAGGAAGTGGACATTTCCAGAGAGGAAGTGGAGTTGTTTGCTAGGACAACCTGAATCTCCCGGCTTAATCCCTTATCCTGGTTTCGTGCAACAGCCCTCCCCACCCCGTCCCTGTCAGAGACAAGTAAATAAAAGGCCATTAAACCGAACCTGCTGCGTCTTGCCTGCTCTGTGACGCCTTAACAACATTCGCCGTGACATCAGCAAACAGAGGGACACAAGGGAGAGTAAAAGAGGAGAAGAAGGATACAACCAATGGACCACAATGGAGGCTGACATCGTCCAGAAACTCATAAATCACTCACCTCCTGTTTGACAGCCGATCGCTCTGCTGATATATTACAATAAATATGACGATTTTGTGAAATATGAATAGTACTGTATTTTTACCAGTGTTGTATTAGTATTTAGGTAATGACAGATGTAATACTAGCTTTTTATGAAGTTGAATATGATTGTTACACTCTGATTGGTCTTTATGGTTTACACCTTTGTTATATAATATTATATAAATAGATTAAAAACATCATCATAATCTAGCCATTCAAAGTAAATAGAAAAAAACGTTGGTATTTGGTAGAAATGGTATTATTATACAAATACATTTGCTTAATATTTATTTGTAATGTTGATGTTTCAGAAAAAGGTTTTTCGCTCAACCGGAAGTTGTTGGTGTCGTCGCGTTTTAACTTCCGGTTTTGCATCGCCAAAACAGCAGTTAGCCGTTAGCTTTTCCTGATAGCCTCCTCTTAGTGTGTAAAGAAAGGAAGAAGACGCGTGAGAAGAAGTATGGGTACGTAAATAATATATTTACTGCGTTGTAACAAGTATAAGCTGCTAGATAACTTGTAGGCAAACATTGGCTAGTTTGCCCGAATCATGTGGTTGTTATTGAATTGGTATGATCCGAACTCCACCTAAAAAACGTACATTTCTCATTCTTTTGGCCATTAAAGAGTCAGGTATGGAATATAAATGTTATTATTTCCTAGTGTGAGTCAGTTGGAGTTGTATTTACATTCGGTGTGTTGGATAAGTAAACGTAAGTGATGTTGGGTCGCTTTAGCCAACTAGCTAACAGATCGAACCCCAGGTTATGTCTGTAAACAACACGTTGTCTTTTTTTATTCAACCAGCAATGCATCAATATCAAAACATTCATTCATCAATACACCATTAGTACAACCTAAATATCTCACAGAGCTGCCAACTTTTCAAAAAATATGGCCGATGTTTGCAATGTCTATGTATTATGAATATTGTAATTATTACATTACATGACACTTAGCTGACGCTTTTATCCAAAGCGACTTGGAATAAGTGCATTTCAACCGCAAGGGTACAAACCCGGAAGAACAAGAAACAAGAAAGTGCATTAAGTAATGAATGGTGGATTGTGAGTAATAATGAAGATGAATGGTACGTTCAGGTTTCCTGAGGGACATCAGCCATCTTTAATGTGTTCCCCCTCTTCAGCCTCGCCCCCCCCCCTCTCCTCCCTGCGCCTCCTGCTCCCTCCGCTCCGCCTCCTGACGGCGGCAATGTGGCAGGTCGCTCGACTACAGAGCGTGAGGCATTATGGGATGCTGCAGGACTTTGTTGCCCTGGTAACCGAGGCGGTCCCGCAGCTGCTAACTGACAGACAGAGGAGTCTGCTGCTGCTGGCCCTGAGGGCCAAGGTGACTTCATTCATTTTAAGTCAGTAAGGAAAGTTGCTGTGTGTCGTCACGGTGACGCGCAATGTACGTAGTTATATGGGAGGAGCTTCAGCCTCAGTGAACAATAAACATGCTCACTTATTTATCAAACCCCTCTGATCCGTCTTCAGGTGAGTCTCTGTGACCCTCAGGATCGACACCTGGAGAGAGTCCACTCTGTTTCTATGGCAACGGTGAGACAGCAGGACTCCGGTGTTCTTGTTCTTTGCTTTCTTGATATGTTTTTTCTGCTTCTTCTTCTTGTACTGCGGTAATTGGTGTTGATTCTTGTCATTATTGATGATGATCAATAAATCCAATATCTTCTCGGTCGGACCACCAGGTGAATGACACGTGTTCTGCTCTGGTGAATCTGAGTCCACAGGACAGGCTACGACTCCTCCAGGTCAGTTCTCTCTCACCCTTCCCCCACTCGCTCAATCTTCATGGATTGCTTCACAGACCTGCTTGTCTCTGTTGTGGTTCAGGAGGTCTTCCACCACGGCTTTGACTCCGCCCTCCAGTCCCTCATCTCTGACTTCCTGTCCAGGATCGACCAGCTGTTTCCTGTTCCAGACTTCAAACAGGTCCTCTGTTCACAGCACACGTTCACACTGTAGGGTAGGCCCAATCCCAGTGTCCCCCTGACCCCTGACCTCTTAGTGATTCACTGAGGTCACCTGATGGTGTGAATATAAATGGAGAGCTCTCTGCTGCCACCTATCACGTCACCATGACAACGTCACAAAATATGATAAACAATTGAGAGTATTTATTTAATACTTTTTACTCTGATTTGAACGTCTTTCAGGCTCTTCCCAAGGAGCCAAATCCAGGTCAAACGTTTTGATCATTTGAAAAACAAACCTGGAAGTTAACGTTTTGGTCTTGAACATTGAAAAATTAAAGTTAAATTTTAAATTTTAAATTAAAAGTATTTTTGGGTTCATTGTATAATTTTGACTCTGTTCTATAATTTTTTCAATCTTCACTTATAGTACATATCAATATAATTTGATGAGTTGCAGATTTTATATTTTCAGATTTAAATCTTATATTTTATGTTTCAGATCTTTTTTTCAGACTTTTGACCTTGATGTGGCGTAGGGCGTGGGGCATCAACTGAGAGTGGCGTTAATCATGAGTGACAGCTTATCAAATAAGGCTCAGGACAAGGCGGACGACCAATTCGGACCTCCTAGTTCAAAAGCTACATTGTTGTATTCTTCAATGTCCAAGACCAAAACTTCAGGTTCACATTTGTTTTTTAAATGATCAAAACTTTTGACCTGGATTCTGCTCCATACTTTCCTCATAAGATGAGAACTTTTTGACTATTTAATATTTGATGAATAAATTAATACATGTGGTCTGATTTCATGTATTTTTTTCCATCCTTAATCCACGATGTATGAACATTTTAATATTACAGTCTGAACACACGTGTGCCTCCTCTTTGGTTACCTTTTTACGTGGCCATGCTTTCACTGGTTGTACTGTTTTAACGTCACATTGCAATGACTTGTGGGTATTTCCCTTGAACACTTGGCAGTGTGAGTCTGAGGCCATTTCTCAATACCGTAGACAGCGAGAATGGACTAGCGTTCTGTTCAGGAGAACGGTCGTTTCCGCAATTGGAACAGCAGCTGACTTGATGACGTCACCACGTCAGCCGGTCTTGACTGTTAAGTATTTTAGAATCACGCTTTTGTTTTCACTTAAAATACAATAAAAGTGTGTATATGTATACAGGGATGGGATATTTGTCTCTCACGAGAACACGGGTCACATCCGGGTATTACGACCGTTCTCGGCATGTGGGTCTGTGAGGGTGTGGATTCCTCGGCCCCTCGGCCGATGTTAAGAGCTCTGCGGTGGAAAGTCGTGTTACCGTGGCAACTGTCCCTTTGGCTGCTAATGCTAACCCATGAAGCTAACTAGCGACCGCAAAAGGAAACCTGAAAACTCAAAGTCGTTGTCTCCGGTTGTTTCCTTTACAGGCGGCGTCCTGGCTCGACGCTGCCCCCGGGGGTCTGGAGGAGTGTCTGCAGGAGGCGGACCGTGAGGAGCTGAAGGAACTGCTGACCAATCAGAGCTGTCTGCTGGGTTGCGCAACCACCTCAGGTACTATTTCACTTTGTGGTTCCTCTGCTCTGCTTCATATTGATCTCCCTTTTTGCTCGTTCCTCAGTGGGTCACGACGCAGAGGAGGTCCTCCACTCAGCTTGGTCGCACTCCCTCGTCAGCCAACCGACCAATCCTGACCCGCCTCTCAGCGACACAGAGGTCCAATCAGATAATGCGCCTCTGGTGGAGCCGGGGAGAGAGGAGGTGGTGGTGATTGCGGCCGAGGAAGAACATAAGGAAGTGGAGGAGGCTGTCGTCGGGTGGGCTCCAATGGAACAGGAGGCGTCCAATCAAAGCCCAGAAGTGGGCGGCAACGATTGTCCCATAACACCTTGTTTGGAAGACAGGTGAGGCGTTGTGCAATCAGTCGATTGATCCACGGAGCGGTTCACCTATTGATCACCTTGTCTGATAGGTTAAATGACTCACATGGAGACTTTGTGGACCAATCAGAGGACACTGGTGAGAAATAAACACACACACACACACTGATGAAGCCGCTGAATGTCTGTTATAACGCCGCCTTTCTTTACAGCTAACCAATCAGAGCAAGGCTGCTCTGAGGTCACCGCTAATGCGCTGTTCAGTATTTCCCACAATTCACAGAGGGTCGCCCACAAATGTCCTCATTGTGGGAAATGTTTCATCTACCGTTCCCAGGTAAGTTAAAGGTAAAAGTACTACTCGGTGTCCTTGTTTAGGTGGTAGAAGTACTGTATTTAATGTAGTGCATTTACTGTAGTTATTCTAGAAGTACTGTAGTTAAAGTAGTAGATGTACTAGAAGGAGGTAGTACTATTAGTGGTGCAGTGCCCACTCGACACCCTAGTAGCAGCTCATCAGCCCGACTCTCTTTAGGTGATCCGTCACCTGCGGACCAATAAGTCCTGCCGGTCGGCCCTTTCTTCCATGTCTGCCACCCGAGCCTCGAACCGGCAGAGTTTACCTGATGAAGAGCCCCGCCTCCCAGTGCCCCGCCCCCCACAGCCCCGCCTCCCAAGGACCCACTGCTGCTTTCAATGCAATGCCACCTTCAGGACCAAAGCCGAGCTGCTGTCCCACCAGCGCATTCACCGGGCTCGACCCGTCTACCAGTGCTCCCAGTGCGACAGGGAGTTCCACCACCTGTCCAGCCTGACAAATCACAAGCAGACGCACCTGGACCGGGGTGGCATCGCCTGCAGCCGCTGCGACAAGCTGTTTGAGTCAGCCAAAGAGAGAGACGCCCACCAGCTGCAGCACCAGCTGCCGGACCTCACCTGCACGGTGTGCAACCAGACCTTCAGCTCCCAGACCCGGCTGCTGCGACACCTGCAGACTCACTCTGTGGAGGGAGCCGAGCCCTGCTACAACTGCCGCTTCTGTGAGCAGAGCTTCTCAGGTAACTCAGTTGGACAGGTGTTTCCCCTAGGTTTACAATTTCAGGGTCAGGGGGGGGGGTCCGTCCGACCGACACGAAAACCAAAGGCCAACATGGTCTCAATTTATTTAAGAACCACAAAGGGTGAAGGTTTTGTCACTGCAGTGGATTTTTCTAGAGGTCATTTATTGACCTCTTGCAGCCTGCCTGCGGATGTTTGGTTTGACCTGCAAACACATGAAGTGTTAGGCTTTAAAATTGATAGTTGATAGCTTATTATAGTGATCGCTTGAATAAGCCCGTTCTCTATGTAATGTATTGTATCTATTAATTATTGGAGTGTACTTTATTTACTTACCAAGATCAGTGTTGTACAGCCATGGGAGGATTTCCCATGGTGACCGCTAGCTCCTTGTTGGGGAAGGGCTGTGGGGGGGCGGCACTGGCTTGTTTCTGCACTTGAACTCGGAGCAGGAGAGACAGCAACTTGTCCCATCTTCTCCGCCCCCTGCTATAATGGTAGGGGAAACACTGGTGACCAGAGCGCCTCAGGTAGATCTTAGGTAACTCTTGTCCACTCAGCAGGCCCCAACTGAGAGACTCCCTCGTTCCCTTCAGGTGTGACCCAGCTCCGCATCCACCAGCGAACGCACACCTTCCGCTCCTACCAGTGTGACCAGTGCAGCAAGACCTATGGCTCCCTGGCCGGCCTCCACTCCCACCGGGCCGGCCACACCGCCGAGAGCCGCTTCCTGTGCCCGCAGTGTGGCAAACGCTTCAAGACGCGCGATGGGCTGGAGGGTCATCTGAGAACGCACAGTGGTGAGCGGCCCTACCGCTGCCCCTACTGCCCCAAGGACTTCACCGCGCTGGCCGGCCTCAATGTGCATGTGCGCCGTCACACTGGGGAGCGGCCGTACGTGTGCACGGTGTGTGGCAAGGGGTGGCCGTCCGGGGGCGACCTGCAGAAGCACATGAGGATACACACCGGAGAGCGGCCCTACGTCTGCCTGGAGTGTGGCAAGGGCTTCTCCATTTCCTGTCACCTGACCGAGCACCGTCGGATCCACACCGGTAAGAAACTACAGCCTGAAGTGTTTAAACCGTTAAACTGCAGCCTGAAGTGTTTACACCGTTAAACGACAGCCTGAAGTGTTTAAACCGTTAAACTACAGCCTGAAGTGTTTAAACCGTTAAACTACAGCCTGAAGTGTTTAAACCGTTAAACTGCAGCCTGAAGTGTTTATGCCGTTAAACTGCAGCCTGAAGTGTTTACGCCGTTAAACTGCAGCCTGAAGTGTTTACGCCGTTAAACTGCAGCCTGAAGTGTTTACGCCAATATTTCAGGACTATATGGACATTATTGTGCGGGGTTTTGTGCCCCCCCCCGTGTTTTTTTCCTTTTTTGCCCCCCCCCTGTTTTTCTCCTTTTTTGCCCCCCCCCCCTGTCTCTCTCCCTTTTTGCCCCCCTGTCTCTCTCCCTTTTTGCCCCCCCCTGTCTCTCTCCCTTTTTGCCCCCCACCCTGTTTTTTTCCCTTTTTGCCCCCCCCCCTGTCTCTCTCCCTTTCTGCCCCCCCCCCCTGTCTCTCTCCCTCTCTGCCCCCCCTTCCAGGAGAGAAGCCCTTCTCCTGCCCGGACTGTGGGAAGTGCCTGAGGAGGAAGTTCGACCTGAAGAAGCACATGTTGTCCCACAGCAACGTCCGTCCTCACGGCTGCGTCTTTTGTCCCAAAAGCTACACCCGTAAGACTCATCTGAACCGCCACCTGCTGACCCACCGGGCGCCAGGCGGCCAGGTGGCGGAGGAGGTGGCGGAGGACGCTTGAGTTCTCTGCGGTTGTCAGTGTCACCAGTGTCCCTCGTGTTGGTTCCTGTGTATCTTTGCTCTCACTCTATAAAAGCTCTCTCGTGCCCTCTTGTCGTGTGACCTCATTTCAACACTTTTACATTGCGGGCCAAGCGTGTGTCACCTGGACAAGTGAGGCCTTCAGGTGAGGCCTCCAGATCCATGCGATAATGAAGCCAGTTGTTATAAAGCCTGTGTTGGATGCTGGGGAGGAGGTCCCCCGCCTGCCGCCTGTGTGTTAATTGAGCGTGGGGCAGTGTGAGGTATGCCGGTCACATGACGGCGCTGCGGGGCAGGAGACGCCCTGCTGCCTCCTCCAGAGACCTTCTGTCCCCCAAAGCCCAACAATCTGCTGGTAAGACTTTTTGTCTTGAAACTAAAGATTCAACTTTAGTTTTGTGATATTTAACCATTTTATTTATGAACTTAACAATTTTTAACTCTTTTTGTTGAACATGTCACCGTTTTGTGTCAATTCTATTTTTCACTTTCACAACATTATCAAACAGATTTGTTTTGTTTCTTGAAACGTTAACACCTTATTTATTGTCAACATTGTAACCGTTTTTGTTCAATATGGTTTTATTTGCTACGTTTTTTTTGTCCATTTAATACATACCGATTTGTTTTATTATTGCAATTTCCTTCTTTAGATTGAAATATGAATCAATTTAAAACCTAAAATGAAAAGGACTTTAATATTCAACTGTTTTAGTTTTCTCCCGATGTTGTGAGTTCTGCTCCCTTGGATTATGTCTCCGAGGAGGATGGAAACCAAGCCGGTGATCTTCTGTCTAAAGACGCTGCTGCTGCTCTACTGCCTCGTCTTCTGGGTCAGGACACGCTTTGTTTACTCTGCTTACTTTGTTTACTTACATTTGAGTCTGATATCATAGAAATACATTTATTTAGTCGCTGATGGACAGTTTACTGCTTCATAATTCCAAATGTTAGGTCAGAGGTCACCCATAGAACAGAGGTCGCCTCCTGGATGTCTCTTCTTTACGTCTCGGTGTCACTTTGTCGCTCTGCTGTCAGAGACACGGTCATGTGACGTTAGACCCCTCCCCCCTCAGGTGACAGGTGTGGTGCTGCTGTCTGTGGGTCTGTGGTGGAGGTTCATGTTGGGCCCCTACACCTCTCTGATCTCCAGCGGGTCCTCCAATGCGCCCTATGTCCTCACGGCCACCGGGGGCGCCATCGTGCTGTTTGGGCTCTTTGGCTGCTTCGCCACTTGCAGGGGGGGGGCCTGCATGCTCCGACTGGTACTAGCCATCACACTTGAACTTAACTTTGTGTGTAACAGCAGCTGTTGGTTGTGTACTTAAGCAGTAGAAGTTCTTCTCTTGTGGACTTAATGCAGTAAATGTACTCCTCCTCAGTATGCAGTGTTTCTGTCTCTGGTCTTCACGACTGAACTCATCGCCGGAATATCAGGATTTGTCTTTCGTCACGAGGTTAAAAAAAACCCCAATGTTCATCATGTCTGTGCTTAGATCAACTACTTATTATTAACGTGTTCAGATCAAAGGGATACATACCAACACAATGTTTCTTCAGATCAAAGGGACGTTCCTGACGACCTTCAGCGACGCTGTGAGGAGATACGATGGACGAGACGACCGGAGTTTGGCTGTGGACGGAGTCCAACGAAGGGTCTGTGACTAGAAGACCCTTAACCTCTAGCTGTGGCGTTCCTCAGGGCTCCATCATGGGTCCTCTACACTTACGTTACTAGCCAAAGAATTGAAAAACAATCAGTGATTCATACACAGATTCCGCTCTACGCTGACGATGCAGTGATCTATGTGTGTGAGGTTTGAACCTGATGAAGATGCCGTCTATCTTCACACAGTTGCTCTGCTGTGGCGTCAACAACTACACCAGCTGGCTGGGATCGCTGTATTTCCCCGCGGGGGGGGTTCCTGCCAGCTGCTGCGTCAGCTTCGCCGACTGCGGCGCCACCGACCTGAAGGACGCCGCGCTGGCCTCCCACAAGGTGCACAAGCAGGTGGGCTGACTACCTCCGGGTCATGTGACAGGACAGGGGTCCTCTGGTTTGATTTCTAGAGTTGGGTTACGACAACAATTCTAACAAGGCCCAGATCTTCTTATGCACCACTATTTCAAATAATATTCTTCACTGTAAAATATATTTAAAAAAATGCAAAAGAGGGATTTAAAATTGTGCTATTTAAAATATATATATATATATATACATACGCAATATATATTATTTCTGTTTCTGCAGGGTTGTTATGAGTTAGTGACGTCCTTCCTCGAGGGAAACATGGGAATAATTGCTGGAGTGACGTTTGGCGTTGCCTTCTCTCAGGTACGTCTATACAGTACTACGGAAGCAGGAGGCAGCGTGGTCAGAATGTGACACATCAGCAGAAAGTAGTCACGTCTGAAGACATCACAGATGTGTCAGACTGAAAGGCTCTAATGTGTCTCTTGTCTCAGCTGATAGGAATGTCTCTGGCCTGCTGCCTGTCTCGCCTCATCCACGCCAACCAGTACGAGATGGTGTGACAGGTAGGCATGCACAAACACACACACACACACACAAGCAGACTTCGTTCTTGTTGTCGTCCTTGATCTCTTTTCTTTGTCTTCCAGAAAAAAGTCGAGGTAGGAGTTCCCTCATGAAGCTTCACCAACAAACAAGATCAATAATTGATAATCAATGACTTCTCGTACACTTAACTAAACTCTGTGACATGTTTGAAAACTATGAGATAAGATTGTTCAGTCCACTGCACAGCAGTATTAGTACACCTAAGGAAACCATAGTACACATAAAGACAAGTAGTACACATTAATTTCTGTACGGATCATCATGATGATGAAGATACTTTAATCGAATAAGGTTAAGTTGTGTGTTTTGCTGTAAAATTTGTGGTGAGAAATAAAGCTCTTTCCTCATAAAGGTCATTTCTAGTGTTTTTCAAAAAATAGCTTAAATGACAAAATATATTAAGAAATATCTTATTCCATGTGTTATTGTATTCTATTGTTTAGAACATACCATAATTATCCAGAAGTATGCAGTGTCATAACTACATCTCTGACGTTTATAACAAACCAACCCGTTTACAAATCTGTTGCAAATTGAGCAAGTTATGGTTAATTAAAAAGTACATGTACCACCAACACAATGTTATGGGTGAGCGAGCTGCCTGTAGCAAGATGGCCGCCCTGTGCGGACGTTCTAGACCCAGTTGGTCGGCAGCGCCTTTATATATATATCTATGGTTTGTGGCGTCACGTCGCAATGACTTAAGACAATGAGGGTAATTCACTTGGGAAAAGATTCCTAAAGGGCTCAAGGGTCAAACTCATAACAAAGCGTTACTTACTCTGCAGTGTTGCTCGCAGGTTTACAACTTCGCGGGGCGGACACAAAACGGCCGGACGCGCGCGCTCTCTCCCCTGGCGCGAGCGCCGCGTGCGCGCATACACGGACATATGCGTGCACGTGTTGGGGCGGAACTGTCGTGCGTGATTTTTTTTTTTCTTTTCTTAATTCCAGACTTTCATCGGCGGGGAAACACTGCACTCTGTCAACCTCATTACAAAGCTTTACTTATAGTTCTTATAGTTCTTTCGTTCCATCTCAAAACTGTATAAAACAAAATAAACATTTAACGTTTTGTGGAATAATTGGGTGTTTAATGAATTACATTAGAAACAAGAAACAACATGTTTTGGGTGTCTTTGTTCCGCATCCTTTTCCTTCTTTTATTTGTTCTGCAGCTTTTGGAACCATAAATGGAGGATATTCCAGTAAACCACAAGTACCTCGTTATTGGGAAATAACTGAACTTGTACACATATAGTATTCATACAAAAAGTACTCCTGTGCACGTAAAGTACACCCTTACCATAAGCTCCTCCTGATCTCCAGTAAACCGATTAACTTCTTTTCCTTAGAACACAAGCAGAACCAGAGAGGAAGAAACCCCGAGAACTACACCGAGCGAGGCAGAAGAACCAGCTTCACTTTTGACCGAGGGTCTCAGAGTGGACACACATCTGGGGACACATCTGGATCTCAGATAATCGTCCATCTTCATCCTCCCATCTGTACTGCTCATAGCTGCTACATGCTAACTTCTGCTAGCCTAGCTTCATCATTAGCTACATTTAACCTGTTAACGCACTGCACTTCTTCATTTCAGCATTCAACTCAACCTAGCTAAACCGGAATTGAGTTAGCTTAGCTTTATAGCTTCTCTGAAGCTGTTGTGTTGTACTATAATTTGTTGTGATGTACAGACTGCTTGGTGATAATCCTCTATTTATGCATGAAGTTAGCTTAGCTGTCAGTTAGCTTTGCTTAAGTTTTGTTTTAATCAAGCTAACTTGGAGCGTTGTCGTGTTTTAGCCAGGCTGTATTCCAGCTGGTTGGTTTTAAATAGCGTGAAAATAACTTAGCCCGGCTGTAGTTTAGCTTAGCTGTAATTCTCCTCAATACCATTTAGCCTAACGTAAACGTAAATGTAATTTAGCCTAAATGTAACCTAACCAACCTAAATTTAATTTAGCCTACTTGTAAGTTAGCCTAAATATAACTTAGCTAAGCCATATATTAACCTAAATTTAAGTTTGCCTAAATGAAACTTGCCTGGTTGTAATCCATCGGGTTAATCATTGAGTCGGTTTTTACCAGAAGCTGAGGGATATTGCTCAAAGTTGAAGCTTAGCATTAGTGTTTTTGCTATCGGAGTACAAAAAGCTTGCAGCAAGCACCACAAACCTCACGATGGATTCAGAAGAGGAAGACAACGTGTTTTCCACCCAGAGTCCTCTAAGAGTAGATGATGAGGAGGAAGAGGAGGAAGAAGATGATGAAGAGGAAGACGGACGCATCTTCAACACCTGGATGCAGCGCTGCAGGGGGGCGGGGCAGAATAAAGAAGGGCAGGAGGAGCAGGAGGAAAAGGGGGAGGAGATAGATGGAAGAACACCTGAGAGCAACTTGGATCCGCCAATCAGAATGAGGACGGAGCGGCGAGCGTCTCTACCTAGCCCCGTGAGGCCAAATATATGTGTTCATATAATATATATATATATATATATTTACATACATACACATGTATATACTGTCTGAAATTCAGACTCCCGCATGATCTGTAACGTTTTTTAATCGTATTGTTGTCCGTCTTTGTCTCTCTGTCCAGGCCACTCTGTCCTCCATGCACCTGTCTCGCCTCCAAACCTCCACCCGAGCTCCGGTAACAGCGAGGGTACTTCTGCGCCACTCGTCCTCCCGTCGCCTCCTTCCGTCACCGCAGGACACTGATGGCCCTGCCGCCCCCGAGCGGAGACCCTCCCTCATACCCACAATCCCTGAGGTTACGCCGCATGAGAGGCGGGGCTTCAGGAGACGCAACGTCATGTCACTGGTGGGTGAAAAGTTTGTATCTGTCTTAATGCCAAGCTAATGGCTAAAAGATGAATAGTAAAAAAAAATGGGAAACTCTAAACCTAATTTTCCTGTGTGTGTGCGTCCTGCAGAGTGACGCCTACAGTGTTTGTCTCATCTGTCATAACGAGTTGAGTCGAGGAGCCGGAGGAACCAGAGAGCTGCAGTGCGCACACACCTTTCACAGAGAGGTAATGTACAGGATTTCACTGTACATTGTATATATATACTGTACATGTATATTTATATTAGGGCTCTCAATAGATAATACTAATTAATCACACATTTTGAAATACATTAATCGCAATTAAGTTTATTTTTGTTATTTTACAGTGGTGGCACACCGGTAAACAAGTGTGTTAACTGCGTTAAAATATTTTATTGCATCATTCTTGGCCACATTGATAGCATAGATGAACACGTTAACGTTAATGTTCAAACAAAGTACAAATAGCTTAAATGTGTTCTTCTCTACTTGTCTCTCTGTCTCCCTCAGTGTTTAGAGGAGTGGCTTTGGAGGAAACAGTCGTGTCCTACATGTCACGTCCAGGTGACTGTCCCTCAGCCAGCCCACTGGAGCTCCACCCGGGTCAAAGTCCCCTGAGACCACCGGAAGAGACAGCTACGTCATCGAGCGTCACCCAAAATGTGATGTCAGAGTCCTCTTCAATCTGCGTCTTCAGATTCACTTTCTGATGACATCATGAGACGGTGACACCATCAGACGGAGACAAACCATCTGTCTATAATGTTGTAGCATGAGTTTAATATGACAATTATATAAACTGAAACCATGGTAACCTTATGTGTGTGTGTGTGTGTGTAACCTACTTGTTTATACAATTCAACCTCAATTCGTTGTTTATATTTTTAAATAAAGTTTGATTGTAAAGTTTCGAGGAAAAAGTACTTAAACATTCTTAAAAATGTCTGTAAGTCTTGACTCAACGTATCAGCCAATTATGAATAAAAAAAAGTAAAGTAAAGTGGAGTTTTGAATCGATGTGTATCGAAGGAAACAGCGCCCCTCTGCTCTGAACCACTCGCGCTGCGGCCGGAAGCGGTACTGCAGGGCGGAAGTGCTGCACCTGTTGCAGTGTTGACTCCTCGACGTTACCTGAAGCCGAGCACACCTGTGCTTCTGCCTCTAAAGCCCCTCAATGGACAAGTTAAAGAAGGTTCTGAGCGGCCAGGATGAAGCGAACAGCGACGGGACCGGGATCCTGGAGGTACCGGTACCGGCGGCCGGCATCCCGGTGCAACTGCTGCTAATGCTAGCTTGGTAGCTTGTTAGCTGTTGTTAACCAGTTAAACCAGATGGAAACGTTAACTGAGTCACCAGTTAACGTTTCCATCTGGTCATTAAAACCTTTAATGTGTACCACAAGTAAAAACCAGTTTCTGGTACTTGGAAAGAGTTCATACTACTCTCTAAGAGTACTTAATTTGTCATATTTAATAATAGTGTTTTACAGATACTACAAAGAATTATCTCTTCTCATCTCTAAGGTTAAATTCATGTCCTGGATCCAAAACTGTAATCTAGTAAAAGTACAAAATGAACTTGTCTATAAAACACAATTTATTAGTTGATTAACAATCTGTAAAGAAAGTGAAATGTAGAGCAGGATGAGTACAATATTGACTCTGACACAGAGAATGGTGATAAAGTCAATTTGAGTAAATGTACTTAGCATCTCCTTTAGCCTGAAGGAGTTTTTCTATTGAAAACATGGCGGTTTCCTCCGCAGAGAGCCAATGAGGCGTCAACACTGGCCTGGGGGACCCGGATGAAGGGCTTTGCGGTGTGCTTCGTTCTGGGCATCGTCAGCTCCATCCTGGTGAGTGTTCCCACGGTAACCGCTGGTCCTCGTCATGGCGTAACCGTGGTGACGGCCGCCCTCTGTCCGTCCCGCAGGGCAGCTGCATGCTGTGGGTCCCCCGCGTGGGCCTCGCCGTGTTCGCTGTCCTCTATAGTGTGGGAAACCTCAGTGCTCTGGCCAGGTAACTGGAGCGGTTACCTGTTTTCTCCTTCCCTCCATAACGCCCTCATGCTGGTGGATACTACATTACCCATCATGCCTCAGCTCCCCATGTTTCATTTCAGCACAATGTTCCTGATTGGTCCATGTCGGCAGCTGAAGACCATGTTTGCTAAAGAGAGGGCGCTAGCCACCGTCATCATGGGGGTGAGGAGTACACACACCTAGTACAGGGAGTGGTAGTGGGACTGAGGAGTACACACAGCTAGTACAGGGAGTGGTAGTGGGACTGAGGAGTACACACAGCTAGTACAGGGAGTGGTAGTGGGGCTGAGGAGTACACACACCTAGTACAGGGAGTGGTAGTGGGCCTGAGGAGTACACACAGCTAGTACAGGGAGTGGTAGTGGGCCTGAGGAGTACACACAGCTAGTACAGGGAGTGGTAGTGGGCCTGAGGAGTACACACAGCTAGTACAGGGAGTGGTAGTGGGACTGAGGAGTACACACACCTAGTACAGGGAGTGGTAGTGGGCCTGAGGAGTACACACACCTAGTACAGGGAGTGGTAGTGGGCCTGAGGAGTACACACAGCTAGTACAGGGAGTGGTAGTGGGCCTGAGGAGTACACACAGCTAGTACAGGGAGTGGTAGTGGGACTGAGGAGTACACACACCTAGTACAGGGAGTGGTAGTGGGCCTGAGGAGTACACACAGCTAGTACAGGGAGTGGTAGTGGGCCTGAGGAGTACACACAGCTAGTACAGGGAGTGGTAGTGGGCCTGAGGAGTACACACAGCTAGTACAGGGAGTGGTAGTGGGCCTGAGGAGTACACACACATGGTACAGGAAGTTCTAGTGGGGCTGATGTAGTAGACGTGTGAGGATTAGTTGTGGTAGCGGTAGTCATGGTAGTAATGCTAGTGTTGGAAGTGGTACTAGTATAAGTAGTGGTAGTACTACTTTGTCACTATGGCAGCAGTAAAAGCACTCCTTGTGGTAATAACAACTCTCTTCAGGTTTGTCTGGCGTTGACGCTTTGTGCTGCATTCTGGGTGAGAAACACAAGCTTCTATTCATCACTTGTCATTATGAATTTATAGTTATTATATTTAGTAGCTTCTGGATTCATGTCTTTGTCTCTCTGCAGTGGAAGAATAACGGTCTCGCTCTGCTCTTCTGTGTGCTTCAGTTCCTAGCCTTTGCCTGGTATAAAATACATATAATATATATATATAAACATATGCATACACATATACTATATATATGTCACATTGATGGACACGGTCCTGTCTAACTGCTGTTATTCACAGGTACGGCCTTTCATACATCCCCTTCGCCAGGTAACGTTCTATTTATATATATATATATATATATATATATATATATATAACACCAATTATATTTTATCTGAATTTATTGTATTTAATATGATTTGTTTATACTTTTTATGATGCATCCCTGTATTTCTTTGTAAGTTTACTAACTGTTTGATGGTTTAATTTACTGATCAATGTGCTTTTTTGATTAATAAATCTTTAATGTTGTGTTTCAGGGACGGTGTCATGAAATTATGTTCAATGTGCTTCTGACGTGTCGACCAATCAGGAAGCAGGACTCCGCCCAGTGTGCATCCAATCAGTAACTGATTGAAGGCCTTAAACATTTCAAAACCTGATACGGTTAAAATCAATGTTAGCTGTTAGCATGTAGCCGTTGCTAGCATGCAGTCACTGTTGACATGTTAGCATATAGCTACAGTTAGCACCTTGTCTGTAGCCACTGTTAGTAATCATGCACTGTAAGCATGTAGCCACTTTTATTAAATAGGCACTGTTAGCGCTTAGCATATAGCCTCTGTTAGCATCCTCTGTTTCTTGCCATCACTGTTTGTAACATTACTATTTTTTATATTTAGATGCTGCTGTTGTTTTATTCTGGGAGATGAGACCAAAAAGAATATTTGACATCCTGAGATTTGAATATTGAAAATAATTTCTTGTTACGGTTGATTCAAAGTTATATCTGTGGTGAAAATAACCAGCTGATGAATCAATAAAATAATCATGAGTTAGTATTTCTCAACAACAGAATCTAGTAATAGAATATTTATTCTATTACTATCACTACTTTAACTACATTTTTACATTACGTGTCATTTAGCTGACTCAAAAGCTTTGACCCAAAGTGAAAATAAGTGCATTTCATTTTCATTTTATTGGTCATTTTTTAGTAAAGTTACTAAGACTTCTTTAGTCTTCAACAGGAAGTAAACTTATTTTTACACTAAACAACATCTATCTATTAAAATACCTTTTTTATTAAATTTGCTTTCTGTAATTTATTTTAATAAATCTTCAGTAAAATGCCAGAAAATCTATTTGTACATTTTCAATAATGTGTGAACTATTACTTGAACTATTTCTAAATTTCTAAATATTTTCAGTAAATTTCAGAAAGATTATTAATGGAAGAAAATATTTATTTATTTTATTTCACTCTTTTATTTTAAAACATTTGTATAAAATATATTTGATTAAAGTTTAAAGGAAACCTATTTTACGGTTTTATTGTGAAAGAAAAGCACGCGTGTGTGTGTGTGTGTGTGTGTGTGTGTGTGTGTGTGTGTGTGTTTACCTGCTCGTCTCTTTCAACTGTTAAATCCTTTAAATCCAATAATCTCCAGGTGCTGATTAAACAGCATCCAGGTGTGTGCGTGTCTTTGTCTCCAGATGTTGACCTCTTCTCCATTACACGTCGGTGTGACAGATGATCTGCATTATCGATCTTCTGATCATTTATTGATCTTTTGGTGTTGATTGTGATTCTGAAAAGGAGAAAAAGATTTACGGTTTAAAATCATATTTTCATTTAATGTTTTGTGTTTGTTTTAATTTCATTGTTTCTATTTGGATTTTCATTTAAAACTTGTTTTTGTTGTTTTTTATGTTTTCTTAGTGTGGCTAAAATATGTGAATTAATTTGTTGATTATTCTTTTCTGCTGCTGCTGCTGGTAGTGATGATGAGGACGATGACGATGATGATGATGGGGATGAAGGAGCTCCACACTGAGATGGTTTGTCCTCTGGTCGGCTCAGTTGGAGGCGGATCAGCGTCACCTCACACTCAACTCTTCTTCTTCTTCATCATCATCATCATCACCACTATTATTATTAATACAACAATAACGACCGACTCTCGTTTTTGGATTATTTCTGCTCTTTGTCACTCAGGTAAGTTATTTAATATTGTTGACATCATTCTGATTATTGTTATTATTGCTGTATTTGTTGATAATTATTATTCACTAAAGAACTTGAATTAGGATTTGGCTATTTTTTTTGCTATTGAATTATATTAATTGAATATTTGAAAGTTAATTATTGTGATATGTTTGTTATTTTAATGATAAACGTGTTGGCAGCGGTTTTATTAAATATATTTTATAGTATTTATTTTGTCCGTTAGGAGTCGTTGGTCCGTCCGGCTGCAGTTTGTAATTAAGTCGTTATCCAATTAGAACTAACGACCATCTGACACGGAGATATTTATTAGTGCAACACGCGTGTGGATACACGTATTTGCTCAAATAACGTTTGTTTAATATAAAGATGGAAATATTTTGAATGGAGATTTAAATATGATGTACACGCTGCTCCATATGATCGGGTTTGTTTCTCACATATTTTATGTTTAGTGTATTAATAAAAACAATTATTTTACCAAAAAGATAATCCTGAATTAAAGTTACTGTTATCGGTATGATTCATGATGATTGCCAATTATGTAAATCGATGTAATCAAAGTATAAATTGTGTTTTAATAAAGCTATTCAGTTAGAATATAACTGCAAATACACACATTCAAATGTATTCATATGAGTAAAAAAAGACAATATATGTGAGGGTCTACAAAGGATTTGTTGATGAAATAGATCCTGTTCTTTTTTGTTTAACATTGCAATTTAAATATTTCTGAATGTTTCAGAATAAAAGTGGTGGTGTGGATGTGAAAGCGAGCTCGTCGTTCTCAGATGAAGGTGGAGGGTCTCCAGGAGGAGTCGGGTCCCGTGTCCCCAGCAGACCGGACCTCCTCTGAGAACCGGGTGACCCGGCTGCTGAGCGCCGTGGAGGGCGAGCTGCGGGCCGGCCGGGAGAAGGGCGACCCGACGGAGAGGGAGCTCCGGGTCACGCTGGAGGAGGCAGAGCTCTGGAAGAAGTTTCAGGAGATCACCAATGAGATGATCGTCACCAAGAATGGCCGGTAAGACCAATTAAGAAGCACCCTCGGGCTCCCTTGGGGTCATGGGGTCACCTTTGGGTCGTCCCAGCTCCCCTTTGGGTGGTTGTGCCCCCCCCCCCCCCCCCCCCCCTCCTCCCTTCCTGCTGGTCCTGCACATCCACACTGGTGTTTCCACCTACGTTCCCCATGAAACCATCAAAGAGCGTGAGCGGATGATTAGACTGACGATGTTGGAGCTGCTGCTTTGTTCTATATTCAGAGATAAAACAGGAGCAACAGGCAGCTGACTCCAGATCAGCCACCCCGTTAACCAGGGTCATTCATTAGCGTCTCTAGCGTGGACGCCGTGTGGGAGAACTTCTCCATTCACACCTGCAGAATCCACTTCAGCTGCTGTTACATCCACTCACAGGTTCACTTCCTGTTGCTCCTCTGAAGCTCAGGTTACTTTACTCTCATCAACATGCCGCTTAAATCACCAGAGAGACTCTCCAACAACCACAACCCACAGGCGTCCTGTCGCTCACCGGCCTTCAGGTGGCCGTTTGGCCCGCAGGCGGGGTCACCGACCCTCAGGCTGCCCTTTGTTTGCTCTGAGCTTTGGCTTTGTGACCTTTGACCTCGTGCAGCCGGATGTTCCCGGTCCTGAAGGTCAGCGTCTCCGGTCTGGACCCCAGCTCCATGTACTCCCTCCTGCTGGACTTTGTGCCGGCCGACGGCTGCCGCTGGAAGTTCGTGAACGGGGAGTGGGCGGCGGCCGGCCGGGCGGAGGGGCGAACCGAGGGGCGGGGCCACGGCGGCATCTACATCCACCCCGATTCGCCCAACTTCGGAGCTCATTGGATGAAGGCGGCTGTGACCTTCAACAAGGTGAAGCTCACCAACAAGATCAACGCAGGGGGACAGGTGAGGACTTATTGATCTAATTCACTTCCTTTCCTTCCCCCCTCTTCGCCTCCTTCCCTCCTCTTCCCTCATTTCTTCTTCTGCGTTCTGCGGCTCCTCGTGTTGTTAGCGTCTCTCCTTCTCCGTCTTCTCTCCTGCGTATCGCTTATCGCTCTCCGGAGTGGGCGAGAGACCCCCGCCGCCTTTTAATTAACCACTTCACTCCCTCCGCTCGTCTACTTCACCTGCTCGCCCCCCGTAACCACGGGAACCGGATAAACCGCTCCTAATTGGCCGGCAGCGGCTTAATGCACTTCCTGTTGAGGGGCCTCCGCACTACAAAAACTGGCAATAACGTTGTTTATATTTACCCCATTACCCCCCCCTGCCCCCCCCCACACACACACACACACTCACACACACACACACACGTCGGTGCAGAGCTGGAACAGAGAGCTCGGCCATAATGAAATAATTGCTCAGCTTATTTGTACATTATGGTAATTATGTTTTTTACTGGTAAATTAATTTACCCATCATGCTTCAGAAGGACGAGAGAGAGCGAGAGAGAGGTAAACTATATTTGACACACACACACACACACACAGGTGAGTGGAGGGGTCAGCCAGCCTCTCAATCTGAATAGAAAACTGTTTGTTTTTGTGTGACTGCCTGGAGGGCCCTGATTGGTTAATTGGGCCTCGTTAGTGAGGAAGAGGAGGAAGAGGAGGATGAAAGAGTGTTTGGATGGCTCCGATCCACAAACAGCACCTGGAGCCTCTCTGCTCCGCGTGGCCGTCCGGGTGGAGGTTCTCGTGTGCTGACCGGCTGCTCTCTGCAGGTGGTGCTGAACTCGCTGCACCGCTACGAACCTCAGCTCCACATCGTGTGCGTCGGCTCTCGCCATCGACTCGTGTCCCATGTGACCTTCAAGGAGACGCAGTTCATCGCTGTCACGGCCTACCAGAACGAGGAGGTACAAGTACACACATGGACATGGAACATGACGTATATCTGGTTCATTGTCAAAGGCTTAAGTTTTGATTCCACATGTTGGTTGTTGAATATTTGTAATATCTGACATTAAATTGTAAATGAAGTTCTTCAAATAGTGAACCGTAGAACCCTAAATAACTAAACTAAATTAAATAGAGAAGTTAAATTACAGCAATGAGGAGTTTCACATGTTTGCTTTTGTGTTATTTTGAATGTTGAATGTGACTAAATGTGCTTTTGTGTTTTTCATGTGTTATTTGCTGTGTTCTCTTTGTGTGTGTGTGTGGGTGTTCCCTGTGTTGTGTTACATGTGTGTGTGTGTGTGTCTGTGTGTGTCTGTGTGTGTGTGCGTGTGTGTGTGTGTGTGTGTGTGTGTGTCTGTGTGTTCCTGTGTTGTGTTACATGTGTGTGTGTGTGTGTGTGTGTCTGTGTGTGTGTGCGTGTGTGTGTGTGTGGTGTGTGTGGTGTGCGTGTGTGGTGTGTGTGTGTGCGTGCGTGTGTGCGTGTGCGTGTGCAGGTCACGGCTCTGAAGATCAGGTACAACCCCTTTGCTAAAGCCTTCCTGGATGCAAAGGACCGGTGAGGCCTCGTCTGCTTTATTAATTATGTGAATAAAGTCATTATTACTCAGTAAATGTATCCTGCTGCTGTACTATAGAAGTACTTCCTTTTTACTACTTCTTGGGGTTTTAATTCCTTCACAGATTCTGTTCTTCTTGTTTACATCAAACAACATATGATAAACGTATAGAATAATATTACATACTTAACTACATGAAGTTGATAATACTTGTATACTTTTACTTTAACTACATGGAGCTCCTACCGCTTGTGTACTTGTAGTATTAGGAGGTGAAAGAATGAAGGAGGTGTCAGTCAGCAGATCGCTTCTCACCTGGATATTAGATTAGATTCAACTTTATTGTCATTGCACAGGGTTCAAGTACTGAGGCAACGAAATGCACTTTAACACCCGACCAGAGTGCAAAGTAGCAAAAAGTGCAGAGTGAGTGCAAATGTAAAGTGTAATAAGTGAATAAATAGATATGTACAGTAAGAAATAGATCTACAATGAGAAGTTAGCATTAGCTCACGCGTGACACACACACACACACACACACACTGTCTGACCGTGTGATGGTAGCGTTTGATTTACCTATCTCAGGAACCCGGGGGGGCGGGGTTTACCGGAGTCCTCAGACAGTTGCGTTGGGATTCAACCCTGTGAGTCCAGAACATATTTTTATTCCTTTGATCTTATAAATTCATTTAAAAAGAGAATCGTTTCATATTTGGAAATAAATTCAGAAAAAATTAATGTGTGTGTATGTATGTATGTATATATATATATATATATATATATATATATATATATATATATATATATATATATATGCTATATGGCATGAAATATATACATCTATCAAAATTTGCTTCTAAAAATCAAATTGTGTTACTGCTCCATGTTTACATTCAGTATTTTAATTAGAATTATTTAGATAATCAAACATGAAATTAAATAATTGCTTATGAGAAAGCCAAAACCAAATATTAACATTTCAATTTGTTTAATGTTTTCTTAGAAATGTAATATTATACATTTTATTTTAAATGAATGTATTGTGTATGTATACTATTAATATGTGTGTGTCAGGCTGGTCACTGTGCACTGCTGGAGGGGGCGGAGCTTACCCCTACGGTGGTGGTCTCCCACTGAGCTCACACCATCACCACGGTTACCCGGGACGACACGCACCTTACCCCTCCCCCTACATGCCGCCACGCCCACACGCCTCAGGTACTTTTGTGTGTGTGTGTTTACCGCCGTGCAATAAACATGCACCCGTATTTATACTAATGGATTGTTTTATACTTTATATATTCATACAAAGGGAATATACAGACTCGTAGATCCATGCCCTTATTTACTTTAAAAGACTAATGTGTGTGTGTGGGGGGGGTCAGTTTGTTTGTCTGAAGGTGTCCAGGTGCTATCAGACAGGTGGAGTAGCTCCTCCCCTCGACCAACCTCCTCCACCAATCACAACGCCCCGTCCTCACAGCCTCCCACTCCTCACAGCTCCAGGTGAGCAACACGCCTTATTAACATGAATGTTATATGATGAAATATATACATGTATATATGTGTGTATATATATATACGTATATACACATATACATGTGCATTTATATACATATGTATATGTGCTTGTATTCAGTCAGTATCCATGTCTGTGGACGGTTGGATGCGGTGAGCCAAGCCCCTCCCACTCCCCCTGCACAGCCCTCCACGGACCAATCAGCAGCGAGAGCGTCATGCAGCCGCCCAGTCATGGCCGCGTAGGTGTCGCCGCATGGCCTCCAGGCCCCGGCCACTCCTTCTGAGGGTGGATGTGATTGGCTGAAGTGGAAGTTTGCCAGCAGATCACTGCTGCTGAGTATCAATATCTTTCTATAAATACCAGTTATTACTGGTGGCTACTAATATTTACTGGAGACGACTAGTATTTAGTACTAGCTGTTTGTTCTCACTAGGTTGAGGTACATCTGGTGTCTCCTTCTCACTATTGGATAATATATTGTAGCTACTAGTATCTACGTGTGACTGATTGTACATATAGTACTTGTAAACTCTTGTCTACTTGTATCTTCTGGTCTTCTACAGGTGAATACTTATATCCAGTGGTGGCTAGTTATGTATTGGTTGTTTTGTTCTTGTACTAATATATATGACACAAATAGTCAGCATCTACTGGTAGCTAGTAATATATATTGTTTGCTACTAGTATCTATTTGTGGCTACTAGTATATATTTGAGGTTCCCAGTATTCATCTTTGGCTACTAGCTGTAAATGTTGTAAATGCTAACAGTAGCCACCATTGGCTACGGTGGTCTGTATTGGTGATTGGTGGACACTTTGAATGGCTCGTCATTACTTCTATAAATCAATAACTACATATTATGTTATTTCAGCTGTTAATGGTGACATAAAAACACTACAATGATGTTGTGGATTCCGTCTGTCTTTCAAACCTGTTTATTCATATTGTACAGTGATCAGCAGTGTTTCAAGCCAACCAATTGAGTTGCTGCTTCTAATGAAAGAGTTAATTCGTCAAAAGAATTATTTATCTAAATTCTACAGTTTTATACCTTTAGAAAGAAATTCGGTTTTCTTTGGGGAAATGTTGTTTTTTATGCTTTGTATGAATAAAGGTTTGAAGGAAACCGTTTGATTGTTTTATTTTATAGTTCATCAGAAATATCCCCCGGAACAGTGTAATCATACAAAAATAAATTAATAAAAGATGTGGTTAAGATCCAAAGTATAAGTCTGAATTATATAAATGTGGAACTGCAAGTAGCAGGTCTCTGAACTACGTGTTTGACTCATGGGTTTAGTAAAGAAAGACATTAAACCATCATTTACACTAAACAGTTTGTGTACAATGTGTATGTCGGGGGAGAATTTGTTGAGCTGCATATTGTCTCAAGAACCTTTCTTGGGAAACTGGTGACCTGACGTAGTTCACGATGGCATCTTGTTTGGAAGGTGCCTGGACTGATTCGTATCCTGGTCTTCTCACCTTCCGTCCACTTAGTCTGTCAATTATGATTGAGATCCCATTAAAGGAGGGACACGGGTGTCTCCCAACAACATCTGTTTACAACTAATCTTCCTCCTGCAGGGGGTCTTCTGTTTCCCTCTTCCTCAAACCTCCACCACAGTGTACAATACTCCAGTACCCTTTTACTGTTTTTGTATTCAACATATTCATTTATTTGTTCGTGCATTTTAACTTAGAAATTACTCACTCATAATAATTTAAATAGTAAAAGACGACATTTATGTTGGTTAATTATAAAATCCGACTTCAGACCCATTTTTTTCATCTTATTCTGAAACATCACCGGAAGCAGACCTAATCGACCCGGAAATTGTCCGGGTAGCATTTTGTCCAAACAGAAGAACGTTGAGTGAACTGAAACGGTTCGTTTCTGGGCCATTGCTTCATATTAAAGGTAATTTACATTTATATTCATTTATACATTTTACTGGAATCTTGGTTTTTGGTTTAAAGTCTGAAAAGAGCGATGTATCAGTTTGTAATACTAAAAACCGTTGACTTAACAGTGCTACGGATAGTTAGCTCGCATGCTAGGTTTGATGGTAAAATAATAATTACACGTCAGTAATTACCTTTTAAAATGAAAACTCGGTTTATTCCCAGCCGTAATGATTAATCAATTGACTGAACATTATTCGGCGTCATTATTTAGATTCGGTTGAAGTTTAATAATGTTTTAAAGGTGTATTTTCCCCAATTGTCTCATTGTAACGTCAAACGCATTGGTGCGAAATACATGGACGTTTTTCAGTTTATGGATGAAAGATTATTTATTAGCTATTTTTAGTTGCAGCAGTATTTATATGTTAATTAATACTGTTTAGAATAGGTGGTATATTTTGTGAATGTAAGAACCATGAGTTGGTATTACTGTGACTGAAGTACTCGTGAACTTGTGTCTCCTTGTCCAGCAGCTGTCATGGCCCACGTCACCATCAACCAGTACCTGCAGGAGGTAAGACCCGCTTTCTGTGCATCCACACCATGTGACCGGCAGGAGGGAGGGGGGCTGCTCAACTACACCATTCTTCTTCGGTGGTGTTTCTCTGCTGCAGGTGTACGAGGCCATCGACAACCACGAGGGCTCCTTCTGCGCCGAGCTGCTCTCGTTCAAGCACCCACACGTCGTCAACCCCCGGCTCCAGGTGAGGCTCCGCCCACTCATGTAGACATCCAGGTGGTTGCTAGGATACAACTTCATCATTCTGTGTGTGTGTGTGTGTGTGTGAGACAGCTGGCCAGTCCAGAAGAAAAATGTCAACAGCTCCTGGAGCCACCGTATGATGAGATGGTTGCTGCCCACCTCAGGTAGGACAGCCAATCGGATGACCTGTGCGTGCGTCTGTGCGGAGGTGGTAACTACAGTAACAGGACTTTGTGTTGCAGGTGTATCTACGCCGTGTCCAACCACGACTTTGTTGAAGCTTACAAGTTCCAGACTCTCGTCGTTCAATATCCTTCATGATGTACACACATGCAGTCTCTCACACATACTCAAACACACCAGTCATCAATAGTGGATCCCTCCTTGACCAATCACGTCCTTCCTGAGGGCCTTCCAGTCGCACAAAGAGGAGAACTGGTGAGTACATGTGCGATAGCCTAGCTTAGCACAATGACTGCAGGTGAAGGGGAACCGCTTGATTTTTGTGTCTCAGGGCTCTACCGATGATGTTCACCGTCACTCTGGATCTCAGGATATTTGCCAACAACGTAAGAAAATCACAAAGAGAAACACTAATATCAGTTCAGCCAGTGCCTAACGACCTTTGACCTGTCTGTGTGTGTTTGTGTAGGCAGAGCAGCAGTTGCAGAAGAAGGGCAAAGGTCAGCCTGGTGAGATGTTGGAGAAAGCAGCAGAACAGCTGATGAGCTGCTTCAGAGTCTGTGCCAGCGACAAGTCAGTAAAAGTACACCTATACACAATACACGCACATCTATACACAGGACAACCACGACTATACACAGAACAGGTACACCTGTACACAGGAAAGGTAGACCTATATACATATATGCAGTAGAAATCCACACGGACTGCATTTAGCTGAAGCTTTTATCCAGAGCGAGCAATAAGTGTGTTTAACAACCAGAACAACAAGAATCAAGACCACAAGTCTTGATGGTATACTTCAAGTATTACATAATTGTACTTACGTTGACTGCAGCCCTTTTACTGCTGTAGTATCCCTACATTCACCTAAGTATCAGATCAGAGTACTTTAAGGGGCCAGTGTAACCCTGGTGCTGCTCTGGGCCCTCAGTCGAGCCGGCATCGAGGACTCTAAGAAGTGGGGGATGATGTTTCTGAGCAACCAGCTCTTCAAGATCTACTTCAAGGTCTGCATGTACACACACACATATGTACATCTATCTATCTATACATGCACATGTAGAAGCGACTTTTGATGAAAACTGTCCTCCTCATTAGATTAATAAGCTCCACCTGTGTAAGCCTCTGATCAGAGCCATCGATAGCTCCAACCTGAAAAACGACTACAGTCCGGCCCAGAAGGTCACGTACAAGTACTACGTGGGCCGCAAGGCCATGTTCGACAGCGACTTCAAGCCAGGTAATACTACTGTCCTACTAATGCAAGAATACTACTGTCCTACTAATGCAAGAATACTACTGTTCTACTAATGCAACAATACTACTGTCCTACAAATGCAACAATACTACTGTCCTACTAATGCAACAATACTACTGTCCTGCCAATGCAACAATACTACTGTCCTACTAATGCAACAATACTACTGTCCTACTAATGCAACAATACTACTGTCCTACTAATGCAACAATACTACTGTCCTACTAATGCAACAATACTACGGTCCTACTAATGCAACAATACTACGGTCCTACTAATGCAACAATACTACGGTCCTACTAATGCAACAATACTACGGTCCTACTAATGCAACAATACTACGGTCCTACTAATGCAACAATACTACGGTCCTGTCAATGCAACAATACGACTAAGTCACTGTCCTACTAATGCAACAATACGACTGTCCTACTAATGCAACAATACGACTGTCCTACTAATGCAACAATACGACTGTCCTACTAATGCAACAATACTACTGTCCTACTAATGCAACAATACTACTGTCCTACAATGCAACAATACTACTGTCCTACTAATGCAACAATACGACTGTCCTACTAATGCAACAATACGACTGTCCTACTAATGCAACAATACTACTGTCCTACTAATGCAACAATACTACTGTCCTACTAATGCAACAATACTACTGTCCTACTAATGCAACAATACTACGGTCCTACTAATGCAACAATACTACTGTCCTGCCAATGCAACAATACGACTGTCCTGCCAATGCAACAATACGACTGTCCTACTAATGCAACAATACTACGGTCCTACTAATGCAACAATACTACGGTCCTACTAATGCAACAATACTACGGTCCTACTAATGCAACAATACTACGGTCCTACTAATGCAACAATACTACGGTCCTGCCAATGCAACAATACGACTGTCCTACTAATGCAACAATACGACTGTCCTACTAATGCAACAATACTACGGTCCTACTAATGCAACAATACTACGGTCCTACTAATGCAACAATACTACGGTCCTACTAATGCAACAATACTACGGTCCTGTCAATGCAACAATACGACTGTCCTACTAATGCAACAATACTACTGTCCTACTAATGCAACAATACTACTGTCCTACTAATGCAACAATACTACTGTCCTACTAATGCAACAATACTACGGTCCTGTCAATGCAACAATACTACGGTCCTGTCAATGCAACAATACGACTGTCCTACTAATGCAACAATACTACTGTCCTACTAATGCAACAATACTACTGTCCTACTAATGCAACAATACTACTGTCCTACTAATGCAACAATACTACTGTTCTACTAATGCAACAATACTACTGTCCTACAAATGCAACAATACTACTGTCCTACAAATGCAACAATACTACTGTCCTACTAATGCAACAATACTACGGTCCTTCTAATGCAACAATACTACTGTCCTGCCAATGCAACAATACTACAGTCCTACTAATGCAACAATACTACTGTCCTGCCAATGCAACAATACGACTGTCCTACTAATGCAACAATACTACGGTCCTACTAATGCAACAATACTACTGTCCTGTCAATGCAACAATACTACTGTCCTGTCAATGCAACAATACGACTGTCCTACTAATGCAACAATACTACTGTCCTACTAATACAACAATACTACTGTCCTACTAATGCAACACTACTGTCCTACTAATGCAACAATACTACTGTCCTGCCAATGCAACAATACGACTGTCCTACTAATGCAACAATACTACGGTCCTACTAATGCAACAATACTACTGTCCTGTCAATGCAACAATACGACTGTCCTACTAATGCAACAATACTACGGTCCTACTAATGCAACAATACTACTGTCCTGTCAATGCAACAATACGACTGTCCTACTAATGCAACAATACGACTGTCCTACTAATGCAACAATACTACTGTCCTACTAATGCAACAATACTACGGTCCTACTAATGCAACAATACTACTGTCCTGCCAATGCAACAATACTACGGTCCTACTAATGCAACAATACTACTGTCCTGCCAATGCAACAATACTACTGTCCTGCCAATGCAACAATACGACTGTCCTACTAATGCAACAATACTACGGTCCTACTAATGCAACAATACTACTGTCCTGTCAATGCAACAATACTACTGTCCTGTCAATGCAACAATACGACTGTCCTACTAATGCAACAATACTACTGTCCTACTAATGAACAATATTACTGTGCTACTAATGCAACAATACGACTGTCCTGTCAATGCAACAATACGACTGTGCTGTCAATGCACAATACGACTGTCCTACTAATGCCACAATACGACTGTCCTACTAATGCAACAATACGACTGTCCTGCCAATGCAACAATACTACGGTCCTACTAATGCCACAATACTACTGTCCTGCCAATGCCACAATACGACTGTCCTATTAATAATTAACATTTGTAAAGCGTCTTTGGGTACTTAGAAAAAATGTGTTATTGTTGTTATAGTGCATTACTACTCTAATAATACTGCAGTACTACTACTGTAAGTCACGTTGTTGATTACATGCGTCTTCCAGCGGAGGAGTTCCTGTCGTATGCTTTCCATCACTGTCATCGATCCAGTCAGAAGAACAAGAGGATGATCCTCATCTACCTGCTGCCTGTCAAGATGCTCCTGGTGAGAGAGCAGTTCACAGCCGTTCAGAGCCGTTTTCACCCCTACGAGTTTTCAGGACTGGTCAATTTTATTTATATAGCACTTTTAAAGGCCATGTCTAGCCACAGTCAGTAGCATAAACTATACAAGCAAAGTAAAACAAACAACTCAAGCCAAACAATAAAGATCCATGTAGGTGACTAACTTCGCAAAGGCCAACGTGAACAAGTGGGTCGTGTTTTAAAAGTGGAACGGCTCGTCGCAGACCGCACAGAAGACGGCAAAGCGTTCAACAGTCTGAGCCGCTACTGCGAAGTGCGTCATCTCCTTTCGTTTTAAGGAACGTTCAGAACCAGCGGGTCAGCTGACCTCGGGCTCTGGAGGGTTGATGTATATTAATAAGGCTGGATAAAATTCTGGGACCGGTCCATACAGAGACTTAAAAACAAATAAAAGATTCTTAAAATCTATTCTGAACCTAACAGGAAGCCAGTGGAGAGAGGAACGCCTGGTGAACCCCAGTTTATACCAGTTGACAGCATTTAAGACCAGCTTGGACCAGTGTAGGCCATTTTAGACCTGTGGAGACCAGCTTGGACCAGTCCCCCCAGTCTGACCCAGCTTGTGGTTTCAGGGTCACATGCCGACTCATCAGCTCCTGAGGAAATACGACCTCATGCAGTTTGCAGATGTCACCAAATCTGTGAGGTAAGCAGAGGCTGTGACACGACAGGAAGTGACCCCACGTGGCGTTGGTGATCTCACAGGTGAACTGTGTTTCAGTGAGGGAAACCTACTGCTACTCAACGAGGCCTTGGCCAAACACGAGACCTTCTTCATCCGCTGCGGAATCTTTCTCATCCTGGAGAAGCTGAAGATCATCACCTACAGGAACCTCTTCAAGAAAGTGTGAGTCCGGTTCCTCCTAGTGGAGCCCACTGGGACTAGAACCAGAGACCAGGTGTTTCATGTCCGGTCCTGACCTCCTCTCCTGTCCGCAGGTATCTTCTGCTGAGGACTCACCAGCTTCCTCTGGATGCCTTTGTGGTGGCCATGAAGATGATGCAGTTGGACGACGTGGACCTCGACGAGGTTCAGTGTATCCTGGCTAACCTCATCTACATGGTACGCCCCCCCCCCCGAATCTCCCAGACACACACACACACACATACATGAATGAATTGGACTAACAACTCTTCTTCTGTGGTTTCTGTCTCCTCTCAGGGTCACATCAAAGGTTACATCTCCCATCAGCACCAGAAGCTTGTGGTCAGTAAACAGATTCCGTTCCCTTCTCTCTCCACGGTCTCCTAGACTACGTTACCCATAATCCCCCCTGGCTGTGACGCTCTTTTTCTTTATGTGTTCTGTAAAAAGCATGTTGAATAAAGGAGATGGTTTCTACGATCTGTCGAGCTTCTCTTTGTCAACTCTACCCCCATCGTTCCTGGAGGTGAGGTTTGGTGCATTGTGGGTACTTTATTTTACACAGTCTGGCATTACTTGCAGCATTTTGTCACTTTTAAAGCTGCAGATCTCGAATGACGGTTTTATCATACATTTTATATAATATAAACAATAATGAGTTTGTTAGTCAGTTCAATAAAATATGCAGCTTCCAAATCTTTTTAAAGCTTTAGAGTCACCAGACTGTTAAACAGCTATATAAGTATTTTATTACCAGTAAGTTTTAACTAATGTTCAAAGAGACAAAAACCTCTTAATAAAAGAAGATTAAGAGAAATAACCGTCAGGAAGCTGAGATCTAAACCGGAACTACGTCCTGTGAATGAACTTTATTAAAGCTCCAAAGAAGTTTAGTCTGAGTTACTGTTGGAATCTGCTGTTCTTCTCAATAACCGAACATCTGGAGTCATTTGGTTAGAACCTTTATTATTCACAGAGGAAAGGAGGATTATTCCATGAGTCATTTGTAAAATGGGTGTTGGCTGACCTGCGAGGTCATGTGACCCTCTGTTGCATCCAGCCGGGGTCGAATCCAGCTCAGGTAGCGCGACAATTTGGTGAACACCAGGCCGTCGCACCCCGATGACATCATCAGGCCCGTCAGGAACGCCGTCCCCCGATCCACCGTGGCAACCGGCGTCCCCGGCATTGGGCCCCCGCATCGCCGGGAGCCTTTCTGAGTCTTTGACGTCCCATTTTGGTTCCTTACGGATTTGATCTGGTTCTCTAAAGACTTATTCTGGTTCCCTAAGGGTCTGTTCTTCTTCCCTAAACGTCCATCCCGGTTCCCCAGAGGTCCATTCGGGTTCCTCATGCAGAACATTTTGTTGCTGAGTGGGTACGAGACGTTCATCTGTGTGCGACACTCGTCCAGCGTCATGTAGACCAGTTCCTGGATCCGCACTCCCCTCTTCGTGGCGAGCCCTGTCCTCCCAGAATGCATCAAGACATTTTCGCTGAAGTCCTTTTCAGGCAGGCATAGCTGGATGAGGGCAGGGCCAAAGGAAAGGGGGCGGGCCAGCTCGAGGAGGGCTAGGTCGTTGTCATGGTGATCAGTACGGAATCGGTCGTGGACGTACACCGCGTGGACGGGCGTCTTCTCCTCGCTGTCGCCTGGGAGAAGGGAACATGGTATCATCCATAAGACTTTTATTGTGAAGGCGTGACTTTAAAAATAAAAGTCTGTTCATGAACGTTGACTCAGGACCAAATGGCATCCGATAAACACGCTTCATGTGACCTGTTAATATGTCCGTTAGCACCTGGACACTTTAAATCTCACCTGTTGACATATTAGTTACAAAGTAAGTAACAAACTTCATACCGGCGACCACAGAGAAGTCAGAAGGTCGGAGGGCCGAGTTGGGGTCCGTCTGGAGGCAGCTGGCGGCGGTCAGCACGGATCGGCGTCCCAGCACCACACCGTCACAAAGCTCCGCCCCTCTGCTGCTCAGCAGGGTGACCTGAGCGAGCACAACAAAAAGCCTACGCTGAATTGAGCCAAAAATGAGCTCATGCCTCGTCCTGATTGGCCGAGACCCCCTTACCTGCCAGGGACAGTTGCCGTGGCGACACGCCATCAGGGTGGCGTCGAGGCCACCGGGGAGCCTCCCGCAGGGGAACGCCGCTGGGGACACAAAGCCGCGGTTAGTCCGGCATGTACAGCTGGTCGGGGAACCTGGTGGTGTCTGACGTCGGACCTTCAGGCCGGCATCTCCGCCCGTCGCTCTGTAGTTTGAATCCCGGCAGACAGGAGCAGGAAAAGGAGCGCGAGGACGGCGAGCACAGCTGGTGACAAGCCGTCGGCCCCTCAGTCGGACACTCGAGGAGCTCTGAAACCGTCCATGTGTTTTATTTAGTTCTATATTCGCTCAGAGGGGGGGGGCGAGGTGGCGGTGGGCGTGGTCCGAACCTGCCGCAGTGACCTGTGGCGCGGAGGCCGGCTGACCTCCGTCCCCCGGAGCTCCCAGTTCACAGGCCGGTCCGTAGTGGGGGGGGGGCAAGAGCAGTTGAACCCCCCCCACTTATCGGTGCAGGTCTCTCCGTGCAGACAGGGGGGGGGGGCACACTTATTCCCCTCTGATCCAAAGCCGATCAGATCAATACGGACAGGAAATGCCAGAAAGCGAGTGCACATTTATATGTGTATAAAAGGCATTTCCTGAAAGGTGTAATTCGCTTCTGTTAACTGAAGCTCACCGTAGTAAACGGTCCAGAAGGCGATCTGTAGAGAAACCAGCCCGTTAAAACCACTTCGCTTCCACAGGAATATTGATTATTGATTGTTGATGGAGCCTCACCGTCTTCTCCGTGTTCTCAAAGTACTCGCGCGCCTCCTCAAAGCTGCAACGCTCCTCGTGACACTCGCGCTCCAGGTTCCCCTGGAGGATCTCCTCCACCAGGTACATGTTGGCTCTCCTGGACCTCAGGAACACCTGGTGGTCCTGAGGGGCGCGGAACACTGGGGAATGTTTAATAGTTATCATTATGATAAACACTGGAGACCTTTTCATTATTGTAATAATCATTTGAAATAATTTAATTTACTTTTTTTTTTTAAATAATGAACACCAGACAACTCCATTATTTTAGTTTTTTGATTATTAGAATAAATCACATTGACAACATCATTATTTAATCATCATAATAAATGCTGTGTTAATTATTGTTTGATTATAATAATTCTAACTCCGCAATGAACTGTTCTGTACTTGTATGTGTACTTGTACACAAATATGACCTATTTCTACTGTAACTATTTTAGAATATAACATTAGCTGACAGCTCATTTGCAGTACACAGGTTTAATATTGGTTAACTTATTGATTGGAATGATCCGTTTATCAAAAGATAACCGATTGAACGCGCTGCAGCCGATTCAACAACGTTTAAACAAACGAAGGCAACGGGGGTCAGAGGTCAGAGGTCTTACCTTGTCCCTGGATGAGAACCTGAAGGAAGCAGGCGAGGAGATATAGAGACGGAAGAGATGTCGACATGATGCCGACCGCCATGACACCGACTGCCTGTCTGTCTCTCACACACACACACACACACACACACACACACACACACACACACACACACACACACACACACTCTGATGAGTCCAGGGAGGTTTCCCCTAAATGTTGAATACGCTGTTATGAGTTTGGTTCACTCATTTAAACAATATCTGATTCCATCTGATTAGCATGTAGCATTACGTTAGCTTAAGTGCTAATTTGAGCCACTACGATGAGCTCTTTGAAAACGCTGGGATTTTTACGTCTGTTCCCACAAAGTGTTAAAAGAGACACGCTGAGTTCTGATGGACTCTGGTCTGTCGCACAAAAATAAGCAGCGGCTTCGACCTCTGACCCCTGATCCTCCTGTTTGTTCGTGTCGGTCAACAAGAGATGATTCATTTCAAAGCAAACACAGAAAGAACATGAAGTCTGAGACACACAGAAGCTTTATTATCTCAGCAAAGAATGCTAACATGATGCTAAATGCTAACAGCAATTCTTGGTACAGCGATTTCACAAAATTATTGTTTATATATTCATTTGTATTGATTTTTCTAATTAATCTACAAATAAGTTGATCGATCAATCTGAGAATTTATGACTGAAACTGTTGACTTAGTTGTTTTATTTTTTTTCGTTTCAGCTCCAATCTATAAGGATGACCTTTGAAATGAGATATTATATAAGTATTTATTTGAATACTACACCAGTAAATGAATGTGTTGAGAAAAATTCACCAGTAGAGAGAAACGGGCTGTTGTAATGATATTCCTTTATTGTGCTTTAATTTCAGCTTTAAAGCTTATATCTGACATTGACTCATAAAAAATACATGAAACAGACACAAATTAAACGTTTTTGTTACGGAACAGAAGAATTAACTGAAATGTTTTTACTTAATAAGCTAATACGTCAGAAAATTCAATTAAGTCAGTTTCATACATATTTCGCAATATTGAAAATGTCCTGTAGAAGAAGAAACAGATGACGTGTTTGAATTTTATTTTTTAAGTAGAGCGGCGACGCGGCGCTACAGGACCAGCCTCTCGATGGCGCCCTGGTGCCTCCTGGCCCGGACGCCTCTCCTCCCCTTCTGCATCAGCCCGTCGATGCCCTGCCGGATCCAACTGATGTACTTGGAGACCTGCGTGTAGACGCCGTACTTGCCTTTCTTTGCGCATCCTTCGCCCCAGCTAACGATGCCGGTGACAAAGTAGGTGTCAGAGTAGCGTGTGACGTGCGGCCCGCCGCTGTCGCCCTGGCAGGCGTCCTTGGCTATGGTGTCGTAACCGGCGCAGAACATGCGGGGAGAGATGCGCAACTGGGTGGACTGCAAGCAGGTGTTGCGGTCCACGTAGGGCATGGTGAGGCGCTGCAGGATAGTGGAGGTCTCCTGGCGTTCGCCGAGTCGGCCAAACCCGCTGACCATGCCGTCCTCCTGGCGCATCAGCACCTGTGAGAGCATTCTTTTTAGGAAAGTATTTTACTATTTACAAGATTTATCCTTGTCCTGTAGAGGGAATATGAGCAATCGTTTAACTCTGAACAGTGCTAAAGACCTAGCGTAGCCACACTTACTTTTACCACTGGCTCTTAGATGAACTCTAAGCATCTAAGAATCCCATTAATTGGGTTGGGGACTATTTCCCGGCTTGAGCTCATGACTTCCTGACATCTACATGGGTTACCTAGCAACCACGACAAGTCGAGAAATTGTTTGATGTTTGCTGACTTATTTGCAAAAGAAAATGGGATATAAATAATGAATCTGTGAGCTGCTGGTAGAAAGACCTTTTTACCTTTGAACTGAGCCAACGTCAGCAGTTTATCTTTTTTACAATATGCTAAGCTAACCTGCTCCTGATTCATATTTACCGTAGAAACGTGAGTTCTGAGAGCCGAGAGACAATTCTGCATTTAACAGCGTCGAAACTTCTTCTGTTCAGGTGGGTTGACAGAAAGTTCACCTTTTCAGCAAAGACCGGATCAGGCAAGCAGGCCGGCAAGATGAACCTGGAGAACTTGATGGGCGTGGCCAGCTTGATGAGCGCAATGTCGTTGTTGTAAGTGTCCTTCCGGTACATGGAGTGGGTGATGAGGGTCTCCACGGTGTGGGTGGCTTCGTTACCGTCATCCACCAGCACGTCAAACTCACCTGAACGCATACGAAGGGGTCAGTTTGGACGGTTTCGGACCCGACCGCCTGTGGGTGGGACTTACCAAGCTTGACGTAGATGTAGCGGGATTTGTTCATGCAGTGGGCGGCGGTTAGGATGATGTAATTAGTGAGGATGGTTCCACCGCAGAACCCTACGTTCTCCTCGTCCAGGAGGAGCGCCTGAGGGGATAAGGACGGACATCTGACTTCTAATGGTCCATGTGGAGACAGATGATAATGGACTACCAAATGTCCATTAAGGGGCACAATGGACAGCTGAATGGGAATTAACGACTAGATGTCCGTAGGGACAGTGATGGACACCTGGATGATAACGCTCCTTACCTGCCATGGACATTGTCCCGGGGGACAGTTCTCTCCGTTGACAATGCGGGTCATATCCGCCATATCAGGGACCACCATGTCCTCAAAAATCGCACCATCCGGCAACACGTAGTCATTGGGAAGCGAGGCTGCTGTCGTGGTGACGTTTGACCCAGTGTCCTTCAACCCGTTGGCCTTCGATACGGTGCCGTTGCCGTTGGTTGTGTTCTGACGCACGTACCTGAAAACAGTCCGGGTGCTTTTGGTGACAACGGTGCCGCATCTGAAGGGTTCTGCAAGAACAAGGTCAGAGGTCAGAAGTACGTTCATTAGAAATGTCCCTGACGGTGATGCTACAGGTTTCTTTATCATCTTCCCAAAGAATTCAATATAAAAAAATAGTAAAACCACTTTTTCACCGTTGGAGTCGCAGGACTTGTCGTCTGACCCCAGGTAATATCCGTCGGCACACGAGCAGTGAATGTTCCCTCGCTCCACCTTACAGAAATGTTCACAGCCGCCGTTCTTATTCTCACAGAGCTCCGGAATAACTGTAAAGACCCAAAAGAAATGGCGTCAAACCGAGACGTCGTAATGTGGTTTAGACGTTTGTGTTCCCATCAGGTTGTATCTTACTGATTTGACTTTTAACCCTAACCCCTAACCCTATTTCTACCAGTAGGTTAACTCACACAAACCATCCAGAACCTGTCAAGTTAAGATTTAAGTTTAAAATGTTACAACTTTGGGTGGAGTTTCATGAACTGTTGGAAATGACTCCTAAAGAAATTGGAGATCCTGGTTTTACCAGATGAATCCTAAGCGACTGGTCCTCTCTAACCGACGGTTCCAGTTCTGGTTCCGTACCAATTTCACAGTTGAAGCCCTGGTAGCCGGCCTGGCAGTAGCAGGTGTAGGTGCCGATTGCGTCGGTGCAAACTCCCTGATTGGCGCAGGGCGTCGACTCGCATGCGTCGCCGTCTGCAGGACGAACAGAGTTTATTACCACTGAATTTAAGTCACCGTGTTGGTTTGGTTCATTTCGACTGAACAGAACAACGTCCTTACCAAAATATTTGTTCCAGAATTCCTTCTGCAAAAAAACAACAGCAAAGATGAAATAAGAAGAACCTGTGATCAGATGTGTGTGTCTCAGTGGGTTTTAAAGCTAAGCAACTAGCTCCAAACTGCTGGCTTGCTCAAACACCATTGGAGTTTTTACTACGGAGCTAAGCCAGGCTTTGTGCTAAGCTACTTTGAGCTAAGTCAAGCTAGGACGTGCTATCTAACACACAGCTTTTCAGAAATATCTCATAGTTTTGTTTTTCAGTGTCTTGGGTTGTTACAGTTTTAGCTTCGTCTTCGAAGATCTCTCGCGCCTCCTCGTGGTTGCAGGCCTCTTCCATGCACTCCCTCTCCAGGTTGCCTTGTTTCAGTTCCTCTAGGAAGCTGTTGGCACGTCTCCATCGGGTTAGAACTTGGTTGGCCGCCTCGCCGTCCAAAAATACTGTAAGACACAGGTTTTATTTTATATTTAGTTTGTATTTGTTAGAGTAAGAGTCCTAAAACCCGTTGTTTTGTGTGAGATGGAGATGGTTCTGACTGATATATCCCAACAACTGCTGTTGGACTGCGATCAAAAGTTCTTCAGACGTTCATTGTCCCCATAGGATGTATCATATTGATTCGGTTGACCTCTGACTTTTCACTCATCCAGTATCTCAATAACTGTGAGATTCACGGTCCCCTGAAGATGAATCCTAATGATGTTTAAGGACTCCTGTCAGCGCCATCACAAGATTTACATTAAAATGTTGAGTAAAATGTCCTGTCAACGTCTGGGTTTAGTTCATGAACTTTGGTTCAAATGTTCATATTTCCCAGAGGATGACTCCTAAAGAAAGTGGTAATCTGATGATTTTAATTTAGCTCCATCAGTAAGTCACAGTGTCTATCAAGATTTAGCAGATACGTTGTCATGTTCCCCATAGGATGATCCTCTGACTCGTCCTTTAGCGCCACCATGAGGCTATAAGTGAAATCCCTGTTGTGTGATGACCTCATCATTCATGCTTCCATCGGGATGAACCGTACTTATTCATCTATATCGTCACCACATATTATTAAATACTAAAAAGTTATAAATTCAACATTTGCAGGACTACATTTTGCACCAATCAGGGCCCAGCGAGGATGTTCTTTGTCCAACGATAAGAGATTTCGCTGCTGTCAGTCAGAAAGAATCTGTCAGAATCGACAAAAGAAACCGGTCGTGTCAAGTGTCACCTGCAAGCCGCCAATCAACATGCGAACCCACCCCCTCCCCCACCAGCAAGCAACATGCTCCACGTCGCTTTAACTCTGTATCCCAGGTCAGGTGAAGGTCGACTTACTGGCGTGAGCGGCGCTCAGGTGGAGCAGCAGGAGGACGGAGGACGTTTGGTCAAACCAAAACATGGCCCCGGATGGACGAGAGCTCCGGTGTGTCTAGTGGAAGCAATGGAGTCTGACTGTGGACAGACGGGGAGAGAGGAGGGGCGGGAGCGAGGGCAATGACCTGTGTGAGGGGCGAGGGCGAGAGGGCGAGAGGGCGGGGCTTATGTGAGCCGGAAGCTTAAATATGTGACGACTGTACTGGAGTCCCAGAATGCACTGCTGTCACGCTCCCACAGCCTCGAACGAAGCGCTCTGTGTGTTTGGATCTTCGTTGTGACCCTTCGGGGCCTCCGGAGGAGGCCGGGACGTCGGCACACGGCCAAGAGTCATGTAAACTTGACGTGTAAACTCAAGGAAACATGAAATGGATTGTCAGCGATTCATCTCGTTATACGTAAATTCCAAACGCTTTTATTTTAAATGTTATGAGAAGAATATAAGAGGACGTCTAGAGGTCGCCGCCTCCACAGGTCGCTTTCACTGCGTCACTTTCTAAGTCCCAACGTTACCAACGTTGAGAATAAATCTTTCGTTTGTTGGTGATTAGGAAACTAAAACTCTACTTCTAGTTCAGTGTGATTATAAACTAACAATCGAGCTGAAAGGGAACAACGTGTGTGGTGACATTCGGCTTCTGTACCTTGGACACATTTCGTAATATCTAAACGTTCATAGTTTAACTATTTGCTCTGAATTGAAAAAGACGGAGAAAGGTTCTTCTCTGCCTGAAATACATCCCGCTCCGGAGGTGAAGCAGATCTTCCTAAATCACATTGAATAGGAAGAAGTTGACCTTCTCTATCAGCTCTGTATACGTTCTTCGGGTTGTGAGGTTTTCCCTGTCAGGTATAGTGTAGTTTTATTCATTGTACTGCAGTAAAAACTCGACTTGGTGTGTTGTTATATTTGGATGCGACTCGACCACAGGGCAGCTTGTGATGTCCAGATGTTTTATGACAGCGGATGGTTTCCAGATGTTCACAGAGGAAGAGAAGAGTTGGTCTCTGACTGGATGGAGAAGGAGACAATAACAGTAAATATTACAGGTACTCAACTGTTAAAGTATTTTATTCAAGTAGAAGCAGCCTTGAATTACAACAAAAAACGACCAATAATCTCACATTTGGTTTGGTTTGTATTCGTTTTTACAGTCAAACAAGTTATCCATCACTTCTCAATCATAATCAATCATAATCAATTCCCCATTAACAGCAGGTCACTTCATTACTGCTTCATTAAACCACTTTGTGTTGCAGCATTTCCAAATCTGTGTGTGCTGCCGTCTCATTGGCCGTGGATATGGTGGGCGGGTCCTTCATGACGCCCTCCGCCCAGTCCACAAAGTGGGCCACGTTGGCGTACACCCCATAATACCCCGGGTGTGAGCAGCCCCGCCCCCAGCCAACCACGCCGGTCAGGAAGTGGGTGGAGCCGTGGAGCGTCACCAGCGGGCTCCCGTCATCGCCGCGGCAACTGTCCTGTCGCCCCTCCAGGTACCCCGCGCACAGCATGTTGGCGGTGAAGTTGAACTGGGCCTTCTGGGAGCACTGGGAGTTCAGGAGGATGGGCACGGACATCCTGCGCAGGACTGGGGAGACGGGGGCGGAGGGGGCGTCGGCCTTGTTGCCCCCGCTTGTCCTCTTGCCCCAGCCGGACACGGTGTGGTAGCGGGTCGCCAGCAGCTCCCGCTCGGCGAGGCCTCTGGTGGGCAGGCAGACAGGAAGGGCGAGGCCGCTCAGGGCGGCGGGGCGGGTGAGACGCAGCAGCGCCACGTCGTTGTCACCGGTCGCCGGGACGTAGCCCTCGTGGGCTATCGCCATGGAAACGGGCAGCCGCTGTTCCGTGCCTTCGTGCAGGTCCAGGTTGTGTTCCCCTGGTTACAGAGAGGCGTTCGCTGCGTCAACTTCATTTGACAAAATGACTTTTGTAAATATCTTTATGCAACAATCTTCAGAAAACACCTGTAGATCAATACTCCTAGTTTACCAAGTGATGAGAAGTATGGATGAACTACCTGCTACCACCACGAGGCTCTGAGGCAGGTTGCCGTGGATACAGTGGGCCGCGGTGACGACCCAGTCGGGTTTGATCAGAGCGCCTCCACAGTGACTGAGTCCGTTGAACTGGACCAGAACCTAATGGAGGGAAGAAAAGCCTCTGAGTCCCCTGAGGAAGAACCGCTGACCCTCCAAAGACCAAGATTTAAAAAATGGAGACAGATTCCAATTGTCTCCAGAGGACGAACCACTGGAATGACCTCTATGACTCGACGGTAACGCGCCTCGTTGTCATGACGCCGCCTCATTGTGCGCCGAACACGCCGCAGGACTCTTGAAGCATCATGTGTGGTCCAATTCCAGCTTTTCCTCCGCGTCAACCGGGGAGGAAAAGCTGGAGAAAAGGGAAATCCCACAAGTGATCGGTTTGATCGGTTTGATCGGTTTGATCAGTTTGATCGGTTTGATCGGTTTGATCGGTTTGAACAGTTTGATCGGTTTGATCGGTTTGATCAGTTTGATCGGTTTGATCGGTTTGATCAGTTTGATCGGTTTGATCGGTTTGATCGGTTTGGGGCAACGTGAGCTTTTACACGCAGACGCTGGAGCCCCCTGCGTGTCCCCTGCGTGTCCCCTGCGTGTCCCCTGCGTGTCCCTTGCGTGTCCCTTGGGTGTCCCTTGCGTGTCTTTTCACGCCTCCTTGCGTGCGTCGACCCATTTTTCTAGACCAGCGTGTAAAGCGGCGCAGCGTCCTGCAGCAGCAGGCTGTGATTGGTCTCTGACTACGTCCTTTACGGAGTCTCACGTCTCCGTTTTCACAGCACAATACGGCCGTTATTAAAAGGAAGAACGTTTACGAGAGAACGGATCAGATTGAAGAGCTTTTAAATATGAGCGCTTGTACAAGCCGTCATTGGCGGACTATGAGGACGCCGGATGGCCTCTGATTCATGGAGGGAGATCTCCACAAACGAGGGGGACAAAGTCGTGGAGGAAAATACGGGACAAATGTGTCCTTGATGAAAAGCAGCAGTGTGGATGCACGGGGCAATAAAGTATATGATCAATAAATAAAGCAACCAGCGACTTCCACACACAAAGACGTGACTCTGCAGGTCGTCTTCAACAGAACACGTGACTCCACCTGTTGTTCTGGAGGTGAATCGCTCTGCAACACACGCAGGACTTTACAACCAGGAAGTGAAACCAGTGCGTCGACGCGACGTAAAGACGCAGACTTATCTGTTCGTGTGTTGCCTAGCAACGCCCCCCAGCTGTTACTGGGTGGTAAAGTACAGCCTCTCGTACCTTATTGCTCTAATATTCAGTGCAGTGATATAAAATGATGTAAAAATGCACATATGGTTGTCTGCTGTTTGTTAAAGAGATTTATCCCAGACCGCTGGGGATCCCGTGTCTGCAGGTCGTCGTGGCGACGGGGAGCATCTCGGCGCTGATAGGCTGTCATAGACGTTGTACGTGATCCTCTGAACGCACTTTACCTGCCAGGGACACTGTCCTCTCGGGCATTGGTTCCCCCCCACCAGCCGGGTCTGAGCCCCCACAGTCTGGTTCACGCCGGTTTCCGGAAGCTGACCACAGGGAAACTCCACTGCAACACAGAAATACAGGAACACAGCGTGAGGAAGTAGTCAAATCTATTACAAATGACTTACAAAGAATACATCATCAGTCATTAGTTTTTAATTGAGAAAGCAACTCAATGTAGAGCAGTAAAAATCTAAATTAAAATATCTACCTCAAATGTGTACTAAAGTACTTATTTAAGTCCCTTCACCTGCAGGATGAATATGTGAATTTATTAAGCTGTTATATTGGTAATAATGAGCCGAAGCATCGATCGCTGTTCATTCTGAACCATGAACACTAATCTGTAAATAGTTCATCTTTTCTGGAGCGACGATGAGGAGAAGCGTTTAACTTTGTTCTGCTGCTTCCAGTCTGCTGCCCCCGCTGGTCACAAGCTGAACTGCCCCACCAAGAAGAATACTCCGATAATCTGTGTGCTATTACTAGTTCAGTTAGTACTTGTACCCTGGGCGACACACCGCCGGCCGTCCTCCCCCAGTTTGAACCCGTCGGCGCACGAACATCTGCGGCGTTCCCCCGAGCCGTCGCAGTAGTGCTCACACTGGCCGTTGTTGTAGAGACACTTCAGGAAGTCCTCGACCTCTGAGGCGAGTCAAGGTCAAACCACCAACATGTTCATTCATACAATGTTGTGATAAATGACTTTAATCATCAGCGTTGTATTATTTACCTGTCTGACAGAACCGCCCCTCAAAGCCCTCGGCGCAGTAGCACTGGTACGTCGTCTCCAGGTACACGCATGTCCCGTTATTACGGCACGGGTTCTCCAGGCAAGGGTCGCGCCCTGAGGGTATGACGTCACACTTCATCCTTTATCAGGACCAGCTGGTTATTGAGGTTCGGGTCAGAACCGCGAACGAGCCTCTACAGAACCTTTGATCTCTAAAGAAACTGTTGAGTCATCAGCTGTTTGTTGTTCAGAAGAATGAGGATCAATAATGTTCATCCATCCCTGCATTATCAATAAACGGATCATAATCTCCGAATATGAAGCTCATCAGGGTTTTTACTTAAATATATCTTTATTATTAACCGTATTCTGCTTCTGCCCTAAAATATGAACATTATGACCACAAATGTTAAAGTTCTTACTCACGATTATAAGACAGCCAGAATTGTTTCTGTAAAGAAATATATCTTTTTATTTTATGTCCCACAAATATTCATTATTCATCATAACTTAATTCCTATATATTGAAAAAGTGGAATGGAGGTTTGAGGCTCACCGTGCGGCCGTCGTCCTCGAACACCTCACGCGCCTCCTCGTAGTCGCAGATCTCCTCCCTGCACTCCCTCTCCAGGTCTCCTTGCTTCAGCTCCTCCAGGAAGCCGCTGTTGGCTCTCCTCCGCCTGGCCAGCAGCCCGAGGGCCTCCTGCTTCTCCACCCGCACTGAACACATCGCCACCACGCCGTCAACTCCCAGCTTCAATCTGCATTCATGTGACACTGATACATGATCAGAACCTCACAGCTCATCTCTCCTGCCGCAGCAACGCCTGACACCAGATCCAGGACCAGGACCAGGACCAGGACCAGGACCAGGACCCTGGGACAGCAGCTCCTCTCCAGCATGATGAGTTCAGAGTGACTCAACACAACAAGGACACGGGGCGTATCAATGCTTCTATTGAGCAACGCCCACCGACCTCTGACCCCTCATCAGGCTGGTAGACACGCCTCCCAAGTTAGTATCAGCTGGAAGTACTGCAAGTACACAAGTACTCCCAGCTTGATGCAGTAACACTATACTATGAAAATACTACAATAAGATAGGAACATCCTCAAGGTCTTTTATTATGTTCGTACACTGAATATACAATTAAATATATAGGTTAAATATGTTATTAAATTATGTGAGAGAAATAATAAAAGCTTAATATCAATGATAATAAAGCCAAACGAATAATAATATTAATAATAAAGCCATAATGTAATAATATTATAATTATTTTATATATGTAATATTTCATTTTGACAGTAAAGCTATATCAATGGTAAAAGACGTAACAATTTTTATCAATAATAGTAAAGCAATAATTATAATAATAATGCAAACTTAAGGAACTTAAAACTTAAAAATACAACGTGGATGATTTTGATAATGAAGCCAAAATATTGGTAATAAAGCCTTAATAATAATGATAATAAAGACGCATGTTTGGGGAAAATGTTTCTTATTGTCCAACATATTTTCATGTTATCGGTTTCAGAGAAATTGGGTAAGTAGGGATATAATCATTTCATCACATCGATAATAAAGCCGTAATAACATTAATAATAAAGCCGTAATAACATTATAACTTCAGGCCGTCCCGTTGAGTGCTGAAGCCTCTCCGATGTGGGCCGTGTGGTTGTGGATCCAGTCCAGGTAGTTGGAGACCCGGGTGTAGATGCCGTACTGGCCCGGCCGGGCGCAGCCCCTCCCCCAGCTGACGATGCCCAGCAGGAACCACGTCCCCCGGTACTCGGTCACCAGGGGCCCGCCGCTGTCTCCCTTGCACGAGTCCTGGCGGCCCTCGATGTACCCGGCGCAGAACATGTTCTGCGTGAGCCGCACGCCGCTCTCCTCCTGGCATCGCTGGGTCCGGATCCTCGGAACCCGCAGGCGGCGCAACAAGTCCGAGGTGGGGCCCTTCTCCGACATGCGCCCCCACCCGCTCACCGTGTGTAGGCCCACCGCCCACAACTCGCGCTCCGCCAGCCGGCGGGTGGGCAAGCAGGCCGGCACGGCGTAGGTGGAGTACCGGACCGGCCCCGCCAGGCGGAGGAGCGCCACGTCGTGGTCCACCGTGGTCTTGGAGTAGTTCTGGTGGGTGATGACCTGGGAAACCTGGAGGCGCTGCTCCGTGCCCTCCAGCACCTCTGTGTTGTGCTCACCTTGGGGACGGACAGAAGGGTTAACCATAATGGTGGGTCCGTAGTTCTGCTAGGTTCTGCTGGCTCTGACCCAGGGGGATTCGTACCTGCGATCACCTCCAGGAAGCGGACCTCGACGTCCTCCATGCAGTGAGAGGCTGTAAGGATCCAGGTGGGTTTGTAGATCACTCCTCCACAGAAAGCTTTTCCTTTGTGCAGCAGTAGAACCTCCAGGACACAGCCAGAACCACCAGGAAGAAAAAACAAGTAGAATCAGAACCACCAGGAAGTAGAACAAGAGAAACCAGAACTACCAGAACCGTATGTCTTAGATCCGTCTCAGCCTGTCACCCGTTGTTTTTCATAGAGTTCTGTTTGCTGACACTTTGGACTCCGGAGTCAAAGGAGCAACATGTGCAACCAGCGTGCGTGACCGCTGACCTTTGACCTCTGCCTACCTGCCAGGGGCATTCTCCTTTGGGGCACTCTGTCCCCCCGACGATCCGAGCCAGGGAGTCCGGCGACTCCAATTGGTTCTGCTTCAGAACCGGAACCATTCCGCAGGCTATCGGTCCTGTAACCATGGAGACGAGATCTGATCATCTCAACGTGCATGAGCTCACGAAGCAGATCTTATGAATGTGTGTATGTACACACAGCTGTGTGGGACACTTAAATGTTTCAGATCATCAAACAACTTTAAATATTAGACAAAGATAACGCAAGTAAACACAAAATGCAGTTTTTAAATGAAGGTTTTTATTATTAAGGGGGAGAAATCCGGACATACTGTGTGAAAAGGTGATTGCCCCTAAACGATAAGCGTTCGGGCCGCCTGAGCAGCAACAACGGCCATCACGCGTCTGGCAATGAGTCTTTTACAGCTGTGGAGGGATTTCGAGCCTGAACCTCCTTTTTAAGGTCATGCCGCAGCATCCCACTCGGATTCAGGTCGGGACTCTGACGAGGCCACGTTTTGGGCCACGTTTTGCCATTTGTGGATAACGGCTCTCACTGTGAGACTCACTGCTGGAGGCCCAAAGCTTTAGAACGTAACCTTTTCCACGCTGATAGACTCAATCACTTTGTTTCATAGTCATAATAATGATAACCTGTCGATGTGCAGCTCCTCCCGTCCTCATCCAGGAAGTAGCCGTCTGCACACGAGCAATTCAGCCTTCGTCCTCCCTCGTCTTCCTCACAGAAATGATCACAGCCTCCGTTCTCCAGGAGACAACTTTCATGAACCGTCGTGGAGTCTGAGACCAGGGATACATCTTAATATGTTAAATAATCTATCATAAACTGCTCAACCAGGAACATTAACTTGATAAAATAAGATAATATATATAACAAAAACAAATATATATTTGTCTGGTTTTTCTGTATTCTATCGTGTAAACTTTTCTATGCATATATATTTATATAGTATACGGCCTGATAACAGCCCAAAGTCCTGCCCAAGAGGACCCATAACAGAACCCTGAGGTTCTCCACAACAATGAAACATCAGTGATGTTCACGTCTGCTCACCGAGCTCACAGTTCAGTCCGCTGAAGCGAGGGAGGCAGAAGCAGCTGTAGGACGAAGCCTGAGCAGAGCAGCTTCCTCCATTTTGACAAGGACTCGACAAACAGGCGTCTGGTACTGAAACACACAATAGTATTAGATGTACTATTGTGTACGATAAACCATTCACATGCCAGTAGATCAACCTGGAACCAAAAGAACTGTCAGGAGAAGACTTTAAAACAAAATGTGTCACTTCAAGATTATTAATTGTTGCGACTCATTTTCTCATTTAAACTTTTACAATAGATCAGTTAAACGCAAACGATTGTTAAACACAGAAAAGTTTACAAAGAAAAACAGACAATAACCGACACCACACATCTCATTGGAGTTAATCTACATAACCTCAGATGTCATTTATATCCCCGCTCTGGTCTGAAGATGGTTCAGGATCAGGGTCCTGGACCTTTGTTAGCATCTGTTAGCATCTGGCTAACGAGGAAACAGAAGGTTGCTTACGGCTGTACGTCCTCCAGAACTCGGCCTGGGGAGAGAGAGAGAGATCATCAGGTCTGAAGCTGACAAAGTGGGTTCCACAGTACAGCACCGATCTCACCGTGGTCCGGTCGTGCTCAAACACCTCCCGGGCCTCCTCATAGGAGCACCGCTCCTCAAGACACTCCCTCTTCAGGTCCCCCACCTGCAGCTCCTCCAGCCAGCCCGAGTTGTACCTCCGGGTCCGGACCTGGACGACGTTGGCCCGGTCCGTGTCCAGGAGGCCATTGGCCCGATCAGGGTCCAGGAACACTTCCAAACAGAGGGGGAAGAGGTCGTTCCTTACATACGGTTCCTGTAGCACGCTAAAGGAAGTTTAACATCAGGCTGAAGATCCAACTGTTCTTCTTCTGTGGTACTTTGACCTCCTCACCTGAAGCTGACCGGCAGCTGGAGAAGACGAAGACAAAGGTGAAGAAGACTCTCATCCACATAGTTGGCTTTCAGTTTGCAGCTGTGCTTGTCTGTGAATCCAGAGGTGCAAAGTCCCCCCCGCCCCCCTTAGCTCCGCCCCCTAACCCCCCCCGCCCCCCTTACCTCCGCCCCCTAAACAACCCCCCCACCCCCCTTACCTCCGCCCCCTAACCCACCGCCCCCCTTACCTCCGCCCCCTAACCCCCCGCCCCCCTTACCTCCGCCCCCTAAACACCCCCCCACCCCCCTTACCTCTGCCCCCTAACCCCCCCCGCCCCCCTTACCTCCGCCCCCTAACCCCCCCCCCCCTAACCCCCCCCCCCGCCCCCTTACCTCCGCCCCCTAACCCCCCGCCCCCCTTACCTCCGCCCCCTAAACACCCCCCCCCACCCCCCTTACCTCCACCCCCTAAACCCCCCCCACCCCCTTACCTCCGCCCCCTAACCCCCCCCCCCACCAGACCAGCTGCAGGTCCTCGCCTCGATGGGTTCCAAAATGCTGCTAGCTTAGCACAAAGACTTATTGGAGCGGAACCAGCTCACACAGAGTTGTTTACTTTAAATACTCCTAAAGAAATAAACAAACATGAACACAGAAAGTTCTCTTGTCTTTATTTCGTTCACCAGAACTATTAACCACCATTAAGACGTCTCCTCAGTAAAACGTCTCTGACGTCTCTTTAATATAATTTCTCCTAAATAAGACGTCTCCTAAATAAGTTGTCTCTTTAGTAGGACGTCTTCTTCACAGTGTTCTGGTTACGACCCGTATTCAGGCGCTGGACATCACATCCTCGATCCAGACCAGGAAGTTGCTGACCTTGGTGTAGATGCCGTAGAGGTTCTTGTTGGCACAGCCTTTTCCCCAGCTCACCACACCCGTGAGGAACCAGGTCTTCTTGTAGCGGGTCACTAGGGGCCCACCGCTGTCCCCCTTGCAGGCGTCCCGCCCGCCGGACCGAAACCCGGCGCAGACCATGTTCCCGGTGACCTGCAGCCCAGTGTGCAGCCGGCAATCCTGCAGCGGGACCCGCGGCAGGGTCAGCCGTTGGAGCACGTTGGCGACGGCCCCGTTCTGTGCCAGGTGGCCCCAGCCTGACACGGTGGCGTGCCGGATGTTCTCCAGGGTTCTCACAAAGGTGCTGTTTTTTGCTGGGAGGCACACCGGCACCACATAGGGGCCCAGTTTCACGGGTCGGTGCAGCCGGAGCAGCGCCAGGTCGCTGTCCCAGCTGCTCTTGTTGTAGGCGCGGTGGATCAGAACCTTCCGCACACGCCGGTGCTGCTCGGTGCCCTCGACCCTCGTCAGGTCGTGTTCGCCTAAGAGGGGGAGGAGGTCAGAGGAGGAGTGGGACACAACGGAGGAGGTCAGACGTTCAAGAAGGAATGGGACAGGAAGAAGGAGGTTACAGGTCAAAAGAAGTGGCCTTCTTCACCCACAGTAACGTTGAAGACTGCAGCGGGTTTCCTCCGAACCCAGTGGGCGGCGGTCAAAACCCATCGGTTGGACACAACCACAGCGCCGCAGATGAAGGTGCCGTTTTCCTTGAGTAGAGCCTGAAAACAGAAAGTTGGGTGACCATCATCATGCGGTCTGCACCACAGGTAACGCGTCTAGGTTCTTACCTGTACTCCAGGTAACTACAAGTTCTTACCTGCCATGGACAGTGACCTTTGGGGCAGATCTCGCCGTTCACTACCCTCGGGCCAATGAAGTCCCGACGCATTCCGCAGGCCACCGAATCTGAACCAGAGGCATAACAGCGTGATGGGGGGAGCTAACATGTAGCCACCTAGCTGCTAACATGTAGCCGCGAAGCTACTGGGTCTCTTTCGGTCTGTGTAGGCGGTTTCTACAGGTGTCGCGAGGGAGTAAATAAGGTGATGTGGAGTAGCTGATGTGTGTGTTTTTACGGTGTTTTTTCTCCCACACTACTCCACTTCTCCGCTCTCCTCACTGGATGGGGTCCAGCTTCCATCCAGGACCTGGTCCAACCCGACATCCCGACCCGCACTCTCCGCTCTGCATGTGATAAACTGCTTGTTCCTCCTCACTGAGAGCAAAACACTCGACTAGATCTCCACTCTTTGCTGTCCTGCTCCTAAATGGTGGAAGGAGGTCTCTGAAGACATCAGGACCACAGAGAGCCTTCACATCTTCAGACTAAAGACACACCTCTTCAGACTCTACCTCCACTAACACACTGACTAACTGCAGCACTTACATTGGACTTATAATGGTTCTTATCTACAGCAAGTTGCTTATTTGATGAAATTGCTCTTTCTTGTTTCTTGTTCTTCTGAGTTTGTCTCCTTATGGTTGAAATGCACTTATTTTAAGTCGCTTTGGATAAAAGCGTCAGTGTCATGTAATGTAACGGTAACTTGTGGTTACTCAGGTAAAGTCTGTTGCTATGGTGATCAACATGACGCCTACGTGGTCGCTACGGCATTTAGGATCAACAATACAGAAGAAGAGTGCATCGCTGACCTGAGGGGGGCAGACAGGAGCTGGCGTCGGTGTGCAGGCGGTAACCCGGAGCGCAGAAACACACGTGAGGACGATCCCGGAACCCCCGGCAGAAATGTTCACAACCGCCGTTTCTATAGCGACAGCCGTGTGAGGTCACAATCACTGCGCAGGGTCACAGAGAGACAATTTAAATCCCTTCTTCTTCTTCACGAGCGGTCGGTGAAATAATGAGAACACTACCTTTGTCACAGTGGTTGCCGTGGTAACGAGGTGGACATTTGCAAGAGTAAGTGTTGACCAATCGGGTGCACGAGGCTCCGTTCTTACAGGGAGATGACAGGCAGTGGTCCACCGCTGCAGACAGGTGAGACAGGTATGATCAGTGTCCTCAGACGTTAACAGGTGAGACAGGTATGATCTGTGTCCCCAGATGACGTACTTGTGTAGAGCCTCCAGAAGTTCTCCTGAGAGGAGAAACAACGCTGGTTAACCACGGTAACTACGGTAACAGGACCCTGTGTCACAGCAAGAGGAGGAACCCACCAGCTGCTGAGGCAAGGAGAAGATCTCCTTGGCCTCCTCGTAGGAGCACTTCTCTTCCAGACACTCGCGCTCCACATCGCCGCTCCTCAGCTCCTCAAACAGGAAGTTGGCTCGACGAGAGCGGTGCAGGAAAACGCTGGCCTCCGGTCTGCTCACGAACACGCCCACTTTATTTACACATGCACAAGGAAAAAGGCTCAGTGCTTCGTGTGTAAAAGCTGCATTCTGTGTAGCGACCAGCAGGGGGCGACTCCTCCGGTCCCATAGAAGTCTATAAGAAAATGACTACTTCTCTCTTGAGTTAAACGGTGCAGTAAACACGAGTTATTCCCCTCAGTAAACACGAGTTATTCCCTCAGTAAACACGAGTTATGTCCCTCGGTAAACACGAGTTATTCCCTCAGTAAACACGAGTTATTCCCTCAGTAAACACGAGTTATTCCCTCAGTAAACACGAGTTATTCCCTCAGTAAACACGAGTTATTCCCTCAGTAAACACCAGTTTATGGTCTCTAGTTTCAAGTCTTCAAGAAAAAACAGAAGTTGACATAAAGGAAATCAAGATGGCGATGGACGAAAACAGGCTAAACCAGTGAGTGAAAGGTTGCTGGACATATGCTAAGCTAACAAAGTGCTAATGCTTTGACTCAAACATACAAAACACAAGACCTTTGTTTTACTCCAAAGTAACCTAAAAGTACCTCGTCATTTACAATAGCTAAGCTAACATGACAACGTAACTTGACAAACTTTTCACAGAATTCTACGGCGAAGAGAAGTAAAAGACTCGACATCTGATATGAAAACTGAAGAAGAAGGAACGCTGACACTGACCTTCGGGAACCCCGTTGCATGCTGGGATGGTAGCGATGAGGAGTCGAAGGAACAAGAGTTGCCTCGTTTCTCTGCCGACGGACGCCATGTTTGTTCTGATCAAAGGTCAGAAAAACACACAGGACCCTCTCGCCGATACGAGATACAAATACTGCAGTACTGCTCCCTCGAAGTACCATTATCAGACTAAAAAGTACAATGTCTCTCATGTACAACTCTTTGCTTCATTTATCTGACTTCAAGAAGTTTTGCTGTCGATAAAACGCCTGAAAATAAGTCCCTTTATTCAACAGTACAAGTAGTATCAGCTGAATAAAGTAACATTTTATACTAATGTGTCGACTAGTACTACTGCATTATATCATGTGTTTACTGTGTGAAAGGTTTTCAAAATAGTATTGCAGGAAAAAGTACTTTATTTAAAGGTAAACAGCATTAAAATATGTTGTAATTAAAAACAATAAGCAGAATAATTGATCCTCGTTTTTATTACTCGTACACTCATGATACAATAAATGAACGCCTGATGCATTGATTGATGTTTAATCATTGTTAGCATTAATTAGAGGTCACTCCATGTGCTTCAGGACGTCTGGAATGAACTCCTGGGCGTCTCTCAGCTGGTCCCTCCACTCCTGTGGGACCCCGCCCCCCCCGGCGCCCAGCAGGGCCCCCAGCGCCGCCCCGCGGTTGCAGTTCTCACCTGGAACAGAAATCTAATTATATATCATAACGTAACATATCTTAGTGCCTTTATTAGCTCCTTTAGCATAGGAAAGGAGCTTCAATACTTCCTTTACTAGTTCCTCAATCATAGGAAACACTGTTTCCGCTTCCTTGACCCTGTGATGTTCTCCTCAGAGGTCTGCGTGAAGTGGTTAGGAAAGGACGCTAGGAGGTGACCCTCCCACTCAAAGCTTCTGTACGAACCTCCACAGTTGGCGTTGGCCAGGATTCCCCCGGTGATGTCATCGTGGAACTCGTGAGCCAGGTAGAACAGGCTGGACAGAGCTCCTGTTGGGTCAAAACAAACACAGGTCAGGGCTTTCTCAACAGTCACATGTCCCTCTGAACACGTCACGTGACCCTCAACAACGCGTGACATGATCCCGCGTGGACCTTTGGTGTAGCAAGCCAGGCCCAGGTAGCTCACGGCGCTCTGATGGACCTTCAGCTGCTTGTCGGAGCCCCGAGGGAACCTGCAGTCACACAGATGGGAAGAGGATTTATTGTGAAAGATCAGCAGGAAGTGGGGACTTTTGATTGACAGCTGGCTTCACAGAGAGCACGGAGCACAAAGGAAATAAAGACTGGACTCTCTGGAGTTCCTTTGTCGATCAGATTCATTGATCTACTGATCATGAACCCGATCCTGGCTATATTGATACCTGGCTGCCTTGCGTGCGTAGCTGCGGGACTCCTCCCAGGCCTCCAGCCTCCTCAAGGCTCGCTCCGCCTCCTGCCGCACACTGGCCCCGCCCAGGACGGCGTGCAGCGCCCGGCTGTAGATGGACACATACTCGGGCACCTTCGGGTGCGGGTGGGTGAGCTTCACGAAGTCCACGGCAGCTGAGACCTGAGGTCACAGGTCAAAGGTCAAAGAGAGAGAGAGAGAGAGGGAGGGGGGGGGGTCGTTGCGGGTGCACGGGAGACCAACCGCTTGGTCCTCATTGGCCGAGGCGGAGAGCAGGATGAAGGGGAGGGTCATGGGAAGGCAGCCAATGGCATCCAGCTGGCCGTCGGGGGAGGAGGAGCTTAACATGCGCCTGCTTCGCTTCTCTGCAAACGCCAGAACCTGGAAAAAAAGAGACTCCAGTAAAGACGGAAACTCAGCCAAGGCTTGTGTCGGTGGGTGCGTTTGTTTTACCTCACTGGGAGAGGTGGGCCTGGCATCCTGCCAGCTGGAGAAGAAGGCGCGGTGGAAGGACTCAGCGTAGGAGTCGCGGTGCGAGCCCTTCGTGGTCAGGAAGCTGACGTAGTCCGACATGACGGCGGCTCTGGCCTCCGGCTCAGAGACATCGCTGAAACCCCCCGAGACGAGAGACAGGAAGACCCGTAGGGAACAGAGGACATTTAGGGTGTTGTCCCCAGACTGAAGACCTGAGGAAGATGAAAAAGGATCACTGAAGACCACAAACCCATGTCTGTATGAACATGTTGGGCCGAAAATACATCACTGATTTTTAAATTCCACACTTTCTTCCAGAAAAGGGGACCATGACTCTGTGCCCTGGTGTTGGTAGACTGGGACACTGTACCCTGGTGGTTGTAGACTAGGAATCTGTATCCTGGTGGTAGTGGACTAGGATTCTGTACCTTGGTGGTAGTGGACTAGTACTCTGTACCCTGGTGTTGGTAGACTGGGACTCTGTACCCTGGTGGTAGTGGACTAGGACTCTGTACCTTGGTATTAGTGGACTAGTACTCTGTACCCTGGTGTTGGTAGACTGGGACTCTGTACCCTGGTGGTAGTGGACTAGTACTCTGTACCCTGGTGTTGGTAGACTGGGACTCTGTACCCTGGTGGTAGTGGACTAGGACTCTGTACCTTGGTATTAGTGGACTAGTACTCTGTACCCTGGTGTTGGTAGACTGGGACTCTGTACCTTGGTGGTAGTGGACTGATCCTCTGGAGTTCTTCCACAGGTCCAGCTTGTCGTGAAGGATCACATTACCAACCACGTCGGGTCGCTTGGTGCCGGAGGACCAGGCGGTACGACCGCTGCCGGCTGGAACGAACAGAACCAGCACCAGACTTAACCACCAGAACCAGGTCTTGGTGAGGGGTTGGATGGGTGGGGGAGAAGGGGGGCGGACGGTCTCAGTTACCGGTGTTGGACAGGTTGAGGATGCTGGAGGGGTGCCGGTCCCTTGGAGACATGAAACCGCAGATCCAACCGCCGAAATCCCTGGTGATGTCATCAATGTTGTAGTACCAGTGGACCGGCATGGCCATGGAATCCGCTGCACACATGGCCCACAATGCATTGTTCACGGATCGCCGTACCGGAGACATCGCCGCTAAGGAGAAAGTACCACAACTTCATGTAGTATTATATATAACTTAAGTACTCAGTCTGCACTAACAGTCTTTGATGTTACATTACCAGCTTTTCAACAAACCCCAGAGTGACACTTTGTTGGCCGCTACGGTGGACTGGGGGGGGGGGGCGATGCTACGGTGGACTGGGGGGGGGCGATGCTACGGCGGACTGGGGGGGGGGCGATGCTACGGCGGACTGGGGGGGGGGGGGGGGCGACACTACGGCCGACGGGGGGGCGCTACGCCCACGGGGGGGGGTTTAGGCGCGGATGACATGCTCAATGCGTGACACTTGCATTACAGACTGAGTTGCTCTCTCACAGAAATACTTCACCATGTGGGTCAACTGATCAATTCAACTTCAATTTGTGCAATAGTGACCAGATCATCTCACAGGAAGTCATGGTGTAACGTTTAAAAAAAGGCGCCAAACAAAGTGACCTCAAAGTGAACAAATATAGTATATGTTTAATATAAATATTTAGTCTCCTCACCTCTCAGTCTGTAGAAACAGTACTTCATGTAATATATTCGATTTATTGTTGTGTTTCAAAAATGAAGAATCTCCAGACGGACAGAAGACCTCTTGGATTGAAGAGTTAAAATCAAAAGTATTTAATAAAAGAAAGGGTGCAGAGGCCCTAACACATTTCCAATGGATGTGTTAAGCCTCCGGGGCGAACGGGGGGAACATGTTGGGATTTGTGTTCTGCCATTAACAAGATTCAATGTCCGGTGCACAGTGTGTCTTTTTTGGTCTCTTTAATCTGTGCCGCACATATAACTTCCAACGCCAATTTACTTGTATTACATTACAGCTTCCGGTTAAAGGCACCACACAGCAGACGAAGTCACCTCCATGGAGCTGCGACACGGTCAGTTTGCTTCCCAGCCACACCTGTGCTTGTGTCAATGCGCCACCCTGTGGTCAAAAGCAAGAACTGCACGTCCCGATTCACCCGGTGTTCCCTCAAAATAAACAAAAGCCCCAAAACCTGCATTATGGCTCCAACAAAGGGTGTTGTGCTAAAAAGAACCTCTCAGCTAAGGAGCCGCTGGTCTCTGCAATGAAACGAACAGGCCACAGGGCCCATTGACCCCCCCATAGCGAACTCTAAACCATGGGTGCCTACAGGCAGTGTTGTAGTGGTAAAATGAGAGGTGGGTAAACCATGAATTCTGTGATCATACAGACCTTGACGCGATGCAACGCAACACAAAGACTCTGTAAGGCTGTCCTGGCTATAATGCATTATGCTATCAGTTAAAGTCATACAATCAATGACCGTGAATAAATGTGCTTGTAGTTTATTAAATTTCAAGAAAACACAAGTTAACACACCATTAAGGAATGAATCCATCCGAACTGGCGGGTTGATCCGCAACGTGTGTGTTTCCACCCTGATTGGTGGAGCAGCCGCAGGCCGCTGATTGGAGGGTCACAGACCAGACAGCGCGGATGGCAACGATTGCTACAGCGTTTATATGTTCAACAATATGAAATGTAGTGTTTTAAAATGACACCACATTTATTTCAGATTGTTCCAACGGAAGAATACAAGACGCATGGAACTTTGAGGTGCGTAAACGCTATTTCCAAATTCCAGACGTGCGTTTACTCTCCACTACAGCCCTGCCTACAGGTATTCATGCAGATCAGTAAAGGTGTGAAAGTTAGTAACCACACCTCTGGGAGTGGTCTCCTGGTGAGTTCAATGTCTCTCAGTCAATACCAGTTGTGGTGCTATCAAGTATTACATGCATGCATTTGAGCATTTTGGTTGGTTACATTATGACTACAATCATAGCTGTACATTGGTATTATTCTATTGATTAGTTTCAAAATTACAGTGTTTTAACAATATTCATTATTGTATTGATTAGCATAGAATCATGGCGGTTTTCTGGTGTACACTAAATGCATTTTATTAATTTCTGAACCGGGTCGTCAGTTTATTTCTAATACCCTACAATATTTAATGTTAGGTAGTATTTAGTCTACTCACCTGTCAGTCTGTACTTACAGTACTTCATGTAATATATTCTATATATTTAGGTAGTATTTAGTCTCCTCACCTTTCAGTCTGCGATTCTCAGCCCTTAATGATTCCACATTTTAAACTTGCATAAGTTTTGTTCCACTGTTACAAAACTAAACCGGAAGTGGCTAACGTTAGCACCGTCATGCTAACATTAAGTTCTAGCTGCTCTCGCTAACTAGGGTCACGTCATAACCTGATGCAGTGAGGTTCATGATGGGTTTCCGATCTTAATGTGTTCATTAAAATGCTTCATTTCATAACCGGTGTTACGTGGTTGAGCCAACGTTAAGTCTCATATCAGTGGGTTTTATGCCCTGCGCTGAGGCTACAGGCGTAAAACTGCGTTCAGCGTACAAATACTTTCAAAAACCGTGACTCGGGGTGTATTGAATTAATTATATCAAACAATGTCTCTTGTTATATAGGTTATATAACACAAACTGTTAAGAGGCGAAAATCAGCCTGAAAAACTCTGCCCAGGGAAGCAGCTTTTTCTACGGTGGCCGTTGAGCATCACAATTAACCACAATATGGCCAAACGAGAACGCAAATGGAAACAAGTGGAACAATGATGATAGCATGATGCTAACGTCACCACATTAACCGTTGTTTTGTGTCGCGCGGCCATTACAAATGATGTTATACATATGTGTGTGTGTGTGTGTTATAAGAACATATTAATGTAAGGGAATTCCTCACCAAACTAGTTAACACATATGATAGTTGTTAGCGACCCAGCTGAGCTAAGCTAGGTGATTGCTAACATATTAACGTCTGAGACCGAGATGGAAGAAAACCAGTTGGATCCTTTAGAAGTGGGTAAGAACTACGGTTTTAACTTTTAACTACGTAACGTCACCACATACGTAATATGTGAGGAGGACGCAACCCGTTGACGCCATTAGATACGGGTCAACGGTTAGAAAAGTTTGTGGACTCTCAAGTTTAATATAGACGTTTTTTAGTGTGGTTTTGGAGTCTACATGGACCTTGTCCAGGTTCGACACGGTTGGTTTATTGTGGACCAGGTCTGATGAGGTTTAGACGTGAGGATTCATTTCAATGTTTTCCAGAGCGAGCTAAATCCTTCTGGGCCGAGGAGGACGTGGACCAGGTGTTCAGTGGCGTGTTTGAGTACCTGGGTAACCTGAAGAGGGTCCTTAAGAAGAACACGGCCTCTGATAAAGGTTGGACTCTTGGTTCTTCTTCATTGATATTGAGCTGGACTTCCTGTTTGGCTGATGGGGACTTCCTGTTGTTGTGTGTGTGTGTGTGTGTGTGTGTGTGTGTGTGTGTGTGTGTGTGTGTGTGTGTGTGTGTGTGTGTCAGAGTATGTTCAGGGCCTGAAGCTGCTGGATAGTCTCAAAGGACCTCCGGCCTCCTCTCAGGAACCCTCCGTGGTCCAGGTGGTCATCGGCTCAGGTCACCAGGCTTTTATTGTGAAAAGAAAACTGTACTGTTGTCATAACCAGACATTCAAAATGTTAACATACATTAGCTGTGTCTCATTTGGTGGGCTACATCCCCATGACAACCCGGGCTTGTGGTCTACGTGGGCCGGGTCCTACAGAGACCGCATAGGCTGAACCGCGCGCCCCTGATATGAGACGGTCTGTCCTGCAGACTTAAAGCTTGAGTCACCAGCCTTTTCTCCACCGCTCCCGTTGCCTAGCAACCTGCTGTGACAGTAAAAGTCTTCACAAGTGTATAAAATGCAGATGGGAAAGGTAATGTTCTTATTCAGTTTAATTTAGGGAGATATGCTTCACCTGAGGAGCATGATACATTTCAGACAGAGAAGAACATTTCATTGTATTTTAAATAGTTGTAATACATTCAACTTGGTTCGGCCGTGTACTTGCAGCTGAAAGTAATATTGCAATATTAAGGCAAAGGAAATCTATTAAGACTGTAAATAAAACCACAGTAACACGTTCATTAACTTGTAAGCAAATGCTTTTTATTATTATCTTGCATATACAAGATAACTTAACTCACTTTAAGATATTACAGAATATGTCAAAGGTGCAGAAACTCAATGTTACCACACTAAACTAAATGTATAGTTAGGTTATAATCACACTAAACTAAATGTATAGTTAGGTTATAATCACACTAAACTAAATGTATAGTTAGTTTATAATCACACTAAACTAAATGTAGTTAGTTATAATCACACTAAACTAAATGTATAGTTAGGTTATAATCACACTAAACTAAATGTGTAGTTAGGTTATAATCACACTAAACTAAATGTATAGTTAGGTTATAATCACACTAAACTAAATGTATAGTTAGGTTATAATCACACTAAACTAAATGTATAGTTAGGTTATAATCACACTAAACTAAATGTATAGTTAGGTTATAATCACACTAAACTAAATGTGTAGTTAGTTTATAATCACACTAAACTAAATGTGTAGTTAGTTTATAATCACACTAAACTAAATGTGTAGTTAGGTTATAATCACACTAAACTAAATGTGTAGTTAGTTTATAATCACACTAAACTAAATGTGTAGTTAGTTTATAATCACACTAAACTAAATGTGTAGTTAGTTTATAATCACACTAAACTAAATGTGTAGTTAGTTTATAATCACACTAAACTAAATGTGTAGTTAGTTTATAATCACACTAATCAATAGTTTCAGTTATATTTCTGGTTCTTGATAACATGAAATATAAACTATGACCCACGGGGGGGCTCAGGTTATGGGGGGGGGGGGGCAGCATGATCAGATGTGTCCTCTGAATCGACAACATTGACGGGCCGCCCGACCAGATGAGACGCAGCCAAACGATGAGGTAGTTGTTGGACATCTTATCTTGGTGGTGTCTTTCTGTCCAGATGAGCCACGACTGGCCAAGTTCTCCCACTCGTCCTCCACCACCCCCCCCAACGGGACATCCGGCTCAGCAGCCCCCCCTTCAGGGCGAGAGGAGCTGCTTCCACCTCTGACCCCCGTCCAGCTGCAGTACGAGCCCCACCCCTGCTGCAAGGTCACACATGTACACACACTGTACTACACACTGCACACTGTACACACACTGTACTACACACTGTACACTGTACACACACTGTACTACACGCTGTACACTATACACACACTGTACTACACGCTGTACACTGTACACACACTGTACTACACGCTGTACACTGTACCACACTGTACTACACACTGTACACTATACACACACTGTACTACACACTGTACACTATACACACACTGTACTACACACTGTACACTGTATACACACTGTACACACACTGTACTACACACTGTACACTATACACACACTGTACTACACACTGTACACTGTACACACACTGTACTACACACTGTACACTGTATACACACTGTACACACACTGTACTACACACTGTACACTATACACACACTGTACTACACACTGTACACTGTACACACACTGTACTACACACTGTACACTGTATACACACTGTACTACACACTGTACACTGTATACACACTGTACACACACTGTACTACACACTGTACACTATACACACACTGTACTACACACTGTACACTATACACACACTGTACTACACACTGTACACTGTATACACACTGTACACACACTGTACTACACACTGTACACTATACACACACTGTACTACACACTGTACACTGTATACACACTGTACTACACGCTGTACACTGTACACACACTGTACTACACACTGTACACTATACACATACTGTACTACACACTGTACACTATACACATACTGTACTACACACTGTACACTATACACACACTGTACACTATACACACACTGTACACTATACACAAACTGTACTACACACTATACACACACACTGTACACTATACACAAACTGTACTACACACTATACACACACACTGTATACTACACACTGTATACTACACAGTACACCATGCACACACTGTATGTACTACATGTTGTGTACTACACGCTGTGCTGTGAATACTTTACTTTGTTTTGTTGTTTCTTCTCAGGCCTGCCTGCCCTGTTTACCCATAATGCCTCAGTGCACCCCTGCATTCTGGGGTCAGAACCCCCTCAAGGTGCCGCTGCTCTGCGGCTTCAAGAGGCTGAGCGCCGTGCCCCTGATGATGTCACTTAGAGGGGCGGAGCCACCCCTCTCCGCCGAGGAGGAGGATTGGGACGTCCTCTATAAAGCGCCATGTGGGCAGAGCCTCCGTAACCACGACGACGTGATGCGTTTCCTTTTGGCCACGGAGAGCTACGACGTCCTGCAGGTTTGTGACGGTGGGGGCGGGAGGGTCTCTGTAAACGTGATGAAGCACGTAAATAGGAGAGACTCCGTCAATTTTCAAAATCAAACATTTTGCCAAAGACAAAGTCAGATGACCGGTACCGGTCGGTGGGCGCCGGTCTGGAAGCACGGTACCGGTCCGTGGGCGCCGGTCTGGAAGCACGATACCGGTCGGTGGGGGCCGGTCTGGAAGCACGGTACCGGTCTGTGGGCGCCGGTCTGGAAGCACGGTACCGGTCCGTGGGCGCCGGTCTGGAAGCACGATACCGGTCCGTGGGCGCCGGTCTGGAAGCACGATACCGGTCCGTGGGCGCCGGTCTGGAAGCCATGGCAGTAAAAGTACTGCGCCTGCTGTATCAATGTACCCTGATTTCAAACCTCTCCCCAGGTGGACTTCTTCACCTTTAACCCCTCGGTTCAGCTGGACCCGCCTCCTCCGGCGGGCCCCCCGTGCCCGGTGATGGACTTGAGCCGGGGGTTAGAGCCCACGCCGGTGCAGTTATGCGTCGGGGACGGCGGCGCTCGGCCTGCCGAGTTCCGCTACAGGAAGGACCGCTGGCCGCACGGCTGCTTCCTGTCCCGCGGCCCGGCGCTGTTCCAGGTTTGCTGCGACTGCAGCGACGGATGCAGCGACGCGCAGCGCTGCGCCTGTGCCGCTGCCACCGCGGGGGGGCGCCGCTACCGCTACCACCGCCTGCCGGAGTCCGTCCCATCAGGGTGAGTGTGATATAATAGAGCTTAAGTGCTCTTGGTGCCATTGAAGCTGGAGGTGACCTCACACTGTTCCCTGAATGCCACCCCAGCGTGTACGAGTGCGGGCCCTGGTGTGGCTGCGTCCGGGCCCGCTGTCAGAACCGCCTGGTCCAGAGAGGGATCCGGGTCCGCCTCCAGGTCTTCCGGACCGACCGCAGAGGCTGGGGCGTGTGTTGCCGCGACGACCTGGACCGCGGCACATTCGTGTGCATCTATGCAGGTGAGATGCCCCTCCCCCGGCCTGCGATTAGCCGACGGGCGGCCTGACCGGCGCGGTGTGTTCAGGTGTCACGCTGCAGAAGGGAAAGAGCAGCGCTGAGCCGTCGCCCCCCAAGCTGACCAGGACGGACGTCCCGTCGGACGACGAGGTGGAAGTGGTCACTGAGTGGCCCCCCCCCCCCGCGCTGGAGAGCCGGAGCACCTTGCTGGAGCCCCCCCAACCTACATCGCCCCCCCTGCACGTCCCCGTGATCCAGAGCCCCGCCGAAGCCCCGCCGCCTGACCGGGACCAGGTACCAGTGCTATTGTACTTCTACTCCGTTTTACTACATTCACCTTCTACTTATACGGTGGTGGAAGTATCCAACAAGTAAAAGCACTGATATCACAGTAACTACTGCATTCCCTGAGGAAAAGTTAGCAACAGAGCTAAATGCTCAGCTGAGGGGGGGGCGGGTGGGTGCTACGTTTCCATGGAGACGCAGTTGTCGCCTTCATCTGAGAGCAGAGCATCAAGCTAATGCGTGGAACAGATTTTCAAAATAAGATTCATTACAATCAGTAATTTGACTTCTAAGTTGCGTCCCCAGACGGTGCTGGTCGGGGTCCCGGAGCCTCCGTCAGGTGACCCCCCTCCGCCCCTGGGCAAGGACTTTGCCATGACGACAGAGACGACAGTCAGCGGCGTGAACAGGACGGAGACGCAGAGGAGCCTGAAGAGGCCGATGGAGGCGGAGGACGTCTACTTCCTGGACGCCAGCAAGGAGGGAAACGTGAGCCGCTTCATCAACGTAAGAGCATCGACTAACAGTCGCAGACAATGTGGGGGAGGGGACTTCTGTTTAACCTTTGACCCCGCCTCTGCTCCCCACAGCACAGCTGCAGGCCGAACCTGTTCGTCCAGAACGTCTTCACCGACTGTCACGACTCCGGCTTCCCCGTGGTCGCCTTCTTCACCAGCACGTGAGCAGGAGGATGTTGTTGTTGTTGTTGCTGTTGTTGTCGGCGTCGGGTTCAATAAACGTCTCTCTCTCTCTCAGGGTCGTGAAGGCCGGCTCTGAGCTTACATGGAAGTACTCCACCGACAATAAAAGCCAACTGGAAGTGCCCTGTCTCTGCGTTAGCAACGGTTGCCAGGGACATTTTTCTATTGGCGAGGAGCTGTGTGACGTGTGTGAGGTCAAAGGTCAAGGTGAAACACAGTAACCCACCGAATGGACAATACACATTTCATTCTGTATGTTTTTTTCTGAATGCAATTCAGCAAATCCTTCCAGATGTTTTATTTTAAAACACCATCACACGGTTTCATTTCAGAGGTCACATTTGGTATGAAGGACACCTTTATTTTGAAAACTTGTCTAAAAAAATCTGCCTGTAAATTGTTTTTTAACTCATTGCAGCTACTAACCCTCTTATTTGGAAACATTTGCCACTATCTGATTCTAGTCATTGTTGTTATTTAGTGTTTTTGTACAACGTTCACTCTAAATAATTAAACAATAAATGAAAAACCTAAAACTGAAACATAATAATAAACATATGCGTGCTTATAATATACTTGATGTTACTTCATATTGCTATAATCGTTACTTGAGTGATATATAATAATAACAGACAGATACCATATACACAGAAGAACTAGTATTTATTATTTATTATTAGTATTTGTGCTGTGTCCAGTCCAGCTTATTGTTCCAGTGTCTCAATGTCCATTCCCTGTGTGTCCACTGGTTCATCTGATCACCAGCAGCTCACTGCTTTTGCTGAGTTGATCTGGAGGAGGTTCTGCTGGCCCCGTACTATAAAGTCCTGGTTCAGTTCCTCTGTCACTGGCGGAAATGCCGGCCATTGCAGGGATTTATATTTGAAGTCAGAGGGGTATATGGAGAAGAGGAGTGGATCCACAACAGTGTCCGACAGGACACCAGGTATCTGCACGCACTGGGGACGGTCCAGGATCCATGCAGAGAGGTGGGGGTCCACTCCGGTCTGCTCCAGCTTATCCCTGAGAAGCAAAGGCACTGGAGAAGTCAAAGAACATGACTCTCACGGGGCTTCCGGTCCCGTCCAGGTGGGAAAGGCATCTCTCCAGCAGGTAGACGAGCCCGACGGCGGACTGCTAGGCGAACAGAAGAGAGTCCAAAGATGAGCTCACCAGGGGGCCGAGGTGTTTAAGGACCAGCCTCTAGTGGGTTGGGAAAGCCACCGGCTTGAAGCTGCCACACAGGATTCTCTCAGAGCTGTGGTACTCTCCCATCTTCCAGCTGAGTTTGAAGACGTGCTGATAGATATAAACTTCATTAATCCCCAAGGGGAGATTGTAGTTCAAGTTCAAGTAAACAAGGATTTATCCAGAGGTGTTATGTTGTGTTCTGTTGTAGAGTCTTATTGCCGTTGGCAGGAATGTTTTCCTGTATCTGTCCTTGTGACAGCGGAGCTGCATCAGCCTGTTGGAGAAGGTTCTCTGTTTCCCTGCAGTAGGTGGTGAAGAGGGTGGTCCAACAGTTTTTTCAGTGTCCTCCTGTCCACCACCTGTCCAGGATGCTCCTGTTGGCAGCTAATGATGGAGCCGGCCTTCTTCACCAGCTTCTTTAGTCTGTTGGTGTCACCAGCTCCAATGCTGCTCCCCCAGCAGACAATGGTGAGGTACAGATCACTGGCCACAACAGACTGGTAGAACATCTCCAACATCTTGCTGCACACATGAAAGGATCCAAGTTTCCTCAAGAAGAAGAGTCGACTCCTCCGCTTCCTACACAGCGTTGCTGTTGGCCTTCCAGTTCAGTCTGTTGTCGATGGAGACACCAGGTACTTGTATTCCACTTCCTCTTCCTCTATGTCCACATCCTCACCCAACTCTGAATGGTTGTGGAGACGTCGTCTTCCTCCTGAAGTTGTGTGTGTGTGTATAATTTATATATATATCTCTATTCGCAGCTATTTTATTTCGAAAATCCCAACGCGGCTCTTGTTGTGAAACTCCGCCCCGGAAGTCCCGTGTTGTTTACATATATACTTGTTGCGTCTCTTGAGTCTCACACCGTTTCTCCTCCACACACCGAACCCCAGCATGAGCGCTCCTTTTCGGGCTGCGTGTGTGCTCCTCCTCGGGCTCCTCTGGACGTCCTCCGGATCCCGGTGCATCGGGTCCCGGTCCGCCGGCGGCCGGGTCCGGATCCCCCCTCACGACCAGGTGGCGCGGGTGGCGCGCTTCGTGGCCCACCAGTGCGACTGGGCCTCGATGGCCACCGTCTCCACCCACCAGCCGGTGGTGGGGCGCCCGTTCTCCAACGCGTTCTCGGTGAGCGACGGGCCGGAGGGCTCCGGTACCGGGGTCCCGTACATGTACCTGACCCGGATGGAGATCTCGGTCCAGGATCTGCAGGTGATGTTGAACCACGTGATCGAGTCACGTCGTTCAGTGACCCTTCTCATGTTGTTTGTATTTCATTTATTTATTTTGTTTAGAACATAGTTATATTTAAATAATGTTACCCAAAGGTCACTGTGTAATGTGGACATATATTGTGATAAACTAAGTACTTTATAATTATTATTTACTTCTTTAATATTATACTATAACAATATTATATAATATTTAATAGAACAACATAATGAGGTAAAATAATGTATACTACAATATAATATATTAATGTACACTAACATAATATATTATAATACAACAATAAACAATTAAATCTAAATAATAATACATGTAATATATAATTCAGCAGTAAATAGTAGTTTGATATAACATACGAAATAATAATATATAATTAACATTATGTAATCCTCCTTTTTGTTTGTACTGAAGGTTTAATGTCACAATTTAGTTCGAGGAAATAGTTTGATAAATTATTCAAGTAACATTTCGACTCTTGTCCAACATGCCAAATGTTTCATTTATTTGTATCTATTAACTCTGATTACGTAAATAAATGTTATTAACGGATATCTGATTGTTAAAAGTCATGAGACAGTTTATAGTTTATTTAACTGAAACATGACGCAGTAGATCTTCACAGGGTGACTCAGCACTTTAAGGGTTAAAGTCACGTGACAGAGCAGAAGTCATGTGACTCCTTTCTGAGAAGTACTACTTCTAATATTATATATTCATACATTTGTACGCTTATACATTTATGTATTTATATTTTGATATATGATTATATTATATTTTGTGTTTATAAATGTATATATAAATTGATATACCTATATTTTCAGACATTTATATATTTTTATATATTTATGCAATGCTAAACTTATATATGCATACATTCATACATTTACAATTATTTATGTATACATCAACATATTTATTTGCTTATATATTTAATTGTACATTTTTATATATTATACATTTATATTTACTAGGGCTGTCAATAGATTAAAAATAGATAGATTAAAAAAACTAATAAATAATTTTGAAATTCATTAATCGTGATAAAATGTATTTTTCTTTTAAAGACTAAATCTTATAAATGAACGAGTAATCACTCTAGAAAGCGTGTCTTTTAAACACAAACTCCACACACGTGATCGTGTTGGAGGTGGAACATGTTAAACGACGACTCTGGTGTCCTCGTGCACTTTGCTCTCAACTCTCCTTCATTTGACGTGTTTGAAGATCAAATGTCTCCACATTTACGGGCCCCACTGTCATCGGTGCTTTCGCTTCAGAGCTGGACGCAGGGGTGGGGGGGGGGTCCTGGAGCTGCCTCCGCCATTCTTTCAAATCGACACTCCTCCAAGAGACTGATTGGTTTGTAGGACAAGTCTTCACAGGGTGGGATTATTTGCATGGGATGCTGCATTGACGACAACTCAGAAAATACGTGACAAATTCAAAACGGGACGCAGTATTTTATTTTCAAATACAGAACGATTCCGTATTTGAAGGGACGGGTGGCAACCCCAGTATCCAGTGACCCCCTAAGTTATTGAGGTGTGTCCCTGCAGGTGAACCCAGAGGCCTCCCTCTCGATGTCTCTGGCTCAGACGGATTACTGCAGACAGCAAGGCTTCGACCCTCAGAGTCCTCTGTGTGCTCACATCATCCTGTCTGGGTCTGTGCTGGAGGTACAAGCACGCACACACACACACACACACTTAGCAGTCACATGACCAGTCACATGACCCCCCTCTTGTTGTCCAGGTGAACGGGACGGAGGCGGAGTTTGCAAAGAAGTCTCTGTTCAGTCGACATCCAGAGATGATGGAGTGGCCTTCAGACCACGACTGGTTCTTCTGCAAGTTCAACATTACTCAGGTACAAGTACTACAAGTATTAACTACCACTAACACTACTACTAGTACTACTACGACAAACACTGCTGCTACTAATACTACTACCAGTACTACTGCTAATACTACTACCAGTACTTTTATCACTGGTATTCCTACCACTACTAGTAAAAGTTACTTTCATCTCAATATTTCTGACTATGTCATTTCCCAAAACATGGAAGCCAACGTCTTCAGTAACGCTTCCTATTGGTGGAAAGTCATGAACCATCAAAGAGCAGGGGATGTGGCTAATGTCCGGGCTCCTCCCCCTCCATGTTTACAGGTGTGGGTGCTGGATTATTTTGGCGGGGTGAAGACCGTCTCTCCGGAGGAATACTTCCAGGCCTCGCTGCACAGGAAGCCGCACTGAATGCTGGAAAACGTAGTTCACCTCCGTCTGTTTGTAGTCATATGACAGTTGAACTACAAGTAGACCTTAAAACTACAACAAGGGTCGGCTGATCACTTCAGTTTTTGTTCTAGATCACCAGATTCAAGACGTGTGAACTTTTTATTCATAATACCTTCAAATCTATTTTTTGTGATCACACTTATTTATTCTTCTTTCAAGCGTTATTGACTACATCTCCCATGAGCCTTAGCACCTTGCTATGGAGCCAAATCCATGTCAAATGTTTTGTTCATTTGAAAAACAAATGTGAACCTGAACGTTTTTTTGTTGAACATTGAAAAATACAGCAATTTAATAAGTGGGCAAAAATATTTTGGATTGAATATGGTTTTGACTCAGCTCTATTTTTTTGGATCTTTGGATTTTTTTCAATCTTCACTTATATATATTTATTCGTTGTATTGTATTTTTCGGTTGCAGATTTTTAGTTTCTTTTGAATCTGAAAAACCGAAACCGAAAAATACAATACACCGAATATCAAAAAATAAATACAAGAGAAGAGTGAAAAAATAATGTATTCACAAAATGATAAAACTGAGTCAAAACTATATTCAACCCGAAAATACTTTTCGTGCACTTATTTTTATTTTGAGTAAAATAACTAATTAATTAATAACTTATTTTTATTTTGTTGTATTTATCAATGTTCAAGACCAACTTTTCGGGTTTTTCAAATGAACAAAACTTTGACCTGGATTTGGCTCCATATCCTGCTGGCCTTTGGAGCCTCATGGGTGTTGAGGTTGTTGAACGCTCATCTGGTGATGTTTGAAAAAACGTCACAAAGATGTCATGTTGAGAGGGCGGGGCTTAACTGTGGGTGGGCCTTGTTTGGAACAAAGAGGCGGGCCTTAGACACCTGAATGTTTTACAGGATTATCGTCCTTCCTTATAGTATAGAAACGTTTTCAGGATAACTTGAAAACTTTGAGATTATCTATTTTTGAAACTGAATGTTTATTATGTATAAATAAAGTTTGTGTTAAAAATACATGTTTGTTTGAAAGTGTTTGTTCTTCAGCCATAGAAGTTTATGAAAAAAACGCTGAGTGGAAAATGTAGAAATATGATAATCTATAAAAATGATTATTGTTACGGATTATTGTAATCAAATTACTCTGCAGAAAGAGAACTTTTTTACTGAAGTTTATCAGGGTTGAGGTACTGTTACTTCAGAAAAGTTTTGAATTTAGGACTTATTTTGCTGATAAATAATAGTTTCCTGAATGGATTCTTCAAAGATTTAAAGAAAACAAAAATGTGAAGTTTCCTCTTGTACACGACTGTTTGTGTGTGTGTGTGTGTGTGTGTGTGTGTGTGTGTGTGTGTCACCTGTCAGAGCAGCTCTTCACCACTTCCTGTTCCACTTCTTCACGTCTCTCAGAGACTGGTTGTGTTCAGTCGGCTTCGTGTGTCAGCAGCGAGAAGAAGAACAAGAAGAACAAGAAGAACCCGGGTCATGATGGAGCTCCAGATCCCGATCCCTGGGCTTCTGGTTCTGGTCTCATTGTTTCCTCCAGCAGGTCAGAACAACACTCACTTCCTCCTCATTAGCATACTGGTTGTTAAATAAGTAAAAGAAGAACATATTCACATTTCAACTCAAGTAGATCCTACAGGACGTTAAGACGTGTTGAAGACGATTTCAAAGAGTACCTGACCACTGAAAGCAACCTCTGTAAAACATATATATGTAAATGTGTGTATGTATATTCATAAATACGGTGATGTAGGTCACCCCTACAAACCCGTGAAGAAGAGCCGTCTCTCCGGCGGCCATCTTGGCTTCTCATGTTACTGTCGACAGGATTCACGATGCTTTAGAGATTAATAAGAAATATTTGAATTATAACGCTAACCGTAACAAATGCTACTGTCTTTGACTGGTACTGTGTATACTTATATATGTACATGTCAGACCAGCTGAAATCAGAGCAGAGAGCCCCCCCCACCCTGAACACAGAGGTAGGGTTCCAGATGTTACTCTGAGAAACCACTGGACCAGACGGAGCCTGCGTGAGTCTGATGGTCGGATTCACTGCGATGATAAGAGTTTCCTCTGTAACACCATTACTTCCTTTTATCTTCGCTCAGTTAGCGTGTGTGTAGTCATATAGGTATCGAGAGCACATCCGTATTAATATGAAAGAAATACTTCAGTACAACTACTTGCTTTTATTTCTTTCCTAGAGTTTCTCTGAAAAGAATTGTTTTTATTTTAGCTAATATACATGTAATACTACTTTTAATTCTAGTAGTACATTATAATAATATTATGAACCTTTAATACTTCTCTAAAGTTTACTGCCATGAATACTGATATTAATACTACAACTAATACTACCACTGACAACACCACTAATACTACGACAACTAATACTACCATTAATAGTACTACTAAAACTACCACTGCTACTACTTCTACCACTAATACCTCATTCTAGCTTTTCACTTCAGAGCTGAATTTTAAATATTAGGATTATAATCTTGAAGCAGATCAGACACACACACACACACACACACACACATTTCCTCTATGAACCACAGCTCAGTTTCACCGTGACCATCTGGTCCTCATCGGCGTTGCCGTGGGGATGTCAGAAGAAGGAAGCAATCATCATATGATGTTGGAGCTAAATTAATAAATTGTACTAATTCCTTTCATTTGTTAAATATGAGGACGTTGTTCTTAAAATGACAATACCCATGAGCCTCGGCTGCTACAGAGCACGACGTCACAGTCGCTGAATCTGTCCTCTGGAAAGGCACATGAATGTGAAGCAGCTCTGGGATTGGATGTTTCTCACGGAAATGCAACTTGGGAGTTTGTTAGAAATTCTCACTCTACATCAAATCATCAAACAGGGTATTTAATGTCTGCGTCATGCGTCAAGCTGCTCAAAGGTATCATAAACAAAGCCGTCATGTTCTTTACCCTGAGACATACAGCTGATCATCATGAGACACCGAGTGGCCTTCTGATCATGACATGACAGCAGCTTTTCCAACAGTACTTAAAAAAATAGTTTCTAACTTTATTTAGTTCAGATGAATCGAACAGAAGAGTTTATCCCCAAAATAACTTAGAGATACATTCATAATAATAACAACTTGCCTCTACAATAAAACCCTGTTTGCTCTCCACACTCAAAAAGTGTGCAGGACCTCCACAGTGACAGCCTGTGTGTACTCTATAGAGTAAAGGTCGGTGTGCCCTCCACAATAAAAGCGTTTGCAATGTGTGACCCCCACAGAGGCTCTAGCCATGTATAGCCCCCAGCTGTGTTACATCCTAGACGGCTTCCTCGGTCTCTACGGACTCATCATCACCGCCATGTTCATCAATGAAAAGGTCTGTGTGCTCCTCTTTTATTTTGAAAGGACCTCCTGCTGCACAGTTAACCTTTTTATTAATGATACTTTACCCAAATGGTCTAGTTCTTTAAAGCCAAAGTGAAGAGAGCCAAAGAGAGCTACAGCGTGAGTCAACCAACATGATATTATTATTATTTTTATAATCATTGCAGTGGCTATCATTGTTTGTTGTTGTTGTTGTTTACGTCTCTCTCCGTGTTGCCTTCAGGATCCTGAGCGTCATACTTCTGGAGCTCACAGTCAGCCCATGACAAAGAGGGTGAGTTCTGTTGTGGTTCCTCATATGACCCAGAGAGGAGAAGTTCTCCATTAAATCAGTTCACTAGAACCCTGAAGAACCTGATTCATTCTGACGTGTTCTGTCCCATAGAACCGAGTGATGGACAACAACGCCACCTACACCGTGAGAACAGAACCCGTTACTCATACATTAACATGAATATATACATTTATAGAAACATTAAGATATACATACATTATTACAGATACGTTTATATAAACTAGTGCTGGGCAACAATTTTAATCGTGATTAATTGCATAGGTTTTTTGCAATTATAGATTATTTATACAAGCTTTTTTAATTATGAAAACACTAAACAAATAATTTGCTTTTTAACAGCAGTGTCCTGAAATATTTTTGTAAATGACGACTTAAAAAAAATGTAATCAAATATAAAACCAAAGCTATTTTCCGCTGCCAGGGTATTAACGTTGTATCTAGTTTGTTATAGAAGAACGAGTTATATTATAACAGGAACTAGGATTAATAAATCTGTTTTCTTTTTTTGTACAATTATGTTCATAAAGCTCATTGATGTTTATAAGAAGCAGTACATGGAGGGCTTTAGGACCCTGGGGGGATTCAGGTGAGGGCAACAACTTGGGGAAGAACGACATCGCTGCTTACAAGAAAAGAGTTACAATTAAAAGCAGTTTGTCCTCATGTCTTGTATTTAAAACACAACACTAGTGGTTATCAATAACTTTGGTTCCATCAACTCTGTCTGGAAGAGATTTAAAATAAAAATGTCAGCGTGAGACGAGGACAGAGAGGGAGCAGACTCTCTCACTCCGTGTCTGTAAGTGTATTCAGAGCCATACGTCTTTCAAAATGATAATAATTAATAAAAACTGCGTTAATGTGCGATAAAAGTAATTGTCGGCGTTAATGAATTAAAGCGTTTAACGCAGTGGTTCTCAAACTTTTTCTGTCACGACCCACTTTGGAGGAAAAAAAGATGTTCATGCCCCACCACCCCAACAAACATATTGAATTTTTATTTTAAAAAGATTTTGTAACTCCTCTATCTAACCCTTTTCAAATAATGGAATTAAATAATTGTACTAATTTTCGAGCGAACCAGACCCATCAGACAAAACAAATTAAATGTGTTAGAACAATGCAAATAAGTTATGTGCAAAAAATAACTGCACTATTTTGCAGAATAGTTTAGTGTGGCTGTAATTAACTTGTTTTGCACTGGATGTGCAGCCTGTGCACAACAAAACAAAACGAGAGCAGATTTGAATGAGTCGTCTAATACTGATAAAACCCGGGTTATTGTGGTTAGTGGCGACAATCAGCCGGCTTCCTTTACAGATCTTTTCATGACAGGTTGCAGACTTGATGCGGCCTCTAAATTCAAGCTCCAGAGGGTCGCGCCCCACATTTTGAGAACCGCTGTGTTAATTTATACATAGAAGTACAGTCCATGTATATATATATACATACATTAATATCTGTCGTGATGACTTCATAATGATACTAATAAGTAATTATTTATTATTCTGAAATATTGTTCATAATAATACTTTTTTAAAATTAATTATTTTTCATAATATTATGATTAATAATACAGTATGATCATAATATGAACAGAAAAAATGATGTTAGCAATATATTATAATGACAATTATTAATTAAATCAATCATTGTAATAACATTATTAATTAAATCAATCATTGTAATAACATTATTAATAATTACTGTTAATATCAATCATAAAATAATACTCACAATACTACTTAATATTACATCATTAAGTACAATACATATTATTAATGTTATTAATTGAACTGTATATATGAATATGATTTATGATTATTTAAAGGATCTGAATCGTCGTCAAGAAGAATCATACAAAGAACTTCCTGTCAAAAGAGAAGTGAGTTTGTTTCTTTACTTATTGATCTGCATATTCATACTTCAATCACCGTCTGACCGATTATTCATTGATTAATAACTTTATTGATGTTTGTATCTCAGCGTCAGAGAAGGAGTGAGCAGGTTTACCAGGTGAGACAAGCTTCCGTTATTAATAATAAAGATATTAAAACTAAACATATGAATATTTCAGATAATAATACGTTAGTTATTAATATAGGTGCTGCTATCTGCTGTCACTTTGCCGATGTATTGATCGGTGCTATCTCCTGTGTCTCGATGTATTGATCGGTGCTATCTCCTGTGTCTCGATGTATCGATCGGTGCTATCTGCTGCGTATTGATTGATGTATTGATTGTCTGCAGGCTCTGAGCCCGGCCACCAGGGACACCTACGACTCTCTGCAGATGCAGCCTCTTCCTCGCTAACGCACTACTTGCTGTTGGCCTCTCACACACCAACGACGACGATGAAGAATCCATCTTTTTATTTAGTATTATTATGTCAATTTGTTAATTTTGAGGGACGTTTGCTTTAAAACAATCTTCTTCTGCAGAAAAACGATACAAATCTTAACTTTTATCCTCCCTTAATTTACCACAAAGATTATCCATTTTGATTATCCATATTGATTTCATTACAGCATGATGTAATCGATGTATGGATAACAAAAAAGAAACAAGGTCAAATGTTTCTTCAACCAGTTTATTTTCAATATAATAAAATAATTTCAGTTCAGCTTATTTTCTTGCAAAAATATTTTTATAGTTGTAATAATCACTAGTTTATTTCCTTTCTACATTCCATAATTTAGACAATTAATATCTGTTTTTATTTTGCTGTTTATTTGTTGTATTGATGCGTTTATACTTAAATACCATAACTAGTTAGTCTTATAGTTGTAAAAGTATTTTCTGATTAATTGACCATTTGTTTCATTGTTTCGATATTTTCCTGAGAATTTGTGTTTTTTATGAATATTTTGCTTTTGTGGTCATTTTCCTGTTAAAGGTGAGTTTAGCTCTGTCTAAAATGTCTTAATAAATCTCTATTAAAGCAGACATGCTGGAACGGTGTTTATTTATAGATATTCAGATAAATAGGAAATGAAGTAATTTCGTCGTTTGGTTTAATTTTGAAAATGACAGCGGAAGTCGTACGTTAGCTTCATAGCAGCTAACTTGCAGCTGGCTAGCTTAGCTTCGAGGCTAGCAGCAGCCCCGCAGGGTGTAACGATGGCAGCGGAACCGACGCATTACTACTGATGCTAAAGTGAACGAAGCCTGTGACTCTTCTAACGCGCAATTACTCATTGAAGAGCCGCGCTAGCTGCTAGCCCACTTGCTAACGGCTAACTAGCTCGGTTAGCTCCCGACAGCAGCAGCAGCCGCCGCTCATCGCTGCTCCCGTCAAACCCGCTAAAGCCGTTAAGATGGAAACAAACGTCCCGAAGCGACGCGACAACAAGAAGTCTCTGCGCGTGAAGGTGATCAGCCTCGGGAACGCGGAGGTGGGGAAGGTGGGCGCTTCTTCTCCAGCGCGCTATTTAAGCTTTAAGCTGCTTTAAGCTGCTTAAAGCTGTTCAACTGAATATTTTCTCTGAACGGCTCCGGATTCGGTTTGTTGATCTTGGTGTTAAACGTCGCGTGAGTTTATGATGCTGATCAATAGTTAATAACAACACCGGACTCCGTATACGTGTGTGTATATATATATATATACACACACGTATATATATATATATATACACACCCAGAGAGGAACCCAGAGCTATCAGCGAGAGGAATATCGAATAAAAAAATAAAATCGGTTTAATTCAGTAGAATTTGCCATTGATGGAAACCGTTTTTCTTACTAATAGTAATTAAGCTGTCTCCAGGTATGCATACGTTATTATTCGTCATCATTTATCAAAATGAACTAATAATGTACTGCGTTGTATTAGGAGTCAACCTAAATAATGCACTGATCTCAGTCAGAACCACTATTCTTAAATCGGTGTATTTGTGAATGGAGTCTGGTGTCTTTTCCTCAGAGCTGCATCATCAAACGTTATTGCGAGAAGAGGTTTGTCCCAAAGTATTTGGCCACAATCGGCATCGACTACGGCGTCACCAAGTGAGTAGCGCATGTTCGACGCGACCACGTCAACGGTGGCGTGTTCTTCTGTGACGGGGAAACCGTGTGTTGTGTTGTGACGTCAGAGTTCAGGTCCGAGACAGAGAAATCAAAGTGAACATCTTTGACATGGCGGGTCATCCCTTCTTCTACGAGGTGAGTCCCTCCTCCTTACTCAGAGTACCTCAGCTCAAACCTCCCTGTTGTATTTGTACATCAGGGAATACTTTAACGGGATGTGATGACAGGAGGCTGTTTCTCCTTCTTCTTTTCTCTCCCTTCTTCTCCAGGTGCGTAACGAGTTCTACAAGGACAGTCAGGGCGTCCTCCTGGTCTACGACGTGGGCCTCAGGGAGAGCTTCGACGCCCTGGACAGCTGGCTCGGGGAGATGAAACAGGAAATGGGCTCTCAGGCCAACATGGAGAGCATCGTCTTCATCGTGTGCGCCAACAAGGTGAGGGGGCCTCAGCCAATCGGAGGGCCCGGCCAATCAGAGGAGGACAAGAAGAGACCCTGTGTTGTGGTTTCAGGTGGACCTGACGAAGCGGCGCGCGGTGGACGAGGGGGAGGGGCGTCTCTGGGCGGAGTCACGAGGGTTCCATTACTTTGAGACGTCGGCTCAAAGCGGAGAGGGCATCAACGAGATGTTCCAGGTACCCTGAGCCTCCGCCTCTACGTGTGAGTACATAGATAAATACATATCTACATACGCGTGTGCTTCTTCTTTCTTCTCAGGCCTTCTTCTCCTCCATCACCGACATGTGTGAGAACGGAGGGAAGCGCCCGGTGTCGGAGGTCAGCGTGGGCTTCACCAAAGAGCAGGCCGACACCATCCGACGCATCCGCAACAGCAAAGACTCCTGGGACATGTTGGGGGTGAAGCCTGGAGCCACCAGGTCAGCACCATTATTTATATTATTATTCGTGATTATTACCATTTATTAGTAGTGTTATTGTAATTAGCCAGTAATATGATCTATATTACTAAGATAACCAAAGTGTTTTAATGCTCTTTAGCCATGAAAAACTATTTTTTTTCAAAAATATTTGAACACGTCCACTCAGGTGGACGTTTGGGTTTTCAGCTGAAGAAATATGTATTCAAAAAACAAATCAATAAAAGGGTCTATAAAGATGTGAAAACTCTGTAAAGCAGCTTTCATGATGACTGGCAGCACGCAGATGTACTCGCTTCTGTGTGTGTGCAGCATCACGGCATTTTTGGCTTCAGTGAGCCGCGTCCAGTGGTTTCCAGAACCAAACTGGACCTTAAGGAGACCTGGACGCTGCTCTGCACCTCTGAGGAGGTGAGGTGGCTCCTGGTCGTTGTGGAGCGCACAAGCTACAGATGCCTTGAAGTGCAGTGCTGGACTTTCCCAGTGGTCACGTCAAAGAAGTAGAAGAACACTGACGAGCATCTGTGAGGACATTGAGACGCATTGATCATGAGATCTTCTCCTCCCACATGCTGGTTATCACAGCTTCACAGAAAATGGCCTTTTGGTGTTGAGCATCTTCTTTTCTTTCTTGCTCCACCTCAGGGCCACATCGGGTGGGGACTGGCCGGTGCAGGAATCGGCCACGTGCTTCACCGAGCTGTGGAACCAGCGTGTGACAGTCATATGTTGATATTTTGTATTGCCGACAATAGAACGAGCTCCTCTTCCGTCCTTTGCAGTTTCCGTTGTGCTCCATGGAGCCTGCATGCACCTGTGCCATAGCTGCTTCTATGCCCAAAGGGTGGTGTATGTCGTCACAGGCGCATAACTACGTCAGTGATGCATGATGTCCGATACAGGGGTCAGATAATTAATCATAATTTCCTCCCAATATCAATTCAATAGTTGGAAAATGTGTGACTTATGGGATTCCTTCGATGTTAGTTAAGGTCACCAACATTTTTATAACTGTAAGGATCTCTTTGAGTAGAAGGACATGAGGACTCTGTGTCCGACAGAGGATTTACCGTTTACAAACACTAACTGGTATCGATCCGATAAGTGTGACTTCCTTTAATACCGATCAAATGTTCAGGATACAAAGAGCAATGGGCAATATATATGTGTGTGTATCTCATTTATACCGCTTCATTGGGCGATGTGGTGCATGGAGTAGGGAGGGTGCGCCGGGAACCTCGAGGTTGGCGGTTCAAACCCCGGCTCCTCCGTGTCCCATGTCCAACTGTCCCTGAGCAGTTAACTTAGGGGACAGTTAACCCCTAACTGCTCTCCAGGTAAATGTCAACCATGGGTTAAAAACGGCAGGTAAGTCTGTCCTGTCCTGACCTGTGATGGAACTGAACCGCCTCTCGTTGGTTCCTGTCTCCTCGTTTCCAGGGAGGAGGTGAACAAGGCGTACAGGAAGTTGGCCGTGCTGCTGCATCCTGATAAGTGCGTTGCCCCCGGCAGCGAAGACGCCTTCAAGGCCGTGGTGAACGCTCGCACGTCGTTGCTGAAGAACATCAAGTAACTGAATGCCATTGGACGCCAGCGGGCCAATCACAGGCCGCTTGTGGGAATTAAACGTCACGTTGCTGTTTTTCATCATGACGTTTAGTTCAAAGTATTTAATCTTGGCTTTGTGTCGGTGTAAGAAGTCTACGGAAGACAAGGAGCGCCACAGATACATCAAATATTTAAATGAATACAACAATTTGGGTTAACTCTCCTTGAATTCCAGAGCTTTAAAAAACGATCAAAACGATTTTTAAAAATTGAACTTTGTTCCGCACAATAAAAACAGAGATTAAAATCAGCGCGGTTAAATTAAAGTCAAAATACACTATTCAACTTTAATTTATAATAATAAATGGAAATTTAGGTCTAAAAAAGATGTGGATGTTGCTTCCGGTTACACATACAGTACGAACACACACTGCCCGTCGTAAACACCCCCCTGGTGTGGTGTCAGCCAAACAGATAAAAGTATCTTGGGCTGTCTGAACCAGGTCAGTGTTTTACTTTGATTCTGGAGGAATAGATGATCACTAAAAGATCCCTTTTCAAAGACGATTTGCCAAATAGACGTTTTTAAGTGCGACGTGAAGAAAACGCATGTTTGATATTAACAGTTATATTTTACATGAAATAAATTTGTTCCCTCAAATTCATAATGAAACAAATATAAAATATGTAATTTGCTTGTTTAAATTTAGATTTTCAGGTTTCTTTAAATAAGTTTACATTATTAACTCAAGGTGACATAAACTCTACCTTTAATATTTTAAACTGGTTTATTTTCTTTCTTTGGAATGTTTACATGTTGACGAGCCGTCTTACTGTGTCTGTGAGATTTAAATGTTATTAACTCGTTCATCATTTTATATTTTTACATGTGTAACAAATATAAAGGCAGAGTTCACTTTAACGTGTAATAACTTTTCCCATCTTTTAATATTTACACATATATTCACACAATGTATTTATTATAAAACGGCAAAACAAGCCCATTTTATTGAGTACCAGAAAAAATAATTTCAATAATAAACGTCAATTCTGGAGAAAAGTGTTTTGTTCATGACAATTCTTGACAACAAAAAATATTTTTTAATAATTTGAGCGAATACATTCAAATTATTATGTTGAATATTAAATCATCCCGTTTGACAAGTGGAAGAAAGAACTGTCTGAAAACAGCTTTAAAATGTTGTCCAATCAAACACTCGATTTAATTTGTCCCATCAGTGTCATAAACTCATTTGAATGAACGTGTGTGTGTGTGTGTGTGTGTGTGTGTGTGTGTGTGTGTGTGTGTGTGTGTTGCTTTGTGTTGAAATTGCACGTTTTACTGGATTATTTTTTAAATAAAAAAAATCATATTAAACTCAAACTTTGTGTGTGTTCCTCCCGCTGAAAAACATCCCCACATGATGCTGCCACCGCCATGCTTCACTGTAGGGACGGTATTGGCGAGATGATGAGCAGTGCCTGGTTTCCTCCAGACATGACGCTTGGCATTCAGGCCAAAGAGTTCAATCTTTGTTTCATCAGACCAGAGACTTGTTTCTCATGGTCTGAGTCCTTCAGGCGGGCTGTCATGTGCTTCTTACTGAGCAGTGGCTTCCGTCTGGCCTCTCTACCAAACAGGCCTGATGTGTGGAGTGCTGCAGAGATGGTTGTCCTTCTGGAAGGTTCTCCTCTCTTCATAGAACAACGCTGGAGGTCTGTCAGAGTGACCATCGGGTTCCTGGTCACCTCCCTGACTAAGGCCCTTCTCCCCCGATCGCTCAGTCTGGCTGGGCGGGCGACTCTAGGAAGAGTCCTGGTGGTTCCAAACTTCTTCCATTTGATGGAGGCCACTGTGCTCATTGGGACTTTCAATGCTGCAGAAATCTTTCTGTACCCTTCGCCAGATCTGAGCCTCGATACAGTTCTGTCTCTGAGGTCTACAGATAATTCCTTGGACTTCATGGCTTGGTTTATGCTCTGATATGTCAGCTGTGATGCCTTATAGAGACAGGTGTGTGCTTTTCTCAATCACATCCTATCAACTGAATTTAGCACAGCTGGACTCCAATCAAGTTGTAGAAACATCTCAAGGATGATCAGTGGAAACAGGAAGCACCTGAGCTACATGCTGAGTCATGGCAAAGGCTGTGAATACTTATGTACATGTGATGTTTTCACTTTGTCATTATGGGTTGTTGTGTGTAGAATGTTGAGGAACATAATGAATTTAATCCATTTTGGAATAAGGCTGTAACATAACAAAATGTGGAAAAAGTGAAGCGCTGTGAACACTTTCCGGATGCACTGTATATTTAACACTGAAACACTAGCGGATGTGGTTTCATTTTCATTATATACTTAAAGGCCACGGCCCCCTCCTCCTCCCCTCGCGGGTCCACCGCCCGCCGCGCGGCAAAGCGGATCACTACCAGCGGACCGCATAAGCATGAACACAGAGCTGAACGACACCGGCACCGAAGCACCGTGGCAGCCATCATCGGCGCCATCTTGGATGTGGATTTGGGCATACGTGCTTCTTTTCATCTTCCTGAAGTCCACAATGAGCTCCTTGGTTTTGCTGGTGATAATGAGCTGGTTATTGTCGGCGCGCCACCTGGCCAGGTGCTGTACCTCTGCCCTGTAGTCTCATCGTTGTTACTGATGAGACCAATCACCGTGGTGTCGTCTGCAAACTTGATGGAGTTGGATCCACACACAGGCTTGCAGTCATGGGTGAAGAAGGAGTAGAGGAATAGGCTCAACACACAGCCCTGTGGCACACCGGTGTTGAGTGTGGCAGTGGTGGAGCAGATGTTGCCTGAGCTTACATACTATGGTCTGGCTCAAGGGCCATGACAAACGAGGGAACGAGGCAAAAGTAATTTATTTTACAAAGGAATCAACTAAAGATATATTTTGTAACGGAACACTTAAATAAATCAAGCAGGGTAATCAGGCCATGGTTGACCTCAGCATTGCGGTGAAGAGCCAGCGGTGTAGTCCGGTGGGTCAGGTGGGCTTTAGCACCCTTGGCTCACCACTCCCAGGTGACCCAGATCTGCCATCAACTAAGGACAAAGATGTTACTACCCGAGAGAGGTATCACTCCCACAGAGTGGCCTGAATGAACCACACAGACGCCGTCACAGTCCATAATCCATAAGGCAGGTGTTGTTGCCCAGGTCTCCAGGTTTAGTGATTAGCTTGGAGGGGATGTTGATATTAAATGCAGAGCTGAAGTCCGCGAATAGCAGTCGTGCATAACTATTGTTATTTTCCAGATGTGTGAGCACAGAGTGCAGTACTATGGAGACTGCATTGTCTATGCTCCTATTGCTACGGTAGACAAACTGGTGTGGGTCCGGTGTGGGTGGAAGCATAGCGGTCAGTGTGAATTTATGAGCCACAGGTGGCTTGAGAGGCAAACGTACACCAGTCCGTGTGTTGAAACATTTCCCGGAGTGTACCCGCTGGCAAAACCTTGATGGTCCTCACAGCTGGTCTGACCCGGTTGATGAGTGGTGAATATTTGGGTTTGAGGAACACAGGAAAGATGTCCCACCTGTCCAGGGTGGGGGGGGGGGGGGAGTTTTGTTTCCTCTGGTATGGCAGAAGACATCCTGGTGGAATTTAGGGAGCACTGTCTTTAGGTTTGAGTGATTGAAATCACCCGCAACAGATAAAAGCCACCTCCGATTCTTTCATTACATTCACATCCTGTGTGATATAGACAGCTGTTATGTTACTACTGGTACTGTTACTACTACTATTGTCACCCCGCATTACTGTGTCCACTGAGTATGATGTATATACAGAGTATTGCTACTACTACTGACTAGTACTCTTAATACTCAGTACTGTTACTGCTGAGTAGTACTAATACAAGTGCTGTTACTGCAGATGAAAATGGCGTCGTACTGTTTTCTCCGTCTGCTCAAACACTTCTCGCGCTTCTTCGTGGTCACAGATCTCCTCCACACATTCTCTCTCCAGGTTCCCTGATAATAATACACATAATAATACACATCCATGCTAACAACAACAACAATAATGATACACATTCATATTACCGACAACAACAACAATAGGAATAAAGGTGATAGACAGTCATCTCATCTTCAACCGCTTATCCAGCGTCCGGTCGAGAGACATTCACAATAATAGGAATAATGCACATTCATACTAATAACCACAATAGTAATAATATTGGTCATATTAATAATAATACAGGTTAATTGTGATAAAAGCAGCATACATTCATACTGTTAACAACAACACGTATACGTATTCTGCAACAGGATACAATGCTCAATGGTTAATATATGTGTGTACATGTGTGTGTATCTCATGTACACATTTAATTGGGCGATGTGGTGCATGGAGCCAGGCACCGCAGGGTTGACTGCTCCGTGTCCCGTGTCCTAGTGTCCCTGAGCTGGACACCTAACCCCTAACGGCAAACGTAAACCATGGGTGAACAATGCAATGTAAGTCGCTTTGGATAAAAGCGTCAGCTGAATATCGTGGAATGGAATGGAATTGGACCGCCTCTCGTTGGTTCCTGTCTCCTCGTTTCCAGGGAGGAGGTGAAGAGGAAGGAAGTTGGCTCACAGGCGTACAGTACAGGAAGTGGCGGTGCTGCTGCATCCTAAGTGCAGCGAGGACCACAACGGCGACCATATCAGCACGTCACTGCTGAAGAAGTGGGGGTCGACCGTGGCGCATTGAGTAGAGAGGGTGCTCCTAACCCTAACCGCCAGGAACTGCAAGGTTGGTGGTTCAAGTTCCGGCTGCTCCATGTTCCATGTCGAAGTGTCCTTGAGCAAGACACCTAACCCCTAATTGCTCCCTGGGCAAAAATGTAAATGCCATGGGTTAAAAATGTAATGTATGTCGCTTTGGATAAAAGCGTCAGCTAAATGACTTGTAATGTAATGTAAAGAACATCAAGTTACTGTGAATGGCATTGGATGCCAACGGGCCAATCACAGGCAGCCGTTTGAGCGGAAGCTGTCGCGTGGCCGCTTGTGGGAGTTTAGTTCAGTATTTAATCTTCGATTTGTGTCAGTCTAAGAAGTCGACGGAAGACAAAGACCGTCACAAATACATCAAATATTTAAACGAATACAACAATTTGGATTTACTGAAATGAATTTAATTCATCCTTGAATTCGAGTGCTTTGGAAAAAGATCAAATAGTTTTTTAAAAGTTGAACTTTGTTCCACACAATCGAAATCAGCAACTTTAGTTTTGAAATAAATCTGTGTCTGTTGCTTACTGTTGATGACATCATCAGAGCGAAAGTCAAAGGTCTTAGATACATTTTATTGGAGACGTAGAGTTTCAGCTGTTTAGAAAATACAAACCATAACATAGATTAAACATACACTACGTACACACACCGTTCGTCGTAAAAACACACCCCTAGTGTAAGCCAAAAAGATAAAAGATCAAATAAAATACATAAAAAATCCATATGTAACTAAGTAAATGAAAACATTTCGGGCTTTAATGGACAGGAGGACGAAGGAGTAGTTAAAGCGGTTGAGTCGGCACTGGAGGACTCTGAGGGAAGGAGCTGGTATCCAGGGTGGAGGACATGGTGGGGTCTGAGATAATCTGCTGGGCTGTCTGAACCAGGTCAGTGTCTTACTTTTATTCCGGAGGAATAGATGATCACTAAAAGATCCCTTTTCAAAGATAATTTGCCAAATAGAACGTGTGACGTGAAGAAAACGCATGTTTGATATTAACAGTTATATTTTACATTATGATGAAATACATTTGTTCTCTCAAATTTAAAATAAAACAAATATAAAGTATGTAATTTGTTTAAATTGAGGTTTTCAAGTTTCTTTAAATAAGTTTAAATTATTAACCCACAGTTACAATGTAAACTCTACCTAACATTTAATATTTTAAACTTGTTTACATGTTGACGAGACATCTTTTACTGTGTCTCCATCCATCCATCCATCTTCAACCGCTTATCCGGGGTCGGGTCTCGGGGGCAGCAGCTCCAGCAGGGGACCCCAAACTTCCCTTTCCCACATCTACCAGCTCTGACTGGGGGATCCAAGGCGTCCCCAGGCCAGTGCAGAGATATAATCTCTCCACCTAGTCCTGGGTCTTCCCCGGGGCCTCTTCCCAGCTGGCCGTGCCTGGAACACCTCCCTAGGGAGGCTCCCAGGGGGCATCCTCACCAGATGCCCAAACCACCTCAACTGGCTCCTTTCGACGCAAAGGAGCAGCGGCTCTACTCCGAGCTCCTCGCGAACGGCTGAGCTTCTCCCCCGATCCCTAAGGGAGACGCCAGCCACTCTCCTGAGGAAACCCATTTCGGCCGCTTGTACCCGTGACCTAGTTCTTTCGGTCATCACCCATCCTTCATGACCATAGGTGAGGGTAGGAACAAAGATTGACCGGTAGATCGAGAGCTTTGCCTTCCGGCTCAGCTCTCTTTTCGTCACAACGGTGCGGTAAAGCGAGTGCAATACCGCCCCCGCTGCTCCGATTCTCCGGCGGAACTCACACTCCATCTTTCCCTCACTCGTGAACAAGACCCCGAGGTACTTGAACTCCTTCACTTGGGGTAAGGACACATTCCCTACCTGGAGTAGGCAATCCATCGGTTTCCTGCTGAGAACCATGGCCTCAGATTTAGAGGTGCTAATCCTCATCCCGACCGCTTCACACTCGACTGTGAAACGCTCCAGTGAGAGTTGGAGGTCACAGACGGAAGATGCCATCAGGACCACATCATCTGCAAAAAGCAGCGATGAGATCTGCAGCCCCCCTAACTGTAGACCCTCCTCCCCGCGACTACGCCACGATATCCTGTCCATGAAAACCACAAACAAGATTGGTGACAAGGCGCAGCCCAGGCGCAGCCCAACCCCCACCGGAAACGCCTTCGACTTACTGCCGAGCACCCGAACACAGCTCTCGCTTTGGGCTTACAAGGATGGGATGGCCCCAAGCAAGGACCCCCTCACACTGTACTCCCACAGCACCTCCCACAGTATCTCTCGGGGGACCCGGTCATACGCCTTCTCCAAGTCCACAAAACACATGTAGACTGGATGAGCATACTCCCAAGCCCCCTCTATGCCTCCTTCGCCTCCAGCTCCGCCTCTACCAAAGAGGGCGTAGTAGTTGGATTCAGGAGTTCCTCAAAGTGTTCCTTCCACCGCCCGATAACCTCCTCAGTAGCGGTCAACAGGATCCCATCCTTACTGTACACAGCTTGGACGGTTCCCTGTTTCCCCCTCCTGAGGTGCCGGATGGTCTTCCAGAAGAACTTTGGTGCCGCCTGAAAGTCCTTCTCCATAGTCACCCCAAACCCCTCCCATACTCGCTGCTTTGCCTCCATCACGGCAGAGGCTGCTGCCCTTCGAGCCTGTCGGTACACTGCAACTGCCTCCGGAGTCCCACCGGATATCATAACCCAGAAGGCCTCCTTCTTCAGTCGGACGGCTTCCCTGACCACCGGTGTCCACCACGGGGTTCGAGGGTTACCGCCCCTTGATGCACCTAAGACCTTGAGGCCACAACTCACTGCCGCGGCTTCAGCAATGGAGGTTTTGAACATACACCACTCTGATTCAATGTCCTCTACCTCCACAGGAATGTGAAAGAAGCTCCGCCGGAGGTGTGAGTTGAAAATCTTTTGGACCGGGGCCTCCTCCAGACGTTCCCAGTTTACCCTCACTACACGCTTGGGACCTCGTGCAGACAGACTCTAGTTTGCCTGAACCCGGGTTCATTTTTCACACCTACCCACTTTTTAAATTGCGTGCACATGAACCCAGTGAATCCGATTGACTCCGCTGTAGTGCATCCCCACGCCTGTTGGTGGCGCTTTAAGGTGCTACAGACAACTGAAGAAAACGGAAGAAGACAGGAGCATGCGTATAAGACATGCGCGCCGTATACAAACAAAAAATACTGACGATATTCCCGTAGTACGCATTGTAGACTTGTTAGCACATTCAGGAGGCACATTATCCTTGCGTTCGCCATTGCTGTCGTTGTTATGAAGTGACGCATTGGGGTTAATAAGGGTTCAGCGTGAGGTTGCATGCAATCACGTGATGCAATCACGTGGGGCAATCCGATTAGGTATGCGGATAGCGTGCAGACGAACACGAACAGCAATCGGATTTCAAGTTTACTCACTTTGGACCCCGGATTCGAGGGAGTGCGGATACAGTGTGCGGATACAGTGTGTTCGTCTGCACGATAGGGCTATCCGGAGACAGGGTTCACCGGGTTCAGGCAAACTAGAGTCCGTCTGCACAGGGTCTGGGTTTACCGGGTCTGTCCCGAGTCTTCCCCCATCCTCTGACCCAGCTCACAACCAGATGGTGACCAGTTGACAGCTCTGCCCCTCTTTTTACCCGAGTGTCCAGAACATGCGGCCTCAGATCAGACGATTACAAAATCGATCATTGATCTTTGGCCTCGGGTGCTCTGATACCACGTACACTTATGAACATCCTTATGTTCGAACATGGTGTTTGTTATGGACAATCCGTGACTGGCACAGAAGTCCAGTAACAAATCCCCGCGCCGGTTCAGATCAGAGAGGCCGTTCCTCCCAATCACGCCTCTCCAGTTATCTCCATCGTGGCCCACGTGCGCATTAAAGTCTCCCAGTAGGACTATGGCGTCCCCTACTGGAGCCCCATGCAGGACTCATTCAGGGTCTCCAAAAAGGCCGAATACTCTGAGCTGCTGTTTGGTGCATATGCACAGACCACCCCCCCCCACCACCACCCGAAGGCCACTCAGCCGGGGACTTATGAGTATCCCCACACCTGCCTGGCGCCTCACACCATGGGCCACTCCGGAGTAGAATAGAGTCCATCCCCTATCCAGGAGTGTGGTTCCAGAGCCGAGGCTGTGCGTAGAGGTAAGCCCCACCAGATCCAACTGGTAACGCTCCACCTCCCGCACAAGCTCCGGCTCCTTCCCCCCCAGAGAGGTGACGGTCCACGTCCCCAGAGCCAGCATCTGCCGCCCAGGTCTGTTCCGTCTAGACCCCCCACTGTCACTGCCACCCTTGTAGCAGCGCATCCGACCCCATTGGTTTCCCCCACAGGTGGTGAGCCCATGGGGAGTAGAGTGTTGGGGTGCCGCGTCACTTTTTTGGGCTGTGCCCGGCCGGGCTCCGTGGTAAACCGGGCCACCAGACGCTCGCTGTCGGGCCCTCCATCTGGGCCTGGCTCCAAATGGGGGAACTTTTTCCCCTCTCTGGGAACTTATACTGTGTCTGTGAGATTCAAATGTTATTAACTCGGTCATAGTTTTATATTTTTATATGTGGAATAAATATAAAGGCACAGTAACGTGTTTTATGATTCTTCACACGTAGATCATTAATAACTTTCTTTATTACATATCTTTATTAATGTTTACACATCAGAAAGTTAATATTCACACAATGAGTATTGTATTACATAAGCATTACATTGTATTGTATGTATTATATTGGTAGTAGGGTAGTATTTAAAAAAAAATGTCAATAATAAATGTCAATACTGGAGAATTGATTTTGTCTATGAAACGCGTTATGTTGAAATTGCACGTTTTACTAAATAAAAAAAGACGTCTTTATATGTCTTTGTGAAGACACATGTCTGTTATTAATTTAAGTATCTCGACATTAGTATATATTTATGTTCTTTATGTATACATTAATGTCTATATGTATTATACATGTTTGTTATTTATATCTTTATACATTGAGACATTCACTGATGTGTTTGGTATATTTATGTTGTATTATTATTTGTGTGTTTATACTTTTATTCTCATTATACTTCATGAATGTTCACACATGGAGACACGTGAATCCCTCCTGACGGTGACCTCTGAGTGTGAATAATCAGCTGATCTTCTGGGGTCAAAGGTCCCCCCCCCCCCCCCCCCTCCTCCCCCCCCCTCCTCCCCTCGCGGGTCCACCCACCGCCGCGCGGCGGAGCGGATCACTACCGGGCGAACGCGTAAGCACGAGCACGGCGATGAACGACACCGGCACCGACACCGCGGCGCGCTCCGGGTCCCGCTCCAGGTCCCGCTCCGGGTCCGGGTCCCGCTCCGGGTCCCGCTCCGGGTCCGGGTCCCGCTCTGGGTCCCGCTGCGACCAGCTGGTCTTCTTCGTTAACGGAAAGAAGGTAGAAACAAACGGACGCTGTGTTCATTTAGTTACTAATACACTTAAAAAAGAGAAAATAACTATGACCATAACACACACACACACACACACACACACACACACACACACACACACACACACACATATAAAAGAAGTCTTCAGGCAGGGACGCGGACGTCTGACGTACAGTCGTCCGCTTTTAACGGAGTCTAAATGACCTTCGCTGTATCTGAATCCGGGATCAATCGAACTTATTGGGAGATGAAATGTGTTGAGTGATATTTTGAGGAGGATCGAACGTGAACTCAGATATTCGCACCTTCGTGGTTCGGCAGTGACGTTTTGTCAGAGCGAATAGCGACAAATGCAGCGACTTTATCCGCTTTATTGGACACTTTTGCGGCGTCTGACGTGAAAACACGCGTCGCTCTGTGCTCAGCGGGTCCCGCGGGAACTGGTCCAGGAAAGAGAGAACTCTTCAATGGTCGCTCGTCTCCGGGGGACGGGTTCGATCTCGGACTCGGAAGTGGCGATTTAGACTCCGCTAAAAGCGGACGACTGTAGGTCCGACGCCCCCGACCCCCCAGCGTGCTATGAGGGCGGAGTGAGTCCGTAGAACTGGTCCAGTTCGGTAAAGTTGGCAAGATATTCACAGATTCAGATCAGCGAGACGTTATGAAACAGAACCACACCTCTGCGAACCGTGTCGTCAACAAGCAGCCAGGAGGCTGCGCATGCGCACAGAGGCATCGCTTCCACTTTCATTTTGTTTCTAATAACTTAAACCAGATATATTTTCAACATTTCATTCAAAAGGATCAAATGTTGCGTTCGGTTTACCGTCGAGGTTTTGACCTCCAGTTATGAATTTATAAATATATTTGATTTCAGGTGTTTAACTTTGATTATTTTCTGCAGATTGTGGAGAGGAACGCGGACCCTGAGACCACACTGCTGACGTATCTGAGGAGGACGCGTAGGGACACACACACACACACACACACACACTATCTGACAGTGTGTGTGTGTAATAAAGCAATAATGTACGAGAGGCTGTACTTTATCGTCCAATAAAGTAAGAGTTGGGGGGTGTTGTTGGGCCCGAGGCAGAGTACAGCCTCTTGTACCTTATTGCTTTTATAATACGGTTACCAGCGTTATAAGTTAGAATTAGTAAGGAAATAGCTTCCTTTCAGCACAAAATAGTATTAGCCACCAAACGTGCATGTAAACAGGACCATCTCATTCATTCACTCCGCTCATGACGTCCACCTTAGTTGTCCGGTTGCGAAAGCTTGCATTGCCCCAAACCGATCATTTGTGGGATTTCCGTGTTTTTTTTGGCAATCGCCAACGAGTTAAAAGCTAAAATGTCAACTAATGGTCGCGCAAAAAATCTAACCTGCTACTTTGAGTGTGCAGTGAACAGGTGCTGTAAATAATGTACCCCTCGTGGCTCACTCTCAACCAATCAGAACGCTGGATTTCATCCACCCATATTATAATAGACGGTAAAGCAGGCTATGGTTTAGGGGCGGGGCTTAATGTGATTGTCATGTGTCCACCAGGGACCAAGCTATGAATAAATGCTCCTGTACTTCTCGTTCTGGTCCCATCAGGTTTCCTGTTTCACAACTTCACAAAAGATTCACTTCTTGATTTTTCCGTCTGTCCATTCAGCAAAACGCAAGTCAGATTGAGATTGTTCTTCACTGACAAAACAAAATAATAGCTTGAGTCAACCTTGGACATAAAAAAAACCCCCAGAAAAGTCCTCAAGGTCCCCTGGGTCTCCTTAAGGACCCCTTCAGTCTCACCCAATGTGCTCCGAGTATCCTCAGGGACCCCCAAGTCTCTTCAAGGTCCTCTGAGTCTCCTCAATGACCTTGGAGAGAAAGTTCAAGGGATCTAAACCTGTTGTGTTTAACCCTCTTCAAGGACCCCGGGAACCAGTTTTTCACATGAGCCTCTAAAATAATCTATGGTTACATTACATCACATGTCATTTAGCTGACGCTTTTATCCAAAGCGACTTACAATAAGTACATTTAACCATAAGGATACAGAGTCAGAAGAACAACAAACAAGTGCAATTTCCTAAAATAAGCCATTTTACAACTTGCTGTAGATAAGAACCGTTATAAGTCCAATGTAAGTGCTACAGTTAGTTAGTGTGTTAGTGGAGGTAGAGTCTGAAGAGGTGTGTCTTTAGTCTGAAGATGTAAAGACTCTCTGTGGTCCTGATGTCTTCACAGACCTCCTTCCACCATTTAGGAGCAGGACAGCAAAGAGTGGAGATCTAGTCGAGTGTTTTGCTCTCAGTGAGGAGGAACAAGCAGTTTATCACATGCAGAGCGGAGAGTGCGGGTCAGGATGTCAGGTTGGACCAGGTCTTACATCCAGGACCTGGTCCAACCTGGACCCCATCCATTCACAGCATGGTATGTGAGCACCAGTGTTTAGAACTGGATGAGCCACCGGTACCAGTGGTTCTTTAACAGAAACCCTCAGAACCTTTTCAAGGCTCATTTGAGACCAAAATTCTGGATCGTCTTTAACAAACCTTCCAAGGACCTTGTGGCTTCAGATACCCACTTGTTCTGGTCCCATCAGGTTTCCTGTTTCACAACTTCACAAGTTTATTGACTTATTCATTAAACCTCAAAACCCACACAAGGACCCTTTAGAACCTTGTGTCCTTAAGGAGAAACCAATGGTCCTAGAGTAAGCTCAGACCAGTTAAGTCTTCTGATAGAGTTACCGGGTGTTCCAGTAGAGATGGTAATGAAGTCCACAAGTAAGATGAGGACCTATTATCTCCCACTATCACATATTCATTGTTTCATGGTCTCATGGTATTGAGGCTTTGAGATATTGATGTCTCTGAGGTTTTTTCAGGTCTTTGAGATCTATAATGGCGCGTTTCCACCGAGCGGTACGGTACGGGTCGGGGCGGTACCCTTTTATTTGTGTCTCCATTGCCAAAACCGTACCGTACCACTTTTTGGGTACCCTTCCGTTGGGGTACCTGGCACAGTTTCTGGAATATACCACGCCTATCAAGTAAGGGTACTGTAAGCGGTGGAAACGCTCGCCAAATCATGGTTAACAGACCCGACCCGTACCGACCCGACCCATAGCGTACCATACCGCTCGGTGGAAACGCGCAATAAGTCTCACATTCTCTGAGGTGTTATGGACTCCGAGGTCCCCAAGGTATTGAGGTATCAGGTCTGTGTGATAATGAGGTTTCTGTGATCTTGGTGGTCTTGCGGTTTCTTGAGATATCTGAGGTCTTAAGTCTCAAGGCCCTCAAGGTCTCTGAGGTCCTAAGGTCTGGAAGTCTCTGAGGTCCTGAGGTACTTAGGTTTCAGGGTCTCTGTGGTCCTGAGGTCTGGACGTCCCTGAGGTCCGGAGGTCTTATCACTGACCTGTGTCTGTCCTTAGTGGGTCTGACAGGAACCAAGCTGGGCTGTGCTGAAGGTGGATGTGGCGCCTGCACCGTCATGCTGTCACGACCCCAACCGCACACGGAGCGGGTGCTGTATCCTTGAATCCTGTGTGTGTGTGTGTGTGTGTGTGTGTGTCAATCATGTGCTCCCATCTGACACTTTCATCCTGACTCATTATTTCACCCTGAAGATTACGGGTCTCTTAACTTGTCTGCAGACATTACGCCGTCAACGCCTGCCTCGCCCCGCTCTGCTCGCTGCACCTGGTTGCCGTGACAACGGTGGAGGGCATTGGCAGTGTGGCGAGGAAGCTTCATCCCGTGCAGGTAGGACAAAAAAGAGAAGATAACGATTCCCAAGTGGTCCCCTAGAGACGATGAAGACTCACAAATGTTCTTCTAGAGAACAAAGAGGATAACACATATTGTCCCAGAAGAGATAACAACTCATGTTGAAACATGTGTGGTGTTTGTGTAGAGACGTATGTATATATATACATATATATGTATACACGTCTCTACACATATATATATATACACATGAACATGTTTGATGACGTCATCATCATCTACCTGTGGATCAGGAGCGGATAGCCAGAGCTCATGGATCTCAGTGTGGATTCTGCACTCCGGGCTTCGTCATGTCCATGTATGCTCTGCTGAGGAACAACCCCACGCCCAAGATGGCTGACCTGGAGGAGGCCTTCCAAGGTAAACAACAGACAAATAACCACAAACAAGCATAAATAGTAACACAAACGTATCTTATTTTGTCAGGAAATCTGTGTCGTTGCACCGGATACAGGCCGATCCTCGAGGGGTATAAGAGCCTCACCGTGGTGAGACACACACAATGTGCACTTACTCATACAGGCAATAATACATACATTCTAATTCTGCATCTGGTTACTTGTGTTTTTCCTCTCAGGACGGGGGGTGCTGTGGTGGAAGGGGGCGGGACAACGCCTGCTGTCTGGCCAATGGGAGCGCAGCTGAGACGAGCTCACAGGAAGTCGCTGATGTAAGTTAAGTAAATTATATCCACTGATTTCAGTTCAGCACATGTGATTTTTTCCGCGTGTTGGTGTTCAGGAGTCATCGTGTCTGTTCCGCGCTGCCGACTTTGCGCCGTTTGACCCCACGCAGGAAGTCATCTTCCCTCCTGAGCTCATGGTAAACAACACACAAAGAGAACAGAGGCAGGTGATCCGGACACTACAGGAAGTCACACGTCTTTGTCTCCTGTCTAGTCCCTCATCAAAGATCAAAGGTCGGCCTCGCTGTGTTTCAAAGGTGACCGGGCCACCTGGCTGCAGCCGTGCAGCCTGGACGAATTGGTGCTTCTGAAATGGAAACACCCCGACGCCAAGGTGGTGGTGGGGAACACCGAAGTGGGTCAGTCTGTCACTCATTCAGTCATTTGTTCATCCAGCCAGTGTCACTCGTTGATTCATTCAGTCCATCACTCGTTCATTCATTCACTTCCCGTTTGCGTCTCCAGGTATCGAGGTGAAGTTTAAGAACATGGTGCACCCGATCATCTTGGCTCCAGCCTTTATCCCTGAACTGAACGAAGTGAGACACACTGAGAATGGTGAGGACGGATGCTAATGATGCTAATGCTGATAATTAGTGCAACAGATGCTAATGTAACTACCTGACTGTTTCTCAAAAGAGAGAAAAGAAGAAGTAGGCATAAAGACTTGGGAAATAAAAAACTGAAGACATTAGGATTAGAATGAAGACTAAAGATTAAAGGCTAAAGAACGAAGAATAAATACTTGAGAATTAAGAATACCGTAATGAAGACATAAGAATTCAAACTAAAGAATAGAATAGAAAAGACCCAACTCTGGTCCCCTTGCTGGGTTTGTGCTGGATTTTCTCCATTGTTGTCAATTGACACGCTAACAAATGTAATAATGTCAGTTTGTTTACTTATGATCAACGGATGAAAAGTCTTACAAAGCCATACATTTATGATTTATCTGTTGGGTAATACGATCGCAGAGTTCCATGCTGATAAGAAAGGAAATGTCAGACTAAGATGGACTTTGACATCATGGCAGTGCCAAAGTCATGAGGGTTCAACCTCTGGAAACTCTCCAGGATGTTAGTCAGAATGTCTGATTTCAGGCTCTGCAGTCATATGAAACTCTTTAAAAAGTAAGGTTGCATTCTTTTCCCTGTTGCTCAGGCGTGTTGTTTGGTGCAGCGTGCACGCTCAGCCACATGGGGGCGGTGCTGAGAGAGGAAGTGCAGACTCGTCCGGCTCATCAGACCGAGGTCTTCCTCGCCGTCCTGGAGCAGCTGCGCTGGTTTGCTGGACTGCAGATCCGCAACGTTGCAGTGAGTCTCTAATCACCTGCCTGGGTAGTTCAGACTGTGGAAAGTTCAAGGGCACTGGGAGAGTAAAAAATGTGGATACTTTAGATACACTGGGAGAGTAGAAACTTTGTATAGTTCAGGGACACTGGGAGAGTAGAGACTTTGTATAGTTCAGGGACACTGGGAGAGTAGAGAATGTGGATAATTTAGGGAAAACTACACAAGTAGTTTGGGGGTTGTACGAAAGTGGATTTTTCCCAAGTCTGACTGGTGGATTTCAGGCGGTCGGAGGAAACATCATGACGGCTTCTCCCATCTCAGACCTCAACCCCGTGTTCATGGCAACGGGATGCAGAGTGACGCTGCTGGATAAAGGTCGCACACACCCACACACAAACACACACTGTCTACTTGCTGCATGTTTTGATTGTGACCTTTGACCCCAGACGGCCGCCGCGTGATCCCAATGGACAATGCCTTCTTCACCGGCTACAGGAAGACAGCAGTGCGGCCTCAGGAGATCCTGGTTTCCATAGAGATCCCCTACAGCAAGAAGGTAGATGCGGCGTGGACTTGTTGCCTGGAAACCGCGGAGTCGACCACACTGATTTCCTGTTTGTTTTTTGTTCAGTATCAGTTCGTCTCCGCCTTCAAGCAATCCCCTCGGCGTGAGGATGACATCAGCATTGTCACGGCAGCAATGAGCGTTACCTTTGGCCACGGTGGCGTGGTGGAGGACCTGAAGCTGAGCTATGGTGGCATGGCGCCAACCACGGTGATGGCTAGCAGGACGGCGGAGAGGCTCCTAGGAAGGTGACGGCCACGAGAAGAAGTCGCAAGATGGATGTTAGTATTTATGCGTGTTAAACTCTCTGATGCCATCAGGCGGTGGGGAGAGGAGCTTCTACAGGACGCCTGTCACTCATTGGCCAAAGAGATGACCCTCGATCCCTCGGCGCCCGGCGGCATGGTGACCTACCGCCGTACTTTGACACTCAGCCTCTTCTACAAGTTCTATCTAACGGTGCTGCAGAAGCTAGGAGATCAGGTATGGTTCAGTCTTCCTTCAAAGAACCTGGTCCTGACACTCTATGACACCACTTCCTGTGTTGATCTCCTCAGGGTGTGAGCGTGGAGGCAGTCCCGCCCGACTGTTTGAGCGCCGCAGATCTTCACCACTCGGAGACCCCGTCCGGAGTCCAGGTGTTCCAGGTACAAGCAGGCCTGTCTGTGGGGTCAAAGAGCCGGTTCTAGTGTCCAGATGTGTGACCTCAGGTGTCTCCTACAGGCCATGCCGGAGGGGCAGGGCCAGAATGACATGGTGGGGCGTCCTATGATGCACCTATCAGCGTGAAGCACGCAACGGGCGAAGCGGTGTATTGCGATGACCTGCCGCTGTACGAGAACGAGCTGTACCTGGCTCTGGTCACCAGCAGCAAGGCCCACGCCAACATCCTGTGAGACTTACACCTGGACCACACACACCTGAATTACACACACCTGAACCACACACACCTGAACTCCACACACCTGGACTGCACACACCTGAACAACAGAAACCTGAACCACACAAACTCACATATGAACCACACACACCTGAACCAGACACACTCACTTAATCGACACACACTCACTCACCTGTCCGGTTTGACCCGGGTGTATGTGTCTGTCACAGCTCCATAGACTCCTCCCTCGCAGAGACTTTACCAGGTGTGGTCTCTTGTGTGTTTGCTGCGGACATCCCCGGCAGCAACGCCACCGGACCTATTTTTTACGACGAAACCGTCCTCGCCGACCGCCAGGTGTGTCTTCGTCTGTAACCAATCACAGGGCTTTCTCAGGTAGCTGACGTGCTCCTTCCCTCTGCAGGTGACCTGCGTGGGTCACATCATTGGCGCCGTGGTGGCCGACACTCAGCTCCACGCCCAAAGGGCCGCCAAAGCCGTGAGGGTCCAGTATGAGGAGCTTCAGCCGGTGGTCACCATCCAGGTGAAACAGGAAACACCTGGGGACTTTTAGAGTAAAACTTAATCTAGGCTCACAAGCCCCCCAAAAAAAGTAAAAAAAAAGCTTCTTGTTGGTTTTCTTGACAGGAGGCTATTTCTGCCCAGTCCTTCTATCAGCCAATCAGAACCCTCCAGAGAGGCGACCTGGAGGCAGGGTTTAAACAGGCCGATCATGTCTTGGAGGGTAAGACTGTCTGTGTGTGACTTGATGCTTAATTCCAGCTGATCAGGTCATGATTACCGATTGATTATCTGACAGGTGAGATGCATATAGGAGGTCAGGAACATTTCTACCTGGAGACAAACGTAACTCTTGCAGTTCCTCGAGGAGAAGATGGAGAGATGGAGCTCTTTGTTTCTACTCAGGCTGCTGCTAAAACACAGGTAACAATACTTTGAGACACGCGTAACATTACTCTGAACACAGATAACAATACTCTAAACATAGGTAACAATACTCTGAACATAGATAAGCGTACTCTAAAACCCAGGTAACTGCAATGTGACCCCCAAACCACTAGGTGGAGGCACCTGTGGTTGCATTTCTGGAGAGAAATATTTAGTTCAATTCATTTTATTTTGTATAGCCCAAAATCGCAAATTAGAAATTTGCCTCAGAGGGCTTTACAGTCCGTACACATGCGACATCCTCTGTCACGAAATCCACCATCGGCACAGAAAAAACTCCCCAAAAAATGAAAAAACCCTTCCAAGAGGGAAAAAAGGGAAGAAACCTTTGGGAGAACGTCAGAGGAGGGATCCCACTCCCGGGATGGACAGACTACAATGGATGCCATGTGTACAGAATGAACAATGTATATTACATGCAATTCCTATGACAGAAATGATTCAAGTAATTGTGAGTAGTAAGCCAGGCGCACAGCAGGACCACTGCAGGGGCAACCACCATCACATAGAACCACCATCAGATAGAACCACCATCAGATAGGACCACCATCTACAGAAGCCTGTGGGGAGGGAGAGCACAGAGACTTTAGGAGAGGGTAATGTTGGTTTATGAGTACAGTAATATGATTAATATCTAAAATAATAATGATGATGATGACGATGGCAGCAGCAGGCGTCAGCAGGGCCACGGTAGGTGTCAGGACCAGGGTCCAGAAGGAACTACGATCTAGAGAGACCTGCTAGGGGAGAAAGCACAAAAACAACTCCCGGAAAGAAGCTGAATTAGTCATGTGCATTAATAAAACGTGAATTATGGTAGAACGAGAGCGTGAGAGAGGAGCTCGGTGTGTCCTAAGAAGTCCCCCGGCAGTCTAAGCCTATAGCAGCTTAACTAAGGGCTGGTCTGGGCTAACCTGAGCCAGCCCTAACTATAGGCAGAATCAAAGAGGAAAGTTTTAAGTTTTACTTTAAAAGAGCTGACCGAATCTGCCCCCCGGACTGAAAGTGGAACCTGGTTCCACAAAAGAGGAGCTTGATAACTGAAGGCTCTGGCCCCCAGCCTACTTTTTAAAACCATAGGAACAACAAGTAACCAGCATCTATGGAGCGCAGCTGCCTTGTAGGGCAATAAGGTGTTACAAGATACGACGGTGCCTCACCACCAAGTGCCTTGTAGGTGAGGAGAAGTACCTAAAAATCTGTTCTTGATTTAACAGGGAGCCAGTGCAGAGAAGTTAATAAAGGAGTGATATGATCCCTTTTCTTAGTTCTTGTTAATACACGTGCTGCAGCATTCTGAATCAACTGAGTCTCACTTTGAGACAGGAAGTTCCTGATTTTTGATATGTTACGTAGATGAAAAAAGGCAGTCCTTGAAGTCTTCTTTATATGCGAGTTGAAGGTCATATCCTGGTTGAAGAGAACTCCCATCATAAAAGACATTCCATCCATAAAAACTGTATCACGTGACAGCTGGCTTCAAAGGCGCTCTGGGCCTATCAAGATAAGATTTTTTCTGATTGTAGCATCAGGAAATTGCCGGTCATCCAAGTTTTGATGTCTCCAAGACATTGAAGTCTAACAAGCTGGTCCGTCTCTTCTGGTTTGATCGACAGATACAGTTGAGTATTGTCTGCATAACAATAGAAGTTTATGCTGTGTTTCCTGATAAGATCGCCCAAAGGGAGCATATAGAGGGTAAATAAAATCGGTCCAAGTACAGAACCTTGTGGGACTCCGTGACCAACATTGGTGGTCTTTGAGGATTCACCGTTTACAAGCACAAACTGGGATTGATCCGATAAGTAGGATTTAAACCAGCTGAGTGCAGTTCCTTTGATACCAATTAAATGTTCTAGTCTCTGCAACAGGATACAATGGTCTATGGTCAAATGTGATCAAATGCGGCACTGAAGTCCAGCAAGACAAGAAAAGAGATGAGTCCTTGGTCCGATGCAAGTAGAAGATCATTCGTAATTTTCACCAGTGCTGTTTCTGTTAGGAAGGAGATTTGACCCAGCACACAGAGATCACACAGGACTGATAAACTGTAGAAGGGAGTTTAATGACTGGTGAGGACGCCAGAGGGACGGAGGCAGGTGGCACGGCAGGTCAGAGGAGGGACAGCAGAATCTGGACAAAGGAATCAGGGGAGCCAGGATACAAAGTCAGGTCACCACACAGGGGTGTATAACGATCTGGCGCTGGAGAAGCAGACAGCCCGGGTTTAAATACTGGAGGGCTGAAGCGTGGAATGGAGATCAGCTGTGTGGGGACGGTTCCGGATGACTGGCCACGCCTCTTGTAGGTGGAGACAAACAGCACAGACAGACACACCGGGGAAAAGGAAGGTACAAACACACAGGATGGGGAGAAAACAGCAGCTGACCCATAACAGTTTCTGTACCATGATGCGCTCGAAATCCTGACTGGAAATCCTCGAACAAAGCATTGTTTTGTAGAAAGTCACATAATTGATTTGCGACGGATTTCTCAAGGATCTTAGAGAGGAAGGGAAGATTAGAGATAGGTCTGTAGTTAGCCAACACCTCTGGAGCAAGAGTAGGTTTCTTAAGAAGAGGTTTAATTACAGCTACCTTGAAGGACTGTGGTACATGTCCTGTCAGCAAAGACTCATAATATCTAATAAGGATGTGCTAACTAAAGGAAAAACTTCCTTAAGCAGCTTAGTCGGAATCGGATCCAAAAAAACAAGTAGAAGATTTAGACTTTGAAAATAAAGAAGTCAGTTGATCAAGGTTGATGGAAGAGAAGGCATCCAAACAGGCATCAGGGCCCACTGCTGCATCCAAGGTTCCTACATCGGAGGACAGGTCGGCACTGGTTGAAGGCAGGAGACCATCAATTTTCTCTTTGATAGTCTTATCATTGAAGAAGTTCATGAAGTCATTACTAGTGAGGTCCAAATATCCATCCATCTGCAAACCGCTTATCCTGCACACAGGGGGGGCTGGAGTCTATCCCAGCCAACTTTGGGCAATAGACGGGGTTCACCCTGGACTGGTCACCAGCCAATCGCAGGGCTACACAGAGACAAACAACCATTCACACTCGCATTCACACACCTATGGCAATTTAGAGTTTATCAACCTGATCCCCCGAGCATGTCTTTGGACTGTGGGAGGAAGCCGGAGAACCCGGAGAGAACCCACACAGACACGGGGAGAACATGCAGACTCCACACAGAAAGGCCACTGGCGGATTCAAACCCAGTACCTTCTTTCTGTGAGGTGACAGTGCTAACCACCACACCACCGTGCCGCCCTTTGGAGAGAGATATATACAATGAAAATGCCATACATGTTGAATGTGATCACAGCGTTGCTTGAAATAAAACTACTTCTACAGGTCATTTGTTACTTGAGTAAGTAACATTACAGAAACAAAACTCCAAACATAAAGTAACAATAATTTAAAACACAGGTAACACCCCATTCATATATGTACATGCTTGTGTCTGGCTCAGTCTTTGGTTGCCAAGGCGCTGGGGGTCCCTGCTAATCGGGTGGTGGTCCGAGTGAAGAGGATGGGTGGAGGCTTCGGGGGGAAGGAGAGCCGCTCCACACTTTTGTCCACTGTTGTTGCCGTGGCAGCAAACAAGTAGGTGTGGAAACCATCTTTAGTCGTCTTTTTTATTATAAAATTCTAATTTTCTGCTTTGTTCGTCAGGCTGAAGAAGCCTGTGAGGTGCATGCTTGACAGAGATGAGGACATGTTGGTGACGGGAGGAAGACACCCCTTCTACGGGAAGTATAAGGTGGGACACACATCCAGGCTTAGCGGTAGCATCAGCAGAAGGAGGATGTTTGCTGACTCTTCTTCTTTTTCTCCAGGTGGGTTTCCTCAGTAGTGGGAAGGTGGTGGCTTTAGACGTGTCGTACTATAGCAATGCCGGGCACTCCGTGGACCTCTCTTTCTCTGTAAGTATCTCTACCATCGACCCGCCTCTCTGCACCAACGTCCCCCTGACCGCATCTTCCACTGTTGAAGGTCATGGAGCGCGCCCTGTTCCATATGGAGAACTCCTACAGCGTGGCTAACGTGCGCGGCCGCGGCTACCTGTGTCGCACCAACCTGCCGTCCAACACTGCCTTCAGGGGCTTCGGGGGGCCGCAGGGCATGATGGTCGCAGAGAGCTGGATGAACGACGTGGCTCAGAGTCTGGACCGGCCGGCCCACGAGGTACGTGGTACCCAGGTACCCAGGTCAGTGAGATCCGACCATGTGACGTCCAATCAGTGACACCGTCTCCCACACAGGTGCGCAGGTTGAACTTGTACATGGAAGGCGAGTCGACGCCCTACAACCAGATCCTGGATCAGCTCACGCTGGACCGCTGCTGGGACGAGTGTATGTCCCGCTCCAAGTACCAGGAACGCCGAGCCGCCATCGACCTCTACAACAGGTGAGGTCATAGCCCAGTACTTCAACAGGTAGAGGTCGGTTTGAGGTTTGAACTCTCCCTGTGTTTTTCCTCTCTGTCAGGCAGAACCGGTGGACCAAGCGAGGCCTCGCTATCATCCCCACCAAGTTTGGCATCAGCTTCACGGCCCTCTTCCTCAACCAGGTTGGATCCAATGGCACTGAGGAGTGAACCGTTAGAGATTGAAGGGACGGGGAACATTTGCATTTTGAGACGTCAGGTTTTAGTTTGTGTTTCTGTGCATCTGCAGGCTGGAGCTCTTGTTCATATCTACACCGACGGCTCAGTGCTGCTGACCCATGGAGGCACCGAGATGGGCCAAGGTCTCCACACGAAGATGGTCCAGGTACTTGAAATTATTTTATGTCTTTCAGTCATTCATTTGAGCTTCTCCCAAATTAGGGTTTTCAGGTAAATTAAGTATAAGTAGCTCAATCTAGTGGGCGGAGAACTGTAGCTTGAGACACTTCAATGTGGACTTCAACACCGGCTTCTGATTGGCTGGGTTTGAGGACATTAACCAAACAAGCAAAAGACATGTACTGGACTAACACCAATCTCTGCGGGTCCAGGTTGCGAGCAGGGTTCTGGGTATCCCCTGCTCCAAGATCCACATTTCTGAGACGAGCACCAGCACGGTGCCCAACACCAGCCCCACTGCCGCCTCCGCCTCCTCTGACCTCAACGGCGCCGCCGTGCAGAACGCCTGCGAGATCCTCTGCAGACGCCTGGAGCCCTACAAGAGCAGGAACCCCAAAGGATCATGGGAGGACTGGGTGAGCAGGACGGTTTGCTCTGTGAGTGAATCCTGAAAAAGCCTCCTCCTCACTGTGTTTCTGTTTTCCAGGTGAAAGCAGCGTACTTTGACAGAGTCAACTTGAGCGCTAACGGCTTCTACAAGTAAGTTGAGAATCTTTTGATTTAGATGAAATCCACAATGGAGTCTCATCGTTTCCCGTTTCTCACCAGGACCCCGGATCTGGGTTACGACTTTGACACCAACTCGGGCCGAGCATTCAACTACTTCACATACGGAGTGGCTTCTTCAGAGGTGGAGATTGACTGTCTGACCGGAGCTCACAAGGTGATTAAGATGTTTGATGTCACTCCAGAGGTCACACTAAGATATAAAGAGAGAATAAAGGACAATGGTCAACATCAAGCCCCCTTTTATTAACTATTATCAATATCAAGCCCCCCCCCCCCCCCTCCCATCCCTAAGCACACTAATCATTTAGTGTGATTAAATAGAGGAATAGAGGAAGTTGTATCAACAAATCAAATGAATTCAGTAGGATTCTAAAACTCCTTTGACAATATTTATTGTCACGTAACAAAGACCCGAACATATATGTGTGACTGCAAATATAGATAATGTTCTCTCAAATAACTAAATAAAAGTATGGTTGCATTTAAAACAAATAATAGATAAAATGTGACACTTTCTGCATGTTCAAATCAAGCGCTTCAATTCAGCTTGAATTTGGACAGTGTCAGCAAATGATAAATAATGAATCTAAACAGATTCCAATAATTGAACAGTTTAATAGAATATATATATATATATATATATATATATATATATATATATATATATATATATATCCACTCTCCCACTTTTTTGGTAAGTGGGAGAGTAAGTCTATTGGTCTGTGCTTTAAGCCACTAATGTAAAGACGACCAAAGCTGCGCCGGTCGAAAAGTGCGCTGTCACGTATAAATCAGATGTAATGATTTACTCATTGAGGAGAAGAAATGATCAAAACATGAATTCAGTCTTTTTACAAATTGGCTTCATTATATAGTTCTTTCAGCATCATTTTTATCTTTATTTTGGGTTCATTCAGCTGTAATGAACCAGCTCGATAGATAAACTGGGCAAACCTCATGATGATGTCATGAACTCATTTATTTTTCTGGATATGTGAGACTTCCACAAACAGGTACTGAGCAGATTAAAGGTTTTATTCTTCTTTCATGGTTGATGACGGTAACCATGGAGATCCCATGTCTATATTTATGTGTATATGTATATGTGTGTTTATATGTATACGTATATATATGTATAAATATATATATGTGTGTTGTAGAACCTGAGCACAACCATAGTGATGGATGTCGGTCGCAGCCTCAACCCGGCGATCGACATTGGACAGGTGAGTTATTTCTTCAGGTGATGTGACCTTCAGGTGAGCGAGGACCTTCAGGTGACTGTGTCCCGTCCATCCTCAGGTGGAGGGGGGCTTCATGCAGGGTCTGGGTCTCTTTACCATAGAAGAGCTCCGTTATTCCCCCAACGGTGTCCTCCTCACCCGGGGTCCCGGCTCCTACAAGATCCCGGCCTCAGGGGATATCCCCACCCTGCTCACTGTCTCGCTGCTCAGGGACGCCCCCGACGAAAAGGCCATCTTCTCCTCCAAGGTCAGACCCGCCAGCTCCTCGGAACCACCACAACAGAATTCCTAAGAACCACTGGTTTAGAAATCATGTGTCTCTCCGCAGGCCATCGGCGAGCCGCCACTCTTCCTGGCCGCCGCCAACTTCTTCGCCATCAAAGACGCGGTGGCCACCGCCCGGCAGGAGTCCGGCCTGAAGGGTCCGTTCAGGTTCGACAGCCCGGCCTCCACCGAGAGGATCCGCATCGCCTGCAGCGACCAGTTCACTCAGCTGGTAGGAAACATTCTGCTGTTGAAACGGCGATTTAGAGGCCTCACTCCTATCATGCTAAGCTAGGAAGGTAAACAGTGTGCCTGCTTAACATGAGCACATTAGCATTGATTGTCTATGGAGAGGCAAAAGGCTAGTTAGTTATGCTAGGTGGTGATCCTCCCACTTATGTTCCCACTGGAGAAGCTGGGACTTTCCTGGTTTCCGATGTCCTAAACATCTTAACATACTAGAACCAAGGTTTCTATAACTTAACTTAACACAGCAACTACTCTTCTTCTTCTTTCAGTGTCCTCCTGCAGAACCTGGTTCCTTCACCCCCTGGTCCGTACAGGTCTAAAACCAGAGAGGAAGCCACCACAGAAAACCTCAGCACAATCGGCTGTTATCACCCTACATCTCACTAAGGAAGCTCTTGTATAAACTAGGGCTGTCAATAGATTACATTTAATGAACTAATTAATCGCACATTTTAAAATTCATTAATCTTGATTAATGGTGATTAATGAATGGTGTTGTAACTCTTCCAGCTAGCTTAGCCTAGCAGCTAGCTTAGCTTAGCGGCGCTTAAAGTGGTCTGTTTGCCACTCACCCCCCCCTTCTGTTTGACACGTGGAGGAATTCCTCTGCACAGTTCTCACTCAGTTGTCACGTTTGTTTTACTTCCAATGCAAAACGCTCTCTCCATCTCGAGCTACCGTCTTGATTCCTCCGATGTAACTGACTGCAACTACGTTTTTACTACGTTCAAATGTTTTGTTGCATTAATCTCGGCCACATTAATCGCATAGATTAACGCGTTTATGTTGACAACTCTAGTATAAACTAATCCTTAGATGATTAATAAGTCTTTACTCTGATCGGCGCTGCACTTCTTCCTCCCTGTTCCTGTCTCAATAAAACATGAAAGTATTTGCACTGTATGAACCGAAAAAAATAAAGGACATTTTATTGGATGATTATTCATGTGACAGTTAAAAATTTAAACATGTAAACCGACTTCTATGAGCACTAGAAACTGATTTTGTTTTTTTGGTAACTGATTACTACTAGACGACATAAATCACAAAACAATGTAGGCAATTTGGACAAACTTTATTAGCATTGTCTTACAGAGGACAGAGCAGTAAATGTTTCTATTAGTCGTCTTTCCCGGTCTTTTCGATTATTTTCCTCATCCACCTGTTCATCCTGAACAGGTGAGTGTAAAAGCCGTACTTTCCATCCTTGTCGCAGCCTTCGCCCCACGACACGATGCCCATCTGGTACCAGCGGTCATCAGCCGGGTACTGTTCAGACAAAGCACTCCTCATCTGTAGCGGTGTGGCGTTTTTATGAAAATTTAAATGAACTGTACTGAATGTTACCTTCATCACAAACGGACCGCCGCTGTCTCCCTCGCAGGCGTCGCCACGTTTGGCGTCGTCAGGTTTATAGCCTACAACACAGACGGTCTTGAACTAAACGCTAACACGCTAATATTTAGCTTGTTCACCACCTCACCTTAGCATGTAGCTGTAAACATGTGAAAATAGGAACTTACCGGCACAGAACATGTTGTCCGTGACCTTCACCGACGTGGAGCTGCTGCAGACGTCCTGGTCCACGATGGGCAGGTGGATTTGTTGGAGCACTTCGGGTAGATTTCTTGCCGAGGGGTTCCAGGTGTCCTTCAGATTCCCCCAGCCGGTGACTCGACCTTTGTACCCTTGGGTCATCAGGCTGTTGGAGGAGCACATGATGATTAAAGCAAAATAAACGTTAGGATGGAGGAGGGGTTGGGGGTCCTGTGTTTGCTCTTACGCCGTGGCCACCTTCCTGTTGGGGAGGCAGATTGGGTGGATGGCGTCAGTGAACCCCACCGGCCTCCTCAGGTGGAGCAGGGCCACGTCCCGGTTCAGGTTCTCCTTCCAGTTGTACTTTGGGTGTACGATGATCTCGCTGATGGCCACAATCTTCTCGATGCCGCGCTCGAATCTGTGAAAAATCCTGGTGAGAATTCCCTCCCTCCGCTAGCATTGATTAATTCACAGGTGGGGCCGGGAGGTCTTACGCGGCCCGGTTGTGTTTCCCCAGTCGCACCAGGATGTCGCTGGCCGAGAAGTTCTTGTTCCAGGGCGGGTAGAGGATGCAGTGAGCCGCCGTGACAATCCATTGATCGCTGATCAGACTGGCTCCACACAGCAGTTCCTGAGGGCTTCTCTTGTACAGCATCACTTGCCTGAGGACCACAAAGGTGAGTCATGAGACCATGTGATGTACAGGATCAAGGTGAGTCAGGGGATCATGACCAATTATTGGGTGTCGTTGACACAGTGACGGCTCACGGTTACCATGGTGCTGAGGCCACCTCGGCATCGTCGCCCCCGACGATGCGTTCTTGTCTGTATGACTCCAACAGCTCAGCTTCATTCCTGTCCTTTTTTTTCAGCTTTTCAAACAGAGGGCGTTCTCCACACACTGTGACACAACCAGTGAGTAACCCAATTAACTAAGCAGTAGACCAGTTAGAAAAGCAGTCAAACAATGAATAAAAGTGTCAGCGAGTAAATAAACAGTTAACTGGTAACGCCTGTAGGAGCCAAATTTGTATTATATTTGTTACGTTTGCATGTTTGGTTAATCCGATGCGTGTGCCTAACGTCACACACGCGGGTTGCGGACTGACGTCACGCAGTGACACGTGATGACTGGTGTTCTGCAGCGGTCAGTGAGGACCGTGGCAGAGTGGAGCCGGACGTGTTATTTTGATAATATTAGAAATTGGATTATTAGAAATTGGATTATCCTGTGGAACAGTGATACTCATAGGAAGAAGATGTAATTCAAGAATTTTGGATTAATAAAAACATTTTGCTTTCACTTTTTTTCAACTGAACGCAGTTGGTGTGAGCGATGTGTATTTGACCAGAAACACGCGTCAACTTAACGCTGACGCTCTGCCACTATTTTCGGAACCTAAAACACCATTAAGAGGTTCAGACAGTGAATACAGTTTAGCTAACTTGTTTAGCTAAACTGCTAACTTGTTAGCTAAACTGTTAGTCAACAGGTTGGATGAGGAGGAAGCTCGTTAACCCATTAGAATCACTGATCAGCACTCACCACTCTCTCCTTCTCCAAAGGTCCGAGGACTGAAGAAGGTCTTCCTGGCGGGTTTGAGGACGGATCGTTCTTGTCCTTCTGTGTCCGTGGTCAGGACGTCCTCAGTTACCAGGTCCTCTGGGACACAGACAGGTGAGAGATGGGTACAAAGGTAACCAGGATAGTACTCTGCAGGAGTACACTCTAGTTGTATTTACCACACAGCTCCAGATCGCAGTAGTCGATGGTCACGTTTCCAGAAAGCTCCACATAGCACCAGGGGCCCTCAGGGTCGTTGTCAGGGTTACGGCACTTGTTTCCCGGCAGGCCGACCTCAGGGATGAAGTCCTTGTCTACGCTGAGGGCCTTGGCCTCCCGGCTGGACCACTGCAGACAGGTGTGACCCCCCAGGGTGACGGACAGGTCACCAACGTAGTCCACGCCGTAATTGAGTAGACACGCTGCGGTTCTGGTTGGTTCAGGGGCCACAGTGGGCGGGACAAAGTCCTGACCTTTGAGGAGAATCAGCGTTTAGTCGTCCCTGTATTTACCCACAGTCTGTAATTAGTTGTATTGTTTGCACTTGTAGTACTTGGTACTTGCCACATGTGGGGACCCTGCAGGTCTCCTTCGGGACTGCTGGGTCTTTGGTGAAGCACCAGGGGCCCTCTGGACGGCTGTCCGGGTTTCGGCAGAAGTTCTCGAGGAGGATGCTATTTGGTTCTGAAGCGTTGAACTCTCTGCAGACAGACGGGTACTAACTAATATTTAACTAATCATGAGCTCATTATTTAGTGTACTGGTTCAGAGTTAGTCACATTAAAATGACTCACTGCAAGTTATGTTTTTAGAATTTACAACTTCTAACTTAATTAGTTATTTGGTTTTCCGGTTGGTTAGTTGATTAGATAGTTTAGTTAGTTATTTGTTCCTTGGTTGGTTAGTTAGTTTGTTACCTGAATATAGGATGTGGGTAGCTGCTACTCCAGGGTTGACATTTTCTTCCGGATTGTGTGATATTGATATTTCCTTCATAGTTCACACCTGAACTAGAGATACACTGACCTAAACACACACACACACACACACACACACACACACACACACTCGTTGTCACTGTAAATGACTGTTTATTATTTTACGTGAAATTTTTAACAATAAAGTTAATTAGTTACCTTCTACACACTGTCTCACAATGTTGATGTTGTGTTGTGTTCTTGTCATCTGAGTTCCTTTACAGTCTGAGAGAGAAACAGACAGACAGGTAGACGGACAGGCAGAGAGACAGACGGGGGGACAGACAGTGAGATGTTTGTGTACTTGTGTTCTGTTCTGGACTTTGTTCATGTTTGCAGAGCAGAATGTCTGATTATACTTCGGATTTGAAGTAAAAGTACATAACTGTAGTTATTTTAGTTCTCACGACATTTATATGTATTTCTGTGTTCATGTTTGTGAGCTGAAGCTTCGGCACTCACCCAGGTACTTGGTCCAGAAGTTCTCCTGGAGGGAAGACAGTACTATTACTCCTGGTACTATTACTACTGAGTAATCTCACTACTGGTAGTATTACTACTGAGTATTGTTACCACTGGTACTGTTACTACTACTATTGTCACTCCGCATTACTGTGTCCACTGAGTATTATGTATACAGAGTATTGCTACTACTACTGACTAGTACTCTTACTACTCAGTACTGTTACTGCTGAGTAGTACTAATACAAGTGCTGTTACTGCAGATGAAAATGGCGTCGTACTGTTTTCTCCGTCTGCTCAAACACTTCTCGCGCTTCTTCGTGGTCACAGATCTCCTCCACACATTCTCTCTCCAGGTTCCCTGATAATAATACACATAATAATACACATCCATGCTAACAACAACAACAATAATGATACACATTCATATTACCGACAACAACAACAATAGGAATAAAGGTGATAGACAGTCATCTCATCTTCAACCGCTTATCCAGCGTCCGGTCGAGAGATTCATACTCATGCTCTTCATTCATACTAATAACCACAACAATATTAATAATATTGGTCATATTAATAATAATACAGGTTCATTGTAATAACAACAACAACACACATTCATACTGTTAACAACAACAACAACAATATGCATTTATGCTAATAACAATAATAATAACAATGGTGAGAGACATTCATAATAATAATAAAACATATTTCTTTACGGGTACATTTCTGGAAGAACTACCCGGACCGTTTGCTTAATTGAACCTAATAATACTATTTAAAATCATAACTTTAACGTTCGTTTGAGAGAAAGGGTAAGTTCAGGTATATATATATATATAAATAAGTATATAGGACTCTTTCACTCAGGTGACTCACCTGGTTTTATCTCCTCAAACATCTGATTGGCTCGACGGCTCCTCGGCAGCAGCTGAGTGGCCAACTGGCTGTTAAGGAAAACTACAAGCGCACCGCTTTTACAGTTACTATGAAGTGAAAAAGTACGTGTTGTAAAGTAAAGTCGTGTTGCGTAGTGCACTAAATGGGTTTACTCTATCATAGTGGTAAATACAGATGTTGTGTATTACTACTACATACACATGAACTTCTCCCACTCAATTCTTTATCGTCTTCTGTTTCTAGAAAACCTTTTGTACACAAAGTATTAATGAAACATAGAAGAGTACTATGAGTATTTATTCCACCGATCCTTTAAGGACTATTACTTTAAGGAGTATTGATAGCAATACTTGTACCTTGATCTGCCAGGCAGATGTGTATCAGAAACAGCAGAAGAGCAGCTGCTTTCAGTTTTGTCTCCTCCATGATTCAGAACCTCGGAACCAGAACCGATCCAGCAGAGTCCGTGTCCGCGTGTCTCTGAGTCCTGCCTGTCTCTCTCTGGAGGTTATTGACCAAAGGGTCAAAGTGTCTGATGGGAATTTCAACATGTTTACTTTGGCTCAGCCAACAAACCGCAGTACTGGATACTAGAAGTACACAACGTGAAATAGTATCAAGTGGTGATACTCATGATAAGGCCAGACCGTCCCATTCCAGAGACCGTTCAGCCTACGCGGCTGTGTGAGGACCAGCCCGAGTGAAGGCTGCTGGAGGCTACAAGGATGCAGCCTAGCGACTTTGAGACACGGCTGTAGCCATTGTGTTGGTAGTGGTTCGTCTAGTCCCTGTAGAATCTACAGGGTTAGGGTTAGGTCCCTGTAGAATAGTTAGGGTTCTAGTCCCTGTAGAATCTACAGGGTTAGGGTTAGGTCCCTGTAGAATAGTTAGGGTTCTAGTCCCTGTAGAATCTACAGGGTTAGGGTTAGGTCCCTGTAGAATAGTTAGGGTTCTAGTCCCTGTAGAATCTACAGGGTTAGGGTTAGGTCCCTGTAGAATAGTTAGGGTTCTAAGAAGAACGATGGTTCAGAGTAACAGTAGCAGCCGTCCTCCGGCTGCAATAACGGGATGAACTTACTTCCTCAGCTGAGCCAACATGAGCTGATCTCAGGTCTTAGGTCACAAACACCATACACAGGATTCACATGAAGTTTTAAAAGAAATGAAGTAAACAAATTAAATCAACAATTGCCTTATAGGAAGGACTCTGCTCTTTTACTACTGTACAAGTATTTCTTCAATGAGGAAAAGTAAGATTAAGATTAAGTAATTAAGTAAAACCTCATAATCCAGATATCATAGTAATGAGTACAAAATATATTCCGTGTTATTATTAAGAATTATAGATGACGCTCTTCCAATAAACAAAAATGAATACGTGTGCTTAAATGTATTTAACGTCAGTTAGGACCTAATCTAACGGGAGTCACTGCGCTTTCCCCTTTTCACCAGCAGGCGGAGTAACGCGGCTCAGCGGAGCCGATAAAAGAACAAAAGAAGAAGAAAACGGTGTTGCTAACAATGTCAGCTAGCGCGGAGCTTCGGATGGACCAGCTAGCTTCGGACCCGCTGCTGCACATCCTGTCTTTCCTGGGCTTCAGAGACCTGATCCAGTACGTAACGGAGCCCGAGGCACCGTTCTGTCCGGGGGAGCCGGAACTGTAAACGATGTAACCGCGACGAGCTGTAGCTGCTCATTAGCATAGCTTAGCCTAGCAACTAAACTATCGGTTACCTATGTGCTAATTTGTCATAAACACTGATAGAATGTCGCGTTGTTGGTTGTATACAGAAAGTGTCGATTAAAAAAGAGTTGACCATCATGTGCCATTTAGCACAACGCTACATTTAGCCACATTTATACGCCTCCAATAACCGCTTATTTTTTGTTTACGTTTGTTCTGAATCTGACCGACCGCACATTGTTATGTCAACAATGAAACTCTATTCAGTCAGTATTCAGATGCGTTACTGCAGTAAAGGTACTCCCACTACCTTGTAAAATACTGTAAAATGCAGATAATATTTGAAGGCTAGCTATGTAACCTTCCAGATGTTTTCACCTGCCATAACAAAACATCAATTAATTTTATTATGAAGGAGCAGTAGTTATTTTACTTTGAAGGAGGTGTTGTCTTTTTACTGTGGATGAGCTGTAGTTCTTTTACTTTGAAGGAGCTGTGGTCCTTTTACAGTGAAGAAGCTGCACGTATTTAATTGGGGAGAAGCTGTTGTTCTGTTACCATTCCTCCCTTCCTGTCTGTCTGTAATTATAGTTATTTTACTGTGAAGGAGCTGTGATTTGACCATCCCTTCCTCCCTGTAGTTGTAGTTTCGTCAGCAGGCGGCTCTACGACCTGTCCAAACACAACCCCCTGTGGAGGTCTCTCTGCTGCAAACACTGGCTCCTGACCGAGTGAGTACCGCCATTGCTTCTATAAAGCCTCTGAAGCAGGGATGCTCACTAGGTCGATCACGACCGACCAGTCGATCTCGAAGGCAGTAACAGTCGATCGCGTGCCATCGATAAAAAAAAACAACGCCGCGCATGCGCGGTCTACCGCGGGAGATGACCGAAACTAATGGCAATGCTAACTAGCGATCCTATGGACTTACTATGGACGCATTTCATTTCATTCCAAAGGCGGACGCCAGTAAGGTAATGACCAACAATGTACGGGATGCTTGTGACTTGTGACCCTTCTTCTGACTTGATGAGCGGCTCGTTGTTTTATTCACATCGACTCGTTATATGCGCCGTTGGAGCGCGTCCCCGCTACTATTCACCGCTACACCCCCCCTCTGTCAGCCGGCACAGAGGGGAGGAGGTAGATCGCCATGACTTGTTTAGTTGAAAAGTAGCTCGCGAACCGGTAAAGTGTGGGCACCCCTTCTCTAAAGCCTCTAAAGGTCAGAGGTCAACCCCTCCCCTTTGCGTGTGTCCACAGGGCCGACCGGTTGCAGAGCGGGGCGTCCTGGCACTGCCTGTTTCGGCGGTACTACGTTGACCTGGGCCGCTACTTGCAGTACTACCCGGTGCTGAAGAGGGCCTGGGAGCAGCTGAAGGTCTTCCTGCAGCAGAGATGTCCTCGTATGATTGCCTCCCTCAAAGGTCTCCCAACTCAAGACGTACTTGCTGCTCTGAATACTGCTGTACGTGCGCCCGTTCCTGACAATGGCGTGTTCTGGGGTGCGTTTGTTTCCTCCGTCAGAGGGCGCCACAGAGGTGGAGCTTAACGACATTGAGGTTCAGATCGGCTGCAGGCTTCCGGATGACTACCGCTGCTCCTACCGGATCCACAACGGGCAGAAGTTGGTGATCCCAGGGTGGGTGTCATGGAGTTGCTGTCTCTGCTGGTTCCTGTGCCTGTCTGACACCCACCCGTCTGTGTCCTCAGGCTCATGGGCAGCATGTCCCTGTCCAACCACTACCGGTCGGAGGTCCTGCTGGACGTGGAGACGGCGGCCGGAGGCTTCCAGCAGAGGAAGGGGATGCGCCGCTGCCTCCCGCTCACCTTCTGCTTCCACACGGGCCTCAGTCAGTACATGGCGCTGGAGCCCGCTGAGGGGCGCAGAGTGTATGAGAGCTTCTACCCCTGCCCCGTACGTAGCCCTTCAAAATAAATGCCAACTTGTTTAACAGCGAGGGAAAAATTGTAAAAGTGGAGACCTTGAAGCGAGTGGCCTTATTTTAGTGCCACATGCAAAGGAACTGTAGGCGTCACTTTTTTAAATGTAGAAAAGCTGTTGTTTTTTAACAGTGACGGAGCTGCGGAGCTTTTCTTGTGAAGAAGGTAGTTATTTTACTGTGAAGGAGATGTAGGTGTTTGATTAAATACTTTGGATTTACCGTAATTTCCGGACTATGAAGCGCACCGGAATATAAGGTGCACCACCTAAAATTTAGCACTAAACCTGCAGCAACGCGGCGGTGGCGTTCAGTCGGATGTGCACGGTGGAAACAACTGCTCTCTGTGTGTTCACCCAAAAGCGTAACCAATTGTATAGACATTGGGGGGGTCCAAATGAATACCCTTTCCCGTAATTCTTTTCAAAGCAGGTATTGGGTTGGTGACCAAACAGTGATCCAGAATGTTCTCCTTTCCTGTTGGGCATTTAATAAACTGTTTGTACTCATGGCTGAGACTTCCTTTGTTAATGTCACCAAGGACAATAACCAAGGAGTCCGGGTCGGTCGGCTCCACACGCCGTATCGGGTCGGCGAGTGTCCGCTGGGCCTCGTGCACGTTGTAAACACCGACCAGGATGAATGAAGCGAACTCACGGGGGAGTAAAAGGGTTTACAGTTGATGATGAATAACTCCAGATCAGTGGCACCAGCTGCTGTTGGAGTAGAAGCAGATTCCTCCACCCTTTGCCTCCGTGTGGCGGTCTGCTCTGAGCAGCTGAAGCCCGCCAGCTGGAGCGTGGAGCCCGGTATCGATCCACAAAGCCACGTCTCCGTGAGGGACAAAACGGAGGATGCAGAAAAGTCTCCGTCTCTCCTCCCCAGCAGCTGAAGTTGGTCCAGTTTGTTGCTCAGTGAGGCTCGTTGTGAGAGAAGAACCAACGAGCCAGGAGAGCGATCCATTGACAGGGTTCATAACCAGAGAACCTACATTTGACATATTTTCTGCTGTATATTGGGGGAGGGGGACGACCCTTGTGTTCACCCAGTTTTCACGTTGAGGCCATCGGCTTTTATTTCCTCTGAAAGCTTCACGTCTCTGTTTCCTTCTCCGACAGCCCGACTGGTAAATCATTTGCATTCCTACGTGTATTTTCCACGACGAGTGAATATGATGCGCAAAATGATCTCGCTCTTGCGCGTTGACCCGTAAAAAATGACACATTAGCTGCAGTGTTGTATAAGACGCAGGGTTCAAAGCGTGGGAACAAAGTAGCAGCTTATAGTCCAGAAGTGACGGATATAATTCTATAAATCTTTTTACTGTGATATATTCCTCTGATGATCACATTTATTCTACGTGATAATAAAAGGCTCATCGTGTCTTTGTTTCAGGACCAGACGGCTCAGGACCCTTCAGCCATCGACATGTTCATCACAGGTGTGTTGAGGAATAAATCCTGTATCTGGTGTCGTCTGTCCCTCTAACTCTGCGTGTGGTGGTGCTCAGGCTCCTCGTTCCTCCAGTGGTTCACCGCTTACGTCCACAACGTCGTCACTGGAGAGTACCCCATCATCAGAGACCAGATCTTCAGGTGACCCGCGTCATGATCCGCTGCGTGAGCTGCCACCCAAACTCCAGGTGATGAGTCATCATCTGGTTTGTCCACCTGTCCTCAGGTATGTGCATGAAGACGGCTGTGTGGAGACAACAGGAGACATCACAGTCTCTGTGTCCACCTCCTTCCTCCCGGAGCTGTCCTCAGTGCACCCCCCACACTTCTTCTTCACCTACCGCATCAGGTGCGTCTGTCTGTCTCTCTATCAACCCGTCTGTCTCTATCACCTTCTACCTGTCTGTGTCTCTCCGTGTCCTTTCAGAATAGAGATGTCCGGTGCTGCGTCTCCTGAAGCTTCCTGTCAGCTGGACAGCCGCTACTGGAAGATTACAACCTCCGACGGCAACGTGGAGGAGGTGCAGGGTCCCGGCGTGGTCGGTAGGCTGCTCGTCACATGACCACCGTACTGCACAGGGATTGGATGGTACCACTCGCTGAATGTGTGTGTGCGTGTGCGTGCGTGCGTGTGCGTGCGCAGGAGAGTTTCCAGTCATGACACCAGGGAAGGTCCACGAGTACGCCAGCTGCACCACCTTCTCCACCCCGACGGAGTACATGGAGGGTCACTACACCTTCCACAGGCTCGGTAACCATAGCGACGCGCTTTCTATTGGTCCATTCCAAGAAATGACCTGTAGCTCTTTAACAGTGTCATTGACGTCCTGTCTCGTAGCCAATAAGGAGGAAGTGTTCCACGTGGCGATCCCTCGCTTCCACATGATCTGCCCCCCCTTCAGAGAGCCGCCGGTCCGAACGGTAAAGAGTGACCATTGAGCATGAATTCCTCATTCCTGGATGAGATCCCCGTTAACCTCAACGTTTGTACCCGCGCAGCAGAATGTGGCGGCAAGCTACGCGTCTCGCTTTGACCGCGACGAGTTCTGCGATGGAGACGGAGATGACTTCGGCGAGCAGAGAGGAATTAACATGGCCGGCCGCGGTTCATCTGACCTCAGGGAAACCTCGTCGTCATGGAAACATGACTGGCAATATGCAAAGAGACAGAATGATTGACAGACAGCAGCAGAGGATTCTGGGACGGTAACCAGATGCGTTCGTGGGACGGCTGCTTCCAGTGGTTTTCTAGGAACATTTTCTCACGACTACACCAACTGACGGTTCGATGAAGTCATTGTGTGACAACTTCCTGTTTCGGTGGCGAGGACGTCTGTTATGTGGCGATTGTTTGTGTGTGAAATGAAAATCTTTTATTTCATAGTTAAAGATTCTCTTAAAGCTTTTTTCCACTGCAGGAAACAAACTGTTTAACCATTTATAAATCTTTTTTTTTAAGTTAAATTTTTTTTTAACTTTAATGATGTTATTGTAGACTTTCTGCAGTGGAAACCAGTGTGATGGTAGGTTTTTTTCATCTGTTCCAAACTGTCTCCCGTTTACTCCCGCAGAGTGATGATCTAGTAGAAGCTGGGCTTTTATTTTGAAAAGTGTTTCCTCCTGTGCTTAACAGTTTGTTTTTCTCGATCATCACAATCTCATGTGATTGGTGGTTTCTTTTGGTATGTCTTGGGTTAAATAAATAACAAATATTCATCAGTGCTGTTTACTGTCCCGTGATCGGGCAAAGTTGCCCTTTCGGAGGAGGGGTTCTTCCCCTTCACAATAAAAGCCCCTCGATAGGACTGAAGAACATATTTTACCTCCTTTTTTATAACCGGAGCATAATTCTTACACCACTGCCTTTGAGGAAGGTTTTTCCCCTTCACAATAAAAGCCCCCACCAATAGAACAATTTGAGCAACTACTTTTCCCTTCACAATAAAGCCCTTTTAAAAGAGGGAGGCCTTGAATAACCACATAAGTAAATCAGGTCTATATTTTATTCATCATGTCACTTCCTTTAGTTATCATCCTCTTCCTTCTCCTCCATCTCACTCTTCCTCTTCCTCAACCCTCTCCTCTCCTTTCTCTCTTCTTCCTACATCCTCTCCTCTTCGTACTCATCACCACACTCCAGGCGCCACCAGCACCTCATTTTAAAAGATATAATGTTTTAGGCGAGCAGGGGCTGGGTCCCTCCTGAACCCCCCCAGGAAGTGTGACCTGAAGCAGCAGAAGGGGCAGGCGTAGCGGCCGGGCCGGTGCTCCGCCCTGACGTGCTGCTGCAGCCGGCTGGGCAGGAAGAAGCGGCGTGAGCAGCGGCGGCAGGCGTAGGGCCGCTCCACGTCGTGGCAGCGCACCACGTGGCTGATGGCGAAGCCTGCAACACAGGGACAGTGCGGTGCATTGTGGGTAACGTAGGCATGGAGGGGGGACCTGCAAAAGAAGTATTGAGAACTCCGATGTCTTTAGTGCAGCACCATGACTTAAACTGTCATGAATATGACTTATTGACATATGACATATTTTGATGGACTTGTTTATTATTGAGCAGCTTATTCTCAGGAATAAGTTTCTCTTGGTGGGAACGATGTTTACATTCTACGTTGCGCAGAGACACGTGAAGCAGCAAAAGTCCTCGTTCGGTGTTCTCGTTCCTCTCGGGTCGCATGCGGCCAGCGAGGTGGAGGAGGAGGAGGAGGAGGAGGAGGGGGGGGGGGGAGAGAGGTCCCTCTGGAATAAATCAGTAACGATTTATGCTCGTCTGTGTTTTCTGGAGGAAGTGATAATAACAATGAGCATCACTTATGAAAAATGAAGTGAAATCAATACCCCGACTGGTAAAGAAAGTGTCCCATGACTGCTGGTCTCGTGGGACCCGATCATGATGTCATAGTTTCACAAAGCAGCTCAGGATTGAATGTTAACAGAATCTTATCGAAGCAAACTGTTTATTTGTGAGGTTTGAAATGAGACGAGTAGAATTAAACGATATTAAACTGGTGTATGTTCGCCATACGTGGTGTGTTCAGGAGCAGTCAGAAAAATGGCATTATGTAACTAATTGACCGTCTAAACAGGAAGTGATGTGCTACCTTTCAGTTTGGTCTTCCAGCCACAGATCAGGCAGACAAAGCGGTTTGAGATGAAGCGCACCACCTTGGCTGTGGCCTCCATCTCTTCCTTTAGCTGCTCGCCGCTAAGCCCAGCCCCCACCCCCTCCTCCTCGGTGGGCAGGGGAGGCGCGGAGGCGCCCCGCCTGATGGCCTGGGAGGCGTAGGCTTTGGGGATGTCGTGCTTTCTTACTACGTGGTTCACTCCCAGAGCTTTCAGCTTGCTCATCCAGCCGCAAATCAGACAGCGGTAGCCGGAGCCATCAAACATCAGCACCTTCTCATCGCGCTCCTTCTGGGGGGGGGGCAGCTCCTCCTCAATGCTCCTCTTTCTCCCTGGAGCATCTGTCTCCCCTGCCTGCCCCTCCCTCTGGTCCTCACAGTGCCTGGAGATGAGGTGCCTGTAGAGTTTGGGGAAGTCTCTGCAGGTGAAGAAGCAGTCTGCGCAGTGGAACAGCCTCGCGCCGCTTTGGTACATCACAATGTTACCTAGGCGACCGACGGCCACGCCTTCCAGACGTGCAGGGTGGGCCGCTGCCATGTGGGTAAGCTGGTGGGCGTGGCTCTTGGCGAAGTGGCCGCAGAGGGGGCACTGCAGGTGGGCTGCCGGGGCCCCGCCCACCTCACCGGGAGTCGGGGCGAGGTGGTGCATAGCTGCGAATTAAAGGGTTAGGGTTAAAATGATCATGTGACTGTAGCAGTGGTGTTATAGTAATACTCGATTAGTATTCACAGGTTTACTTCAGTATTATATATTATATATTATTGAGGATATATAACTTACTTACTCTAATATATATATATATATATATTCTTACACCACTGCCTTTGAGGAAGGTTTTTCCCCTTCACAATAAAAGCCCCCACCAATAGAACAATTTGAGCAACTACTTTTCCCTTCACAATAAAGCCCTTTTAAAAGAGAGAGGCCTTGAATAACCACATAAGTAAATCAGGTCTATATTTTATTCATGATGTCACTTCCTTCAGTTATCATCCTCTTCCTTCTCCTCCATCTCACTCTTCCTCTTCCTCAACCCTCCAACTTACTTACGCTAATATATATATATATATATATATATATATATATATATATATATATTAGCGTAAGTAAGTTATATATCCTCAATAATATATTGTGTATGTGTATATTTTTTGGTGTTGATCCTATTGTACTTTTACTGAAGTAAACCTGTGAATACTAATCGAGTATTACTATAACACCACTGCATATTATATAAATATTTATTAACGATTATACTGGCGTATTAATATCTAATGTAGTATAATATTATCCTGAGATGTACCATTGGTGCAGTAAAAGTAACATTACTGTCAACTAAAATATCACAAAATACTGACATAACGTTAATTGTCATTTCTATCAAAAACCTTTTCAGGAGACTCCATAAATATTTCACGCAATTTAAGCAAACACTTTATAACTGATACGTACTCAGACCGTTAGTTGACGGTGTAACGCGGTGTTCCGGGACATTACCGGGGCCGTGAGTACAAAGTAGTCTTTATATCATAAACTACTGTGTAATAACGGTGAATAAAGGGGCCGTGCTAGCAGCCTAGCACCCAGCTAACCCGCTTTAAAAAAACATTTCAACTGCTCCGATCCACCAAACCGCTGCAGCCGCTGGGTGTGCTCGTGAATCCAAGCTACAGAACCGGAACGGGTCGCTGAATCATTCGAACCGAACCAACTCTACGGTTGTTAAACGTGTTTTTACCGAAACCACCGAGTAGCTTCGGCCCGCTGTTTACATGGAGCACCAATCGGCTCCAACAGCAACGACCGACCAATCACAGCGATCGAGGAAACCGCGCGCTGCTTTTGTCACAAGTATCGCGATATCTCAGCTGCGCTTTGAATTCTTAGGGACTTATTTGTTTTTGTAGCTTCTAGAGTGATCAAATAAACATATACATGCATATAACGCAATGGAAAATATTAAATTATGAAAATAATCTTAAATTATGGAGTACGCTCCAGTATGTTTCATTAGGTTTATTAAAATTTGGCTCAAATGGATCAATACTTACTATACTAGTAAAGTAATACTATTCTAATGTTAATTTTATTACGGAATGTTAAACAAAGACTTGATGTTTTGATATATTTGTATACATTGTTAGAAATTCTTACACAACACCAGGTTAATATCATTAAACAGGACATTCTACAAAATACTTGAAACGTAGGAGCAGTGTTGAGACGTGTACAAGTGGCTGCTCGGAGAATGTGGGTCTCATCCTCCCAATGATACACATACACAATTTAAGCATCATAGCCTCACCCCTCCTAGGAGATCTCACACTGTACAGTTCTAATGTAATATATATAATGTATATATATATATATGTATGTATACATATTGTAAAAAATATGTTTCTATGTTTGTCAATAACTGGTGATAAGTCTCCAGGTTCAATATCAAACAGCATGTGGTCCTGTGAGGTAAATACCTATCGGCCATCTGCAGGCTGGATAATCCCTGAGAGCAGATTAGAGCCGGGAGGAGTCGCCACGACGACACTCCCGAGGAACCATCTCACTGTTCGTGGTCCAGGAACAAGACCACTCGGAAAGAAGTTTTGGGATATTTTAAACAAATGTGCTTAGTTGTGAAAAATGTTAAGATTTTATTGTCAAGCTTAAAACAACCTTTGTGCCTTTATTGTGCCCCGTACAAGGGCTTTCATTTTCACCCATTTTTCACTTTTGACTCCCGGCTGAGGACTATTTTTATTCCATAGTTTAATTTCTGAAAAACTACATTTAGTTTTAAGCTGTGTGCGATTGTGGACTTCAGGCTCATACTTTGAAGGACACCTTTCATGGACTAAAACATCAGGAGGTCTTTTTACAGACAGTTGGTTGGACATTTATTGTGAAGCGCAGAAGAAATTTGTGACAAACACCAAAGAAAGAAGGATATTTGCATGCTCTCTGGGGCTTTTATTATGAAAGGATATGCATGATGTGATCTGTCTTGTGGTCGCGCCTGACATCAACAGGCTGCCAGGATGATTCCCTATGCCGAGTGTCTTGGGGGGGAAGGGAGGAGGCCTGTCGTGACTTCACGCTGTTGGAACGGCGGCGGCGACGAGGAGCAAGACGAGCTGCTTCCTCGCAAGATGGCCGCCCTGAAGCCGAGGACGGAGGGCAGCCTGCGCCGCCGGCTCCTCAGCGCCAAAATCCATCAGCACCATGACGCCATCCTGGGCCTGAGCGCGGGTGGTGCCTGCGGGCTGGCGACGCCCACTGGTGAATGGCAGCCCCTGCCACCTCACCACCAAAATCCAGCCAACAGCCCGTGGTTCCGCCGCCAGCACCCCCCCCCCCACAGCCAACCATCTCTTGCCCCAGAGACTCATGGGAAACCAAACCAGCTTACCCCCCCCCCTCTTCAGCTGCCACGCTCAACCTACCCGGTGCTCGCCCTGAGGGGCCGCACAGGTTCCTGCCCCCCCACCCCAGAGCCCCGACCCGGCTACACTCTGCCGGTCCCGTCCCACTTCGGAGAACAAGAGGCACCATCGCAGTACCAATATCAACCCAGCAGGAGACGCCGGGCCGGCCTCTTCTGCTTCACATCCCAACGTGGGCGGAGCTGCGGACCAGAGGCTACACAGACCACGCCCCTCCTACACGGAGGTACTGCTGGGAATCCTGTAGTACTTCTAGTACTGTGCCCATTAAGTATTTATTGAGTTCAGATTTGTTTTCTTTGGCCCAGCTGTTGAATTGTTGTTGGTTGGTCTAACACACCCAGGTTATTGTGTGTGTGTGTGTGTGTGTGTGTGTGTGTGAGTGTGTGTGTGTGTGTGAGTGTGTGTGTGAGTGTGTGTGTGTGTGTGTGTGTGAGCAGGGATTTAGAGCAGCTCCATACGCTACGGTAATGGATAATTCCTGGAGCAGATGACCTTTAACAAGCAACAGAAGCTGCTTGTTGTTGCTTTATCCGTTAGCTGCTGCGCTATCTTCAGTTCATAGCTTAGCTTCACCAGTTGGCCTCAAGCCTAATTTGTTAGCTTAAAGTGTGAGCTTCGTCTGTTAGCTACGCCCGTTAGCCCCTTCCGTCCTCTGATTGGACAGTGCTCGGCGTTGAGCCTTTGTTCTATGTATTTAGAAAACCTGTGACATTGTGGCCCTATTTCCCTGTCTGACTAATTGAACTAATTAAAGCGCCGACGAGCAAATGACAGAAGTAATGAGCTGCTCCACTGGCCCAGTTACTTGTCCCATTTTGACTGGCACCGGCCCAGTTAGTGACTGGTGGAGTACCAGTACCACTGTGTATTATTATTGGGAAACTAGAAATGCAGCTCTCTGATTGGCTATCAGGCCTCCACACCGCTGCTATAGATCTCAAAGTGTGTTAAACTGTTGGTAACCATAGCAACAACACAGGTGAGTGATCAAGGATTCCAAGACCCTCTTTAAATATCACTGGGGCCACACACACACACTCACTCATACTCCCTTCATCTACAAAGCATTGTGCGTGTTAATGCAGTATTTTGGCATAATCTTCATCACCTGGTGACACACATGCGTGTGTTGCTGCCTACAAGCGTGTGTGTGAGAGTGAGGGGTGAGATACTGAGGAGAGAGAGAGGGAGGAGAGGGAGGAGTTGCAGCGAGTCAAGCTGCATTACTGCTGCATTTTCAGGAGTGTGTGTTCCTGTGTGTGGCGTCGCCATGGTTTTGATCGGAACGGCAATCAAATCCGTCCTGAAATATCTGAACAGGACCCGAGGTGAGTCGGTCTGCGTGGTGGACTGGTTTTACTGGGTGCACAAGAACAGAGACGCTGCTCTCTGATTGGCTCTAAGTCGCCCTTACCCTTCAACAGAGGGTAACCGTGGCAACAGCGTAGCTGACAGACTCCAGGGCCCTCGTCAAGGTCCTTGATGTCTCCTCAAAGACCCACTGAGTCTTTGAAGACCGCTGTTACTCTTCAAGGACCAAGTTGATCTCTTCAAGCACCTGGATCACCTATCCTGGAGCTTCTGGTACTGCCGAGGACTATGTGGGTCTTCTCAAGCATCTGGTGCATTTTCCTGGGACCTCGGGGATCTTTAAAGGACCCTTTGGACCCCCTAAACGACCATATGAGTCTTCTCAAGCACCTGGAGCACCTCTTAAGGAACCTCTGGTATCTTTTTGAGGACCCTAGGACCCCTTCATAGAGCATATTGGTATTTTCATGTACCTGGACCACCTTCTTGAACCTCTCAAGTACACTCGGAATACTCAAGGACATATGTGTCTTCTGGAGCACCTGGACCTGTGTTTGATGACTAGTGTTTTGTATTTGATGACTGCTGCTCCTCCAAAATAAAAGCCTTCTAGGGTCACCTTGAACTCTTCGTTCTCTCTCTCTCTCTCTCTCTCTCTCTCTGCAGCAGGTGACCCGGACAGCAAGTGGTCTGTTCACTACACTACCCAGAAGCCCCAGCGGGGTCTGTTCTTCATCCCTGCTAATGACCTGCAAGGTCAGTTGTCACCCGGGAGCAGCCGCTCAGGTGAAGACACAAATGCAAATAATTTTATTAGGAGTATTAATTGTAGTAGATTATTCATTAAAGCAAGATTAATCTGCTGTTAGTTCCCAATCTAAAGCTTATTGTGCTTCTGTTCTCTTACATGTGTGTGCATAGCATGTAGCACGCTGACTCAACACGGCTGCAGCCGACCACATAGCCCTCCGACCCCCCCCCCTTTCCTTTCCTCTTCTGGCCTCGACCAATCGGAGGGCAGCACGGCACGCAGAGGTTGGAAGGACAAAAGCAGGAGGATGGTGAGTCACACACACAGTGTTGCCTTATGAATATTCATAAGGCTGAACAGATGAATACACCTGATATAAAGTACGTTATCCATGTATTAGAGGAAGTATTCAGATCCTTTACTGTAAGTAATAAAGAGTTGTTCTGCTGCTCTCCGCTGACCAGAGCGACATTATTATTTATTCTGATTATTTACATGTTTTATTCTTCTTTTGGTTTTCATCCTCTCAGACGTCAACAATCTTCGACTTTCTCGCTCAGTCGTGTTTCTCAGTTTGTTTCAAAGTTTCAGTTTGGAGGAGAAAGGTAAACAAGAACAGAGCTAAAGTAGAATAGAGCTAGACTAGAGTAGAATGGAGGTAAACCAAAGAGAATAGAGTTGGACTAAAGTAAAATAGAGCTAGACTCAAGTAGAACAGAGCTAGACTAAATTTGCGTAGAGCTTGATTAGAGTAGAATGAAGCTATACTAATGTAGAATAGAGCTTGACTAAATAGACAAGACTAGAACACATTACACTAGTCTAGATTTAAATTAAGGACCAAGTTGAACTGGATCAAACCGGACAAGACTCAACTAGGACTATAAAAAGCTGCTTTGTCTCCTCAGTCCTCAGCTTTCTCAGAAGAAGACGAACAGTTCGTCTTGACCAACACTCAACCTTTGACCCCACTGTTTCTGAACCACGTCCCCCGCGCCGCATGTTGGGAGGTCTTTGGCTCGGTGGGCGAGCCGTCAGCCAATCGAGAGGCGGAGCAATTAGTCGACCAGGAGGCGGAGGAAAAGATCCCACACCTTCCAACACCAGAGGAGAGGATGAGGAAGCAGGCACAGATGGTTGCCGCGGATATTGTCCTGATCAATATATCAGGTGGGGGACTAGACTACAGACTCTGGCTACAGATTCAGGTCACAGACTCCAGACGAAGACGAAGAATGAGAAAGTATCTTTTATTAATCCCTATGGGAAAATTATTCTCTGTAATTAACCCCTTCAACTGAGTGGGAGCAGTGTGCTGCTAGAGGCGCCCGGGGAGCATTTAGGGGTTAGGTTTCTTGCTCACACTTCCACATGGGACATGGAGCATCCAGGGTTTGAACCATTAACCCTGCAGTCACCATCTCTACTCCATGCACAACGGGTTTGAGGCTACAACCTCAAGCTACAGACTCTTGAATCTTTGTCTGTCTGTTTTTTTCAGGAGAGAGTTTTGATCGTCAGGCCAGTTTTAGAAAAGTTGCCTCTAAAACCGACTCATTTTCCCGGCGACCCTGCAACCTGAACCGCCACGAGACGGTTACTGGCATACTTGATGATGTCATCCGTGACCTGGGTATAAACTTGGAATCTTCATCGCTTTTGTTACCTACATCTCTGCTGTGTGTTTGGTTCATCTCCTCTGTTATTGACATGTGCCACTCCAGACTCGCTTTCGGAATCGATGGTTCTTCGGGATCAGTTCTCCACTGTTGGTCAACCTGTCGCCTCCTCCTCCTTGCAGCAGAGTTTAAAGACTGCAGAGGAAGGGCCTTCATTGGTAAGGAGGATCCGAGCCCCCAGAAGTGGAGGGCTGTCCAGCCTCATGGCCTCACTCACATCCGGCCAACCTGTCGACTCCTCCTCAGAACTTCACGGCCCGGTGGTTGCCTCCGCTCTGACCTCCGAGGCCTCCTACAGGACACACAGCACCTCCTCGACCTGTATTCAGGTCAGTGAAGGAGAAACCATGGTCACCAGTATCTCTGTAACTAAAATTCTTCAGGTGCATTCTTCTTTTTCCTTCAGGATCTTCATGGTTTCTCCAGCGACCTCCAGCCCATGCTGCCCTTGGATCCCAAAGCCAGAGTCATCTCCCAGTCCCCTTGTTCCTCCTCTTGCTCCTTCCCTTGCTCCCCCACCCCCTCCTGCCTCACCAGCACTCCCAGCCGAGCCCCCCAATCGGAAGGGTCTTACCCCAGCAATATCCCCCCGAATGAGGCTCATCCCAGTTCCTCCTCCTACTACCTCTCCTCTTCTTCAATCTCACAGTCTCAGTTTAGCCTCCAGGCTCTGGACCAGACCCCTCCCTGGCAGGACCCCAGAAACTCCCAGGAGGGTCAGAACCACCGGACCTCCTCCTCTCTGAACGCAACGTTGTCTTCCTCCTTCCCTTGCTCTCGTTCAGCCGGCCGCAGCATCTCGCTACGCAAGTCAACCAGACCGCCGCCGCCACCGCTACGTTCAGACTCTCTGAGGCGCCGGCCGGGTCGCGTCAAACCTCCCCGCTCATCTTCCTCCTGTCTCCGGTCTGAGGGGAGCCCCCCCAATGACCAAACCATCCGGTGCGGGCTCTCACCCAAGACCTTCCACGACCCCTGGGTGCCTCGGGGAACACAAAGCGCCGCCAGAGCAGCTTTCAACTGTGGGACTGTGACAACCTTTGAACCGCTTACTCGGAATGCCAGACGGACACAGCTGAGTGTTCTTCACTAAGCTCTGCCCAGTCGCAGACCGTGCCCAAATCACATGTCTTTACCGTCAAGCCCCACCCACTCTCCCATTCCTCAGATTCAGATGAGGAGGGGATGAGATTCAACCCCAAACCACCACCAGCATCCTCCTCAGTGACTGAGCTTCAGCGCCTCACCTCACCTTCCAGCGGCTACTCCACCCAGTCCAACACTCCCACTCCTGGCACTCCCATCTCCTCCCCCTTTTACCCCCCCTCTCCCGGAGCCTTCGCCCTCCCCCCTGTCTCCACCTCTGTGTGTAGGGCAACGTCTCGGGGCGAAGGGAAGCCAAAGCCTCCAGTGCCTTTAAGGAAGTCCTCCCTTGTCTCCTCCCGCGCCTCCTCATATTCCTCCACCTACTCCCTATCCTCTTGCACCTCCTTAGACTCTTCCAAGCTTCCTCTTCCTCCTTCTCTTCCGCAGTGTTTCTCTCCTTTGCCTTCGGTCTTCTCCTCCCACACACGCATGTGTCCTCCTCCGGCCCCTCCTCTTCCTAGAGCAAGCTTGCCTTCTTACTCCTTCACCAAACTCTTTGCTTCTCCCCCTCTTCCTTCATCTTCATCTCATCCTCCTCTCCCAACTCCCCCACCTCTCCCACCCTCTTCCCTTCCTCTGCCACCTCCTTCTCCATCTTCATCTTTTCCACCTCCTTATTGCCTACCCTCATCCCTCCCTCTACCTCCCCCACCTCCTCCTCCATCTTTATCTCTTCCTCCTCCACCTCCTCCTTTCATACCATTATCCGTCCCTCTACCTCTTTCTCCAGCCACATCTCTTCCTCCTCCCCCACCTCCTCCTCTCCCACCATCCTCTCGCCCCCCACCTCCCCCCTACTCCTACGCCATCAGGCATATGTCCCATCTTAATGTTTCTTCATCAACTAACTTCCCTCCACCTCCTGTACCTGCATTCTCAGATTTCTTTGCGCTGCCATTGGCTGACCTTTCACCCCTACCAGCACCTCCTCCCCTTTCACCTGTATCTAAGCCGCCTTTTAACGCTCCTCCGCCGAGCTGTGAGCCCCTGAAGAACTGGCCAAGGGTGAGAGGGAACAGGATTCGCTTCGGTCAGGATAAGTTGGGCCGGCACTTTAAACCCAGGCTATCGATGCTACTCAGCCTTGGACAGATATTGCTAACCCAGGTAATGCTAACCCTGCAAATACCATCCATGCAGGTAGAGAAGCTTTTAGAGATAGCGCTGTGTTGGCAAACGTTGCACTTGGTAGTAGCAAAGCTAGTCCTTTAATAGATAATGTTAATGCTATCTTGGCATCCGAATGTAACTACTGCAGCCAAACATATTGTAACGTTACACAGGGCTTTCCAGCTAGCACCGCTAACAGGAGAACCTCTGTGCCCCAGCCGATCAATAACAAAACTGAATCTATTGGTTGCAATGAACCAGGGAGGATGGAATCCATAATTTATGCTTCACTATTAAGTCCCGAGAAAAAACAGAAGAACTCGACAACCCAACATCCGTCTTTACAACAGCAGATGACAGCTCCGGTGTTTGTCGATGCTAAGCTATCTGAGGCTATGAGGAAACTGGGAAACGCAGACGCTGCTTATTGGACCTTTTCTGGAACAAGAGAAGAAGATGGAACGTTACTTCTGGAGAGCAGAGAGGAATCGATAGAGTGGAGCGATGTTTCTACATCATTCAGTGAGATAAATAATGGGGTTAGCTGGACAGTTCGCCCGGTTGGACTCCACCCCCAAGAGAAGCCCAAGCGGTGCATCTTGGGAAGAGGACAGAGGAGCTGTAGACAAATCACAGCGTCTTCTCCCAGGCTCATCAGCCAAATACAGCTTTCTGCCGATTCCCTCTGCTCACCTTCAACCCACCGCACTCGTTTGCCACAGCACCTGGCCCACACAGCTTTACCTGTGAACACATCCCCTGATGATATCCCCACGTGCTCATCTGTCTGTTGTCCTTGCAGACAGAAGCCACCGGTTCTTAACAACAAGCCAAATCTCTCACCCAAAACCCTCAACCAACTCTTTGGGATCCCGTGTTTGACGGACACTACAAGCTCTACAAGAACCATGGGTACCTTGGAGTACCCTGGAACACTGGGAACTAGGGGAAGCATGGAGAACAGTAGCACCCTGGGAAGCATTGGCACCTATGGGACCGGTGGATCCTCAGAGACCAGTAGCACCATGGGGACCATGGATATCTATCGGAAACGTGGACCTTCAGAGAAAAATAGCACCCTGGGGATCACAGATCCCTGGATTATCAACACAATTTCTGACCCAGAAGCAGAGGCTTTGCTCTACACAAGCTTGATGACTGAAGACAAAGACGAGAAGGAGACGGTGGGCAAGAGAGGGATGGAGTCACCAATGATGATGACAATAATGTCCACCAGGAAAAAAAAGAAGGCCAGGAGGAGGAGGAGAAGCTCAGGCAGGCCCCTGCTGATGACGTCATCCCCAAGGGCCTCCTCCTCCTCGTCTTCCACACCCTCCTCGTCTCCATCTTCATCTGGAGACGAAGGAGACGTGAATGAGAAAACCCGTTGGAGGACGAGGACCATGGCACGCAACCACAAGAGCTCCTGTGCAGGGATTGGTTGGAGCAGGTCACCCCCCAAAAACCATCTCGGGGCGGAAGGGTTGCTGCGAGATCTTCAGATCCACGAGGAAGCAGAGAGAGAGCGAGGAAACAAGGAAACAGAGAAGAGGAAGGAATTACGAGGTAAGAGGGATTTACTGAGTCCTGATTACCCACATTCAGCATCACCACATTTAAAGGGCCATTACATATGTAGTATATGTACTGTATACTCTATATGTTTTAGCTTGTATTAGTTTGTACATAGTATACGTAGTAGTATTTAATATATCTAGTATAAATAGTAGTGTTTACAAAATGTATTAGTATGTATTATACGTAGTATATGTAGTAGTTTGAAGTATACAGTATATGGTATATGTATTATATGTCATTTGTATGTACCATATGTAGTAGACATAGTTGTGTGAAGTATGTGTATACTGTTTTTGGATGTATCTACTTGTATTATGTAGTATATGCAATATATGTAGTATAAGTAGCAGTGTGTGGTGTACATGGTATACTTTGTTTCTCCAGAGGATCACAAGTTTGAGTCCAGTCGAATACAAACCACCGAGGATCTGTTCAAGGTCATCCACAGGTAGGACACACACTACACGCACAACACACTACATACCGGCACCGACCAATCAGCCTCCTCTCACATGTCTGCTCGACTCCTCTCCCTGTGTCTGTGAAGCAGTGCATTGTGGGAAGGCACAGCGTGAATGTCCAGGTAATGCAGGTAAAGATTCTATTTTAACTAGATCTATAACCGTGTGTTCTCCCTTGTTACCACACCTTCTTCTTCTTCAGCGCCATCTAGTGTTCAGAATTTGTATCCATCTAACATAACTATGTGCCTACAAGAAGACAATACAATTTCACTCTTACAATAAGAAACGATTGAAGTTTCCTTTCTCCTTGTCCCCAAACCTTCTTCCCCAAACAGCAAGCGTCCAGGTCTCCCAAAGGGAAGCTTCCTGTTTCCTTTTCCAGTCCGACTAACTAAAGAGAAAGTGTCCTTGTCTCCTAGCTGCCTTCCTCCCTAACCTTTGACCTTTGAAGTACCCTCACGGCTCACTTTCCTTTGAATTGTCCTTAGCTCCTCATGTTCTCGTCCCCTTGTGTCTCAGATCCAAGAGGAAGATGTTCGGAAGGCGAGATTCAGAAGACAACCGACATCTAACTCCCTCCTCCTCCCTCACCGCCCCTCGGCCTCCTCTCTCCAGGCCTACCGCGGCTCCCAGAGGTCAAAGGTCAGGCAAGAGCGAGAGCTTCAAGCTCCTTTTGCTGAGGAAAAGGAGTCGGTGGGATTCCTCTTCTCGGAAATCGGCTGTTGAGCGACTTTGCAAACTTGCTTCTTCTGAGACTCCTGCTGACCTCCAAAGGGCGACGCCCACAGCAATGACTACATCAATGATGTCACCGATGACACTGCCGGGTACACACAACCTTAATGGCCTTTTTACTCAGAGCCAGAACTTCTCCATGATCGGGTTTGGATGGGGAGAGAGAGTTCAGAAGCAGAATCACCTCCTTTTCAGCTCCTCCTCCTCTAACTCCTCCCACCTCCTCTTCCTCTCCTCATCCTCGCAGCCTCGTTCCCTCAATCCCCCCTGCTCTTCCTGCCGCTGCTGCCTGAAGGCCACCCCGGAGATGAAGAAACGAGGGGGGAAAAGGAAGAGAACGATGTTTTTATGGAGACCGCAGGAAGCGAAGGAGAAAATCTTAACTGACTGTGACAATGTCTTCTACTGATCCGGTCTCATGTCCCACAGCAGCAGAAGACCAGACTTGACTCAACTGGACTGGACTAAACCTAACTTAACTTAACAAGACTTGACTAACCCGAATGAAATCCAGCAGATTGGAGTAACACAGAAGTGGACTCAACTAGACCACTCTAAACCCTACCCAACTAAACTGGAGCCCACCACGTCGGACTCGACCTGTAACTCAAACTTACAGTTGAAACTACCGATCTTTATGAACTTGTATTTTTGACTTTAGCTTGAATAATCTTTGTTGATACTTAGTTTTAAGTGAATGAATCAGAATTTGTGGTTCTTTGTCCGTGTCTTCTGTCTGACCAATTGGGAGAGAATGTTACCATTGACAATTACAATATAGGGAATGTTATTAAGTATTTTTTTAATTTAAATTGTTGTTTTTAAAGCTAGAAACAATAAGTGATTTACATTGTACCATTTGAGTCTCCACGGTAATGAGTTGATCTTTGTAAACAAAGTGGTGGACAGAAAGATAAATAAATATTATAGTTGAAAACAGTGGCGGTTGGTGACATTTTGTTTTTGTTAGGACCAACCAATCAGCAAACATCCCCATATGGGTCAATGCATAAAAAGGTATCAAACATGCATCATTGCTTTGCAGTTAACTATTTCACATTTGTTCCAACGGTTTAACATTATAAGGACATGTTATTCATACAATTCAGTATATTAATTAATATATATGTCAATACATAATCACACATATTGAAATTCATTAATCGTGATTAAAAGTGTTTTTTCTTTTTAAAGACTAAATCTTATAAATTAATGAGTAATCACTTTTGAAAGTGTGTATATTAGACACTGTTGTTTAATTGTATTTTAAACACAAACTCCACACATGTGATCGTGTTAGAGGTGGAACATGTTGAACTAGCGACTCTTCCTGTTGTCCTCGTGCACTTTGCATTTAACTGTCCATCGTTTGACGGGTTTGAAGTGCCAACAACGCCCCATTTAGCAGGACGTTTTCAAGGGTCCTCTGCAGGGTAGATGTTGAGATGGAAGTAGCCTAGCAGCAAGCTTAGCTTAGCAGTGCGTAAAGTGGTCTGTTTGACATGATATATATATATATATATATATATCATGTCAAACAGACCACTTTATATCTCTATATATATATATATATATATAGATGCCCCTATGAAGCTAGGGAAACCCAATCCGTGTGTTGAGGAAAGACCAACTTAAAAGCCCCACAAAACTTCAGTCAATTATTTTGGATCAAATGTGCCTGTTTTTATCCAGCTCCTCATTGTGTTCTCTCACTGCCAGCCGGTGTCTGTCGCAGCTGAGCAGCGACGTTAACTTTCCCTATTACGGCGAGTGTGACAGTTATCCATGTGTGTTCTTGTGTTCTTATTTTTCTTCCTCCTTATTTGCTTCATGTCCCTTACTCCCTCTTTCTATGCTGGATCCGTCCCGGTTGATTTAAAAAGCAAGCATGGGAAGCAAAATACGGCGTACGACTGCAGCTAGCCAAACCTTCCGGGTGTAGCAGTCTCTACAGAAGCTTTGCATGTGCGACAGTCGACAGTCCGTTGACTGATTGTGAGGTCAGTTTGATTCGGGTCCAGTTGTTTTACCTCTAGTTTCTCCTACTAAGCTCTTCTATCAAACGGGTCTTGGAGGAGAGATTCTACCGAGGCGCGACTAGCCGTGATGAGAGCGCAGCCTGGGGCCAGACCTACGACCATTCATCTGTAATCAGGAATTGGCTAAACTGCCTCTTAGACCTGCCTCCTTTGGGCCTGGCCAGCTGGGAGTTGTTTTGTTGTGGCTCAAACTGTGATCCAGCCCTCACTGGTTGAAAACGAATCAACCAAAGCTTTTCAATTAAAATAAATCAAATATGAAAAATATCTCTTTATATATATCTCGCAAGAACAAGTAGGCTACACATAGAAGTACCACAGGTACAAGTACAGTTACAGGTCACTACAACTACTACAGGTACAGTCCCAGGTACAGGTACACATACAGGTACAGATACAGGTATAAATACTAGAAGTACAGGCTAAATACAGGCAGTCCTCTTAATGGTTTATATCCTGTCTATTGATCCGGTCTCTAGTCCCTGACGTGGCCCCCGGGGGAGGGGAGGGGGGAGTGCGTTAGCCCACTGAATGCACTCTGTTGTCCTACTCGTAGACACTGATCCGGTCATGAGACTCTGTTTGCTACTCCTGAAGCATGTGATAGACAGAGAGAGAAGAAGAGGAAGAGAAGATGGAGGACTGGTGTCGCTGGGTCAGGGAGACCCGGTGGTGGGTGAAGAGGTGCGGCTGTAGTGTGGTCGTAGATGATGATGATGATGAGGAGAGAGGAAGGAAGGAGGAAGAAGAAGACGAAGAAGAAAACAAGGTGAAGATGGAGGAGCTCAGCTTGAGAAAGAGCAGTTCAACCTCCCTCCCTCCTGCTGAGGTATTTTACTAAACTGACTACTTCTGTTTGAGCAGTAGTACTCCTCGTTAAGTAACATTAATCCTTCTTAAGTAACTGTACTTGCGTTTGAGTAACTCTTAGTAACTTTAGGTAACAAAACTCCTCTTTGAATAACTACCTTTTATTTATCAGTGCCTACTCTTGGAGTATCCATACTCCTCTTTATACTTTGTACTCTGTATGTATCAGTACTCACTCTCTGAGTAACAGTACTGTAACTTTAAGTAACATAACTCTTTAAGGAACAGTATACTCCGCTTTGATTAACACTTCTCTTTGAGTAACAGTACTCTTCATATATTAGTACCTACTCTCAACAACTCTTAACAGTACTCCTCTTTGAGTAACATAACGCTTCAAGGAACAGTGTACTCTGAGTATCAGTACTCTCTGAGTAACAGTACTCTACCTCTTCCCTGTGGTTACTTCAGTATTTTATATTATGTTTTAGTAGAGAAGATCCTTCTAATCTGGTCTCTATATTCCAGCTGGATCCGGTCCGGTCCTGCCCCCCCAACTCCGGGGCTCAGCCCCACTGGTTCCACACCCTGCAGGTCCGGCGGTCCTCGCAGCGAGGACGCAGCAACAGCGACCCGCTGGGGGGGCAGCGCCTCCAGGACGACTTCACATGGGTAAGAACAACCCTGCCTACCCAAAACACAGATATGAAATATAAACGTGATGTTTGTCCTCCGCTCAGAAACCAGGTCTTCAGTTTGGAAATGCTCATTCTTACCTGAGTCTGGAAAAGCTGGGAGAAGGAGCGTACGCCTCTGTGTACAAAGGCATCAGCAGGTACTTATCCACGCAACAGAGTACTCTGCTGTGGTTAGTACTATGTGGAATATTATGCTGTGGCTAGTACCATGTGGAGTATGTGGTGTACTTGTGTTAAGGATCAATGGGCAGTTGGTGGCTCTGAAGGAGATTCGTATGAAGACTGAGGAGGGGGTCCCATTCACCGCCATCAGGGAAGGTAGAGAAACACACAAAGAGAAACACCTAGAGACTCTATACACACCCATAGAGACACACATCGACACACAAATACTGCTTCAAAGTGGAAATAGGAATAAATGATATACAGTTTATATTTAAGGTGGTTTTGTTAATCATGTTTAATGTTTGTCCCTGTGTGTGTATATATGTGTCTATGTATGTATATGTACATGTGTGTGTGTGTTTGTCTCTGTATGGTTGTGTTCGTGTATGTGTTTGTGTATGCATGTGTATTTGTGTATATATGAATGTGTGTTTTATGTGTGTATGTCTCTCTGTGTGTGTTTAGCGTCTCTCCTCAAAGCTCTTAAACACGCTAACATTGTTGTCCTCCACGACATCGTCCATACTAGAGAGACTCTGACTTTGGTCTTTGAATATGTGGTAAGAAATAAATGAATACTCGTTCATTCATTCATTAAAGGTCTCATGAAATATAAAACCATTAAAGTATGGTTCTTCTTCTTTTGTGTTGCAGCAGACAGACCTGGCCCAGTACCTGAGCCAGCACCCAGGAGGACTTCACTCCTACAACATCCGGGTCCGTTCACACATGAAGAGGGACTCCTCTGGTCCCATAGAAGTCTATGATAAAGTGACTATGTCGCGACGAGCTATAGTAGTTTGAGTGAGGAAGACAACTTCCTTAAGAGTAGGACTTACAGCTACAAGGGCGAGTCGTATTATGCCTATTTCTTAAGTCGTGCGTTTTGTTTTAGTCACTGTGTATCTCATCGTTATTAGCGAGTGAGTTCTAATATCGATCATATTCCTTAAGGTTTTTTAGCTGACTCGTATTTGTTCGGTACACACAGTATTGCTTATCTTCCCCCCAATATCTAACGCGGATGATGGTGAAGTAGGTTGTTAAGACGATACATTCGTGACACTCATTCTAACACTTTATTGAGTTTAAGGAACCTTTTGATTAAGTTCTCACCAGGACCTACGTATATGTTTGACCTGTAACCCCTCCGTCGAGTGAGCTCGTCCTTACATACCGATTAGGTCCCTAATGCCTTGGGAGATGACTGGTACCTCTACGTATCACGATAAGGGCACTCACCGGTGTCTGCAGGTTTCGAAGCGGTGTTCTTGTCATTCAGCCCCTGAAAGGAGGCCTCTCAGTGGAAAGGAATCCCCCGGAAACAAATGGTCTTTTGTTCCCGAAAAAGGAGAATTTTTATTTATATAAAAAAGCGAAAAGGTTTACAACAATTGAATAGAAAAATAAAAGCAGTTATATCGTTCAAACCCTAAAGGTTAAAAGAGCTAGACTCTCCGTCTTCGTGTGTGAGCAAGAAACAAGAAGTAGGCGCGTTTTTCCCTCTACTTACTTTTTTTCTGTTAAAACATCTTGGCTTATATACTGTCTTTTGCAGAAGCAATGTGCGTCACTGGGGTTTATCTTGCGTCGATCACAGTCTCGGTATGGAAACTTGATCAAAGCATGTTCGTGCGTCCGTTGCGCTACTAAGCGCTTTTCAGGAAGACGTTTTCACACCTTAAAGCAGAACCGAAAAACGGCTTCACACTTCAAGGCGGGTTCATGGAACGGTCAAGACACAATTTGCGTTATCAGGTTATCTACGGTCATCTCTATACAGGGAAACAGCTTTGCATATCAAATGGAAACATCTTTATCTGGTATTCTGGTGTTACTAGTGATAACACCACTGAGGTGCAGGACTCTTGGTGCACAAAGAAAAGCATTATGTTTTTGTAAGCATTTTTAGTTTTACACAGTATCCGGCTATACAACAACTACTTCTCTCTTGACTTATTCCCTCAGTAAGCATCAGTTTATGGTCTCGATCTCTGCGTTCAAGTCTTCTCAATACAGCATGATGTTCATTTAGTTAACAGATCATAAAGCAGGGGATGCTTTAGGCCGGGACCACTTTAATTGACATGTCTCTAATAGAGCACAAAACAGCTTTAGGGCAGGGCTACAGGCTACTTGACAGATCTCGTTGTATTTGGGGTGTTTAACTTGTTGATGTTCTTTTAGCTCTTTATGTTCCAGCTGCTCCGAGCTCTTTGCTTCATTCACAGCCGGAGGATCCTGCACCGAGACCTGAAGCCTCACAACCTGCTCATTAGCTACCTGGGAGAACTCAAGATGGCTGACTTTGGTAGGGAGGACACTGTCTCTTTAAGATGTGTTAAGGTGACACTGTCTCTTTAAGATGCATTAAGATGACACTGTCGCTTTAAGATGTATTGAGACAACACTGTCGCTTTAAGATGTTTAAGCTGACACTGTCCTTTTAAGACGAGGAGTAGCTCTTTCCTCTGTTCTGGGTCTGGTTCAGGTCTGGCTCGGTCCAAGTCCGTCCCCTGTCAGACCTTCTCCTCTGATGTAGTGACGCTGTGGTACCGCCCCCCCGACGTCCTGCTGGGGTCCACAGATTACTCTACTGCTCTGGACATCTGGTGAGTCCTGAGACACTACACTGCAATAGAACTAGTAGTATTGTCAATGCTAGTAAAGGTTCGTGGATTTGAATCATGGGAGCTGTCTTCATAAATAAAGCTGTGGGTATAAATCATAGATATATCTAAAGGATAGATGTCTTACGGCGGAGTCTAGAACGTCCGCACGTGGCGGCCATCTTTCCTCAGTCAGCTCGCACAGTAGTAGTACTGTCAATGCTAGTAATAACAGTAATGCTGGTATTTGAATGAGAAGATCTGTCTTTATAAATAAAGTTGTGTGTTTGAATGAGAGGATCTGTCTTTATGGATATGGTTACTGTATGTGTATGACTGAGGGGCCCTGTCTTTATGAATAAAGTTGTGCTTTTTCTAATCAGGGAAGCTGTCTTTATAAATAGAGTTTTGTGTGCTTGAATCAGGGCAGCGGGGTGTATCTTCGTTGAGATGCTTCAGGGGGCGCCGGCGTTCCCGGGTATCACCAATGAGTTCGAGCAGTTACAAAAGATCTGGACGGTGAGTCCAAAGCTCATTATATTATAGTATATTAAAGTATTGATGATTGATGATGCTCTATTGATTATTATATTATGTATGTTATTCACGATTATATGAATTATATTATGGTTTGTAATTGATGGTATATTATATTGTGGTTATAATTATATAACTATATTTAGAAGTCTTCATAAGTGACTATATATTTGTATTAATGTCTTAGGCATATTTGTTGGATTAACATTAGTAAGTAAGCACGTGAAGCTGGGGAAACATGTCTCAGCCTCTCGGACCATCAGCACCGGTTCCCCCCAAGGCTGCGTTCTCTCCCCTCTGCTCTTCTCCCTGTACACCAACAGCTGCACCTCCAGCCACCAGTCCGTCAAGCTCCTGAAGTTTGCGGATGACACCACCCTCATTGGACTGATCTCTGGTGGGGACGAGTCCGCCTACAGGTGGAGTCTGACCATCTGGTGTCGTGGTGCAGTCAGAACAACCTGGAGCTCAACGCTCTAAAGACAGTGGAGATGGTTGTGGATTTTCAGTCTAAGTCCCACTCTCCCCCATCATCCTAGGTGACTCCTCTGTCACCACTGTGGATTCATTCCGTTTCCTGGGCTCCATCATCACCCAGGACCTCAAGTGGGAGTTGAACATCAGCTCCATCACCAAGAAGGCTCAGCAGAGGTTGTTCTTCCTGAGGCAGCTGAAGAAAGTCAACCTGCCAAAGACGATGATGGTCCACTTCTACACGGCCATCATGGAGTCCGTCCTCTGCTCCTCCATCACCGTCTGGTACGCTGCAGCCACAGCCAAGGACAAGGGCAGGCTGCAGCGTGTCCTCCGCTCTGCAGAGAGGGTGATCGGCTGCAATCTGCCGTCCCTGCAGGACTCGTTCGCTTCCAGGTCTCTGAAGCAGCTACAAAGATGGTAGCCGACTCCTCTCACCCCGGACAAAACCTGTTTGTGCCCCTTCCATCTGGCAGGAGGCTGAGGTCCATCAGGACTAAGACCTCCGGCCACACCAACAGTTTCACTTTCTCTCTCACTGCACACGTCACTTTCACTTGTCACTTTCTGTTCGCTGATGCACTTTATTTTTTAAATTTAAATATTTTTTACTTTTAACTTTTATTCCTTTATTATTAAACTAACCCATAGCATTATTGTCACGGTGTGGTTCACTTCATGTTATATTTTGTAGTTTTCTGCCACTTGTGTCCCCGGGTAACTTCACTTCCTGCCTTGTCCCGTTGTCCCCTGTGATTGTCTAATAGTTTCCACCTGTGTCCAATCACCTGCACCTCCCTTGTGTATTTAAGCCGTGTGTCTCCTGGGTCACTTGTCGCGTCATTGTCTTTTGCCACGCATGTCCTGTTCTTGTCTTTCGCCTCCGTAGGTTCATGCCTGTGTGTTTTTGCCCCTAGGCCTTTTGGATTTTGGACCTTTTGATTATTAAAGTCTTTTGTTTTGGAAAAGTCTGCGTTTGAGTCCTGCCTTCCACCCTCAACCCGGACAGAATCTGTCAGGGGGTGAGGGTGGAAGGCAGGACTCAAACGCAGACTTGCAGAAAACAAAAGACTTTAATAGTCAAAGCTCAAAAAACACAGGAACCGGGGGCAAAAACACACAGGCATGAACCTTAAATACACAAGGGAGGTGCAGGTGATTGGACACAGGTGGAAACTATTAGACAATCACAGGGGACAACGGGACAAGGCAGGAAGTGAAGTTACCCGGGGACACAAGTGGCAGAAAACTACAAAATATAACATGAAGTGAACCACACCGTGACATTATATTTTATTTGATTCCTTGTGCACTGTTGTCTTGTTGTCCATTGTCGTACTGTCTGCGGTTATGCACCAACCGCCAAGTCAGATTCCTTGTATGTCTGACACATTATGGCAATAAATGTTTATAAATTATATTGTGCTTTAATTAGACAGCATTAAGAGGTTGATAATGTGTTGTGTATATGTATATATATACTAATATTACTTAATAATAATAATAATATGTTGTTGTTTAGGTGCTGGGCGTTCCATCTGAGAACAGTTGGCCTGGAGTCAGCCAGTTTCCCAACTATAAATTGGGTGAGTTAACTTCAAATATATCTTTTACAATAATCAATTTACTTTAAATAAATCATTTGTTATCCGTAAGAGTAAACCATTTTAACCCTTTTCAATCAAACCTTGATCATTTTTTTGTTTTTTTGCTTCAAATATCTTTTATTTTTGTAATTCCCTCAAAACAATTATACATATTGTACAGGTTTCCCCCCACCATTCTACCAGGGGAGTACCCCTTTTTTATTTCCAGAGTCAGGAGGCCATATGAAATTACAATATAACAAAAGTACAATGCCGTACGAAAGCATCAAGACAGCGTTATAATAGTATTAAATTAGGGGTGTAACGATTCATTTTAACAACGATTCGATTCGAATTACGATTCATGGTTGCCGATTCGATTCATGGACGATCTGGGTTTATTTAGAACGATTCGATTCGATTCGATTCAGTGACTTGAAATCAATTCAGTAACTTTACTGGACAGTGCAGGCAAAGTTTCTGAGATCCCTGTTGTTTCTTGTAAGGAAATCAGATTTAAATTAATTATTATATTATAAACATATTATAAACAAGCAAACAACAATTAATGGCAAATGTATTAACCTTTTATTTGAATCAAGTGCCATTTTCAATGTAAACATCACACAATAATTACACAATGTTTGGATCAATTTACAGAACCCCGGATTTTCAACCACATCGTAGGGTCGCACGTCTTTACAGATAAACTTGTTACTGTGATGTTGAGTTTGGTGCTGGCGAGGCCTGAGGTGTCTGCAGAGCTGAGTTACCTGCTGCTGCTGCAGCGGTGACGCTGCTAGAGGTCCTGACTGTCGCCGTTGTTTAGTCCCACGGCGCCTAAGTAGACGGCCGGAAAGATTCGTCGTGTTTCTGTGGTTTTTTATTTGGCTTCTACATATTCTACAAACAGCAACCGACTTATTTAGAACACCTCCGTGTTTGCAGAAGCCAAAATGTTTCCACTGGATCGATAAGTTGGTTTGTAAATGTCTCGCTCGCAGTCGTCTCCTCCACGCTGTGTTTTGTTGTTGTTCAGAGTTTCGTGCGGCTGCCGCTGCGTACTGATGACGTCACAGACAGACTGAATCCAGTAACGTTTAACGTGTCTAAAGTGCTAAAAAACAAACAAACAAACACACATCCACACAGTTTTTGTACTTAAATCCAATGTGCAGTCTCCAAGTATCGATACAATCGATTATTTACCATTTCAATCGATTTGTAATCGAAATATGTCGTCCAGAATGCCGATTTGCGGAGCACAGATCGATTCAGTTGGATCGCAGGAATATTAATCGATTAATCGATTCAGAGGATGAATCGTTATGCCCCTATATTATATATATTATTTTTATAATAATAGAAAGTTCCAAAAACAAACATTTGTTATATGTTTCCACAGAAAAGAAGAATACCTTGTGTCACTCGAATTGATTTATTTAAGGCCTTGATGATTACATTCACAGGTTAATTTAATTGACATTTTGATTAGTAGATTAAATTGCTAAAGACAGCATGAAGCTGCACCACAAGTGGGCTTTATAGAGTGGAGTAGAGTAGCCTCTATGAGAGAGCTCTTTAACATCATCTGTGCACCTATGGAACTTACGAGCCAGCTTATTGGCTTGTGCATGCAGTTTACAACACTGGCGCTGCACATCATCATCTATAAAGAGCAGGTGACAGTATCCCCGCTAAGTTAACTCTTAACTCAGGTAACCCCCCAATGTAGTTTTAGGTTGAGCTATACAAGAAATACTTTAAGTGCTCCTGTGAAAATCGAATGCTGCTGTAAAAAGCACCTTATTTAAAGTGTTTGCATTAATAAAAGTGTGCAATACACTACTTTTGAATTCATTATTTCATTCATTGCAATTAATCATGATTTATTTTCATTTTTATCATTGCCCATCACTAGTATAAATATAATATTAAATGTATATAATATATTTATATATCAATAAATAAATACATTTTACTTTGGTTGTTTTTCTCTCCAGATCAATTTATTTTCTGCGAGGCGAAGCCGTTGAGAAACGTTTGGAAAAGGTACTAAGGAAAAGGGTTATTTCTATCCTACTGTTAGCTCAGCGATGGTAATGCAGAACACCTTTATGTTATCATGTTAGCACGTTATGATGTAGCCTACTAATTCTAGTAAGTAGTATGCTAGCATACTAGCAGGAAGTCTACTGTTGCTTAATTAAGTCCATGCTTAGTTGTTAGCATGTTTGCATGGGGCTGCGGATCAGGTTAAACCAGATCTTCCTCTTCTCTTCCATAAGTCTGTGTTGGTTTGGATCAGGTAAAACCAGGTCCTACTTTAGCCCCTCGTCCGTTAGTCGTGTTGATGTGGAATAGGTTAAACCAGGTCTTCCTTTAGTCGCTCACCCGTTGGTCTGCGTTGATGTGGACCAGGTTGGCCCAGCTCCCTTATAAGACCGAGGATCTGGTACAGAGGATGTTGAAGGTTCTCCCATCGGACCGGATCTCGGCTCAGGATTCCCTGCAGCACCTTTACTTCAGCACGCTACCTTCCCCCATCATGCACCTGAGAGATAGTAAGAGCACCTCTTATACATGCGAATAGAGCTACATGCTGACATAATCAAATACAAGTAGAGCTAAATGCTAACACAACCAGTAGAGCTAGTAGAGATATATGCTAACACATTCACATTGTAATATGAAGTCAAACCAATTGTGAAAAACCTTAAAATCTTCTAATTCTCTTCGATTTTCAGCGGTTTCCATTTTCAAAGTGCCTGGCGTTCAATTGGAGCCTGAGGTGAGAGATGTTTTTAACACCAGACAGAAGGTCAAACCGTTCTGGTGAACGCACAAACCAACCACTGATGAGACGAAGTTAGGGGAAACCAACCCCCCGTCCAACAACCTTATGGGGGAAACAATACCTTCTCTTAGCCTGAGAAGAAAACTGGGGAAACTAAACCCTCCTCCATCAACTTGATCGGACAAACTGAGGGAAATCAAACCTTGATCTATTCATCTGAGGGATATACGGAGGGAACAAATATTCCGCCATGATATTCATGAACCCATGTCCCGTTAGCATTTGTTAGCATTGGTTAGCATTGTTGATTTATTCATGAGCGTTCCCCTGGTGCCCTACGTGAATAATTACTGAATCTTACTGTTGACAAGCTGCCAAATGAAATAATCTTTGTCATGTTAATGTTTGTGTTTCTTAATGTTGTTTTAGTATAATGCCATACTGATAACGTTAAATTTTATGAACTTTAAAACCCTCAAACCGTCATTACCTTCATTTTTTATTCCCTAGCTTAGCTTCCACGCCTGGATGGAAGGACTCAGCTTGTACTACTAAGCTTGTTATCTTTACATGCTAGTATTAGCCTTTACTCTTAGCTTCCACACAGCTGTCATGGATGGAAAGACTCAGTTTGTAAACTAGGTAGCTTGAAATGTCTACCATAAGAAGCTTACTTTAAATGCTACAACACCAAGTGGATGTAACGTTAAACCGTTGTTTCCTTTCATAATTTATTTTGGTTCTTCGCAGGTTTTTTTGTATATTGACGGCGGATCACTTCACTCTCTGTTTAAAGTTTTTTATTTTACCGTCAGCCTCTATGTTTTTTATAATCTTAAAACTTTAAAACATTCAAATGACTTCAGAAACTTTTCTAACAAAAATTCATGCGTATGAATATTTGTCTTTTGATTGATTGGAGACATAAAAGAGGAAAATGCGTATTTCACTGTTTGTGTCTTTGATGAGAGAAAATTCATTCATCAACAAATATCATAAATAAATATCATAAATAAATCAAAATGCACAGAAGCCTTTGATGTTGTTTTGAATCAAACTTTTTTATTTGTTTTCCGTCAAACTTTGATCAGCTTTCACGACAATACTTATTTAATAACGAAAACTGTTCTCTTCATCAGGCTCAAATCTGACTTTTATCTTTATTTTATACTTAAATTTTAAAAACAGCCCAATTCTTATCACTATAAAAAGTCCTAGCCATTAGGTGAGGTAGCTACCAATTACTTAGACTGGAAGGCTATATGTGTATTTTATTCAGCTACAGGTTTAAATTAGATCTAATAGATTTGATGAGATTTGAAGTTAGTTATTATTTAGTTAATGGATCAACAACAAACCATACAAATCTGTAGCTATAAACTAATATTGATTTAGAATGAATGTATCAACTGTAGTACCCCATAAATAATAATAAATAATCAGTAACCTTGGATTATCCCCTACACTACACATATATACTACATACATATACACACATATACATGTTTACTAAAGTTTTTTTTATGTATTTAAGGCAATAACAGGAGTTTATAAAGAAATGTGACACCAAAGAAAAAAGAAGTGGGGAGGATTCTTCCTGAGCTCACGCGCCTCAGATTAAAGACCGGGGACTCTGTTTCTTCTGGACCCGGGTCAGTGGACTGGACGGTACCAGGACTGTTGTGCGTCATGACTGCAGCGAAAAGGCTGGGTTGCAGTCCCAGTTCTCGTGCTGCTGATCTCACTTCTCCTCTTGCCGCCCTCCAACTTGGCAGGTTTGTGCCAGTCCATCACGGTCCCGCTATGCAGGAACCTTGTCTACCAACCTCAACCAGACCATCATGCCTGACCTGCTGGGTCACAGTAATGACCCTTTAGGTCAGGAGGAGACCAATGTGGATCTGCAACGGTTCAACCCGTTAGTTGACCTCTGCTGCTCCTCCGACCTCCCGCTCTTCCTTTGCTCTGTGCACGTGCCGGTGTGCACGGTTCTGGCGGTGCCCATCCCCCCTGCAGATCTCTCTGCCAGCGGGCACGGTCCGACTGCGAGGAGGTCCTGAACCTGTTCGGGTGTCCGTGGCCCCAGAAGCTTCGCTGTAGCAACTTGCCAGAGATGGGATGGAATCTCTGCGTGCATGGGCCACAGGACCAGGAGAGCTTCCCAGAACACATGACCCCAGACCCCAAATACAGAGTTCCACGCCCACATCAAGAACTTAAGACCCTGAACCTGTACCAGATCCCCAGACACCCAGACCTAGAACGTCAGACCCAGAACCCAAGTGCCCCACACCTAGACCATCAGACTTAGATTAAGATCCAGACCCCCATACCTAGACCCCCAGACGTGGACCTGTGTCTGAAGATAAAGATGACTTTATAAAACGTATTGAAAGTATTTGGGGGTCATTTTGTTTCTGTTTGTAGCGTTTAGCAAAAAGTTTTAAAAAACTCTGCACACAGTCTGCAGAGGACCACCACTGTGTCCCTAAAAGACAATGGTTTGGACAACGTTGTGTCTAAATGTCGGGACATTGTTGGCACTTCAAACACGTCAAATGAAGGAGAGTTGAGGACAGCAAAAAGAGTCGCTAGTTCAACATGCTCCACGTCAAAGATGATCACATAGTTTGTGTTTAAAAAATACAATTAAACAACAGTGTCTAAAATACACGCTTTCTAAAAAGATTACGCTAAGATTACTCAAATTTTGTGTTCAGAAGAAAAACTAACTTTTAATAGTGATAAATCTGTAGATTTCAAAATATAAGATTAATTAGTTAAATTTTGTTCTATTTGTTTCTATTTTGTATTGACAGCCCTGATTTATAGATATCTAATATATATATAATTCATTATTCATATATATCCAATATGATTTATATTTGTATATTATTTTTATATATTGTATGTATAAACAAATTTACTGTTGATTAAACATTTTATTTAAATCCTTTAAAAACTCATATTTGAACTGACCTGTCACCAGAAATTGAAAAGTACACTAAAGTACAAAGTGACTAAAAACAATAGTACAAATACCACAAAATTGTACTTTTACTTGAAGAGTAATTCAACACAAGCGAGAACAACAGCTTTCAATTGCTTTCAGTTTCAAGGCACCCCTCATAGGAGAGGGGGGACTGGAAACAGTCTCAGTGAGATGAGGCTCTCCTGCTCAAGATGTTTATTAACAGAGAAAGTTTCGAAGAGACAAGAACCGAAAGGATTCACCTCCTCTACTGGACTTAATTCTTATACTGATCTGGACTCAAAGGGATTCAACCAGTTCAGGGCCAGGATTCTGGCATCAGATACATGGCACCACAGAGACGTGGTCGGAGGTTTTGGACCTCGGGCTTATCTCTGGTGATCTTGTTCATCCTCGTCTCGCCATGCGTCTCTCAGGGCGAGAGGCAGATTTCCATCCCGGATCACGGGTTCTGCCAGTCCATCTCAGTCCCGCTCTGCTTGGACCTGGTCTACAACCAGACTATCATGCCCAACCTGTTGGGTCACACCAACCAGGAGGAGGCTGGGCTGGAGGTCCACCAGTTCTACCCGCTGGTTGAAGTCCAGTGTTCCATGGACCTGAGGTTCTTCCTGTGCTCAGTGTACTTGCCAGTCTGCACAATTCTGGACCGGGCCCTCCCTCCCTGCCGGTCTCTGTGTGAGCGAGCCCGGCTCGGCTGCGAGGGGGTCCTGAACCGTTTCGGGTTCCGATGGCCCAAGAGGCTTCGGTGCGAGGACTTCCCTCCTTACGGAGCAGAGCTTTGCATCGGTCAGAACACAACAAACGTGGACGACCCTGGCTCAGAACTGAGCCCGAAGACACCCAACCAGACCTCCTCCTGCCCCTGGCAGCTCCGGGTTCCCTCCTACCTGAACTACCGGTTTCTGGGGGTGGATGACTGCGGCGCCCCCTGCGAGGCCTCAGAACCTGCCGGCCTCCTGTACTTCGGAGAAAATGAGGTGAGGTTCTGCCGACTCTGGGTTGGGTTCTGGTCCATCCTGTCCTGCGTGAGCTCCCTCTTCACCGTGCTCACGTACCTGGTGGACCCAGGGCGGTTCCGGTACCCAGAGAGGCCGATCATCTTCATGTCTGGCTGCTGCTTCATGGTGGCGCTGGCGTACGCCGCCGGCTTCCTGTTGGAGGACCGTGTGGCATGCGCTGACCTGAACCAGGTTGGATACAAGATGGTAGTCCAAGGCACCGGGAAGGGAGGCTGCACCGCGCTCTTCTTGGTCCTGTACTTCTTCAGCATGGCTGGCGCCATCTGGTGGGTCGTCCTGTCCTTCTGCTGGTTCCTCTCTGCCGGGAGGAAGTGGGGCATCGAGGCCTTGGAGGCCAACTCGCACTTCTTCCACCTGGCAGCATGGGCGGTGCCAGCAGTTAAAACCCTTTGCGTCCTGGCGGTAGGTCGGGTGTCCGGCGACCCACTCACCGGGGTCTGCTTCGTAGGGGTCTACGACCCGGACGCCATGCGCAGCTTCATCCTGGCGCCGCTGTCCCTATACCTCTCCCTCGGCGTCTCTTTCATGCTGGCCGGCTTTGGGTCACTGCTCCGTCTCCGCGGTGCCGTGAGGCGTGCCGGCGTGGAGGCTGCAGCCCTGGAGAGGCTGACAGTGCGGATTGGTGTTTTTGGTGTGCTGACCGCGGTGTCTAGCGCTGTGGTCGTCGCCTGCGGCGTCTATGAGCAGATCCTCTCCCCTCAGTGGTGGAGGGCCTGGCTTACACAGACATGCCGGCACTTTGCCGTGCCATGTCCCGCCGGGAGCACCGACCTGGTGAGGCCGGACTTCAGCGTGTTCATGGTCAAGTACCTCATGACCCTGATCCCCGGGATCGCCTCCGGGGGATGGATATGGTCCAGGAAGACACTGCGGGCCTGGATCCGGATTTTTAAGAGACCGAACAGCAACTACCGAGGAGAGAGGACGGTGTAGTAAAGGTGGGGGGGTGGGGGTGGGGGGGTAGAGGGGGGCTAAAGGGTGGAGTACTTGGCAAAGAGTTCCTTTGGCTCAAAATACATTTAATAAACTGGTAACTATCACGACCAAAAGATCCTTTGCCTCATTCGGGTCCATTAAACTATTTACTTTATAAATGTATGCAGGTGCATACGTACTGTCAAGGTTGTAATCACACATTAAACAAAACTGCAATGCCTTTGACCTTTTCAAAATAAAAGTCCTATTCATCTAAAAGAGAGAAGGAAGCAAGTCTTCAAACAGTACAGTATCGTCAAGGCACGGCAGGACCACTGCAGGGACAACCACCATCAGATGTAACCATCATCTATAGAAACCTGTGGGGAGGGAAAGCACAAAAGAAGTTAGTGTTGGTTTATGATGGCAGTAATAGTAATGTGATTCATATTTATAATAATACTAATGATAACAATAATAGCAGGAGCAGTTGTCAGCAGGGCCACGGCAGGAGGAAGGAACAGGGACAGAGCGATGATCCATGGAGACCAGGCGAGAAAGCACAAATACGGGGATTATCTGATTATGTCCTCTCTACGAGACAACTATTGATCAGTTTCATTTCAATCATCTTCATATCTTTTACTTTGACTCTTAAAGAAACCTTGCAATGTTAAGACAATGTAATACATTAAAGAAAAATGTTTATTATTAACGAGCTTTGTGAATATGAACTTGATTTCCAACTCCTTTTGTTCGAACTGTTTTTTTTGTTGTGTCTTAGCTCTTTGTTATTCTATTTAAAAAAAAAAAAAAAATTGTATTTCTTTGTGTGTACAAATAGTAAAAAAAATGTTCCCCTTTATATATGTTCAAAAAAAATGTATACATAATTTGACCGTGATGTGTTTCATAAAAATCCTTCTCCTCACTCACAAAGCCCTCCATAATCAGGCCTCCTCCTACCTCCCCGACCTGCTCCACCATCACCTTCCCTCCCGTCGGCTCCACTCCTCTGACGCCAACCTCCTATCCAGCCCCCACAGGACCAAGCACCGGACATGGTGACAGCGCCTTCTCCATAGCTGCCCCCTCCCTCCCGAACGCTCTCCCCAAACTCACCCGAGACTGGACTGACCTCTCCACAAATCAAAACCCACCTCTCCAGAACTGCTTTAATGTAGGACTGTGTGCTTTGTGCGTGTTCGCTATTTGCTTGGTTATATTTACAGCTTAGCTTTTAGAATATTTTAAAATGTTTTATGTAAAGTGACTTTGAGCATCTGGAAAAGAGCTATATAAATTAAATGTATTATTATTATTATTATTATAAATATAATAATGAAAGGAGGCACACGGAGTGCCCGTGGGTCCAACCCCCCCCCCCCTTTCCACGGGGGGCCCGACGTTCTCGCCCGACGTTCTCGCCCGACATCATAAACAGCCCCACCAGCACCCGATATGGATAACTGGCATCAAAGATGACTGACTATAAAAATAGGTCTGTCTTTAGGTGAGGAATCATGAGCTTTAAAGGGTTGAACTCAATCTATTAAAACAAGAGATTTTCCCTTCAGGTTTTGAGAGATTGAGAGCAGCAATAGCACAGAATGGGCATTCAGTAGCATTGTGGGTAATGTAGGATCCAATTTTTGTAGGTGTTTATATATTTGTTTTCAGTCAGTTGTATTTGTGTAGTTTGAATTGATCCACTCTATATTGAATTACAAGTACTACTACTGATAATGGCAATACAAATTATTATTGATAATACAAGAATAAGAGCACCACTGAACATACAAATTATTTTATTTTCATAAATAATCATAATGATAACACGGGTTAAAAATAATCAAAAACGGTAATAATAATTATCAGCATTAACAAGATTAATAATAATATTGCTGTAAAATATATCAAAATAAATAAATAAAGTCACGCTTCCAGTGGCGTAATGACGTAACGGCGTAAAGCTGCGTACGCCAGCTGGCGTCGTGGATGTTGTCATGTCGCTGTTAGCAGCTGAGTCGTCGGAGTAAATCAGCTTCTGTTGGACCGGCGGATGATAATAATGTGTTTTTAAAAACAAATTAATACTATTTACCGAGTGGAAACAACTAACCGCTTCCACCACATGTTCGCCAGCATTTAACGGCACAGAGAAGGAGTTAGCCCGCAGATAACCTAGCTCACTGGCTAGCTTGCGAGCTAACAGCTTAGCTGGCTCCTCCAGCTGATGTTAGGTTGGTAATGTAGCTGTAGCATCTTGAAGGAACTCTGTTATGAATGACTGATATTATACATTGTATGGCTTAACGTGTAAATGTTTAAGTTTACAACAATGTGAGTGACGTATTTATGAGTCAGTTGGCTATTTTTGTGAATTCGGCAGACAAATATTCCACCAACTGCAATTTATTACGGTAAAAACTTTTAGCGTGTTCTAACGCTTAACTCGTATTGTTTATTATGAAAGACCATAGAGCCTAAATCTGCATGTTTTTAAACGGGAGTCTGGTGCGGCAACATTCTATTTTCTGTCAACAGCAGCCATATGCCATTATTCCTGTAGTCGTATACATATGCAGCCAGAGTGACTGTTACAACGCCAAGTTATCAGGTTCAGTTCCTGAGCTCCAGGAGCCAAAATGATTAATGAAAATGATCCATGAAGATGTATTATTTAAGTTAAAATGTTTCCTAAGCCCTTTCCTTAGTCTGGCATGGGGATCTCCTCACACTCTACCAGCAGCCTGGTGGGCACGATGACGTAGTTTGGTGTGTTTTCTGACAGGAGACTGGTGTCCTGGTTTCTCCTCAGTATGGCGTCTTCCTTTAAGATCCCGAAGAAGAAACACCCAACGGCTTCTGAATCCGCCCCCCTGTACACGTCACCGCTGTCCCGCCTGCAGAGCGCCACCCCCGAATTAAAGGTAGTATCACTAGTAGTATTATCTTTCAGTTTTGTTAAGGTGATATTATTGATCTGTGTTTTTCTATGGTAGTATTATTGGTGGGTTTTTTGTAATGGGGTATTACTGTTCTGTGGGTTCTTTTAAGGTGGTATTAGTCTTTTTTGGTCTCAACAGAGCTATGGGAACCAGTACAGCAGAGCTGACAGGATGCATGCTGGGAGCTCAGCAGGCTCCTCAGTGAACAGAGAGAGGTTAGTGAAGCTCCCCGTCCAGACCGCAGCCTTTACTACAACACATTTACATTTTTTACATCTAAATAAATGAAACCTCCCTTAGCGCTCCTCTCTTCAGGGAAGTGGTCAAAACGCTGCTCGGACTTACAGCCAATCAAAGAGAAGCCTCGGCAGCCAATCGCAAAGGAGGACGGAGTGCCAAGTTGTCTGCTGCTTCTCCCTCAGTCGGGTGAGTTATGCTTTAGAATAAGGAGCGCGGGCTGATTAACTGACTGACTTTGACATCCCTTCTCTCACAGTCACTCTCCTGCATATCCCTTCACACTCCATGTGCACATACACTGTTCACTTTCACATGCACTCACAATACAGTTGTGTACATTATGTTTATCTGTTCGCCTGTGCATTTTTTATTCTATATTCCTCTCGTTTATATTCTTCTACGCTGTATATTTAAATTGTAAATTGAACAAGTCATTTTCCTGTACTGTGTTATTTGTCTTGTCATCCATTGTCTCATTGTCTTACTGTCCAATGTTATGGACCAACCGCCATATCAATATCCTTGTATGTCTAAGATATTCTGGCAATAAATGTACCCGATTCTTGATTCTTTATGTTTACTAATGTAATATTATTAACACAACATACAAATCAACATATCTCTTATTGACATACAGAAGGATGTTAAATCCAGTGTTTGTCATATTGTTCCCTGTTCGGCACCCAGGTGGCGCCCTAAAAGGGCTTCAGACCGCCAGCTGCCTCCTGATGTGACCTCACAGCCTCCGTCTCCACCA